CGGATTCATCTAGGCTGTAGTGATTGTCAGAATTTGTTCACAACAATTGGCACAAAGTCACCTACCCCGCTGCCTCGTTCTGCGCACGTGTGATCTCGTCAATGGTTGCAGGTCGTTGGGTGAACCCCTCTGAATCGACTTGTGGCTAAACAAACCATCAGTCAGCGATTATTGCACTCCAATTGTGAAATTGCTGGGTTGCAAATTACCGGATTGACATGGTTATTAGTGAGCCCAAGAGCTTCTGGCGCAGCTCCATTTCTGGGGGTCTCTGGGTGCACTTCTGTCACAGGTGCAGCAGCGTCCAATCCGGCGTGATCCTGCGATACACTAGGATTCCGCAAGGATGATTGATCGGTAAAGGATGTCCCCGGACGGTCAGTGGCAGTCATTGGGGGAGATTCAGGTATTTGCATATCGCGAGAGGAGTCAGCTCGCTTGAATGCAGCGAAGGGACTACGTTTCTTCTCTGCCTTTCGGTCAAAAGTTCCAGCCGAGGGTCCGACAATGCTCTTTCTCCTATTCATAACAGTGCCAAGACGTCTGAGTCCCCCCAAGGGAGTATGCCGTGGCTGTGCTTCCGGTACTAGATAAATCGTGAGAACTTCAATGTTGCATCTAGGGTGGGATCGCAGGCCGATTATAAAACTTACCTGGTTGTGTCTGAACGACAGCAGGTCTCTCGGATGTCTCTGATAGTTGGCTTGCCGCATCATCCTGGAAGTGTGGAGGAGGCGGAAGCGGTGCCTCTGTTTGTGGCGTGGAGAAATGACCCTCGGGCGGCGCAGTCTGGGTTCGCTCAGATAGTGGTTCAATTGTGGAAGGTGTCTCTGCTCGTTCAGTCTGACTTCTGGCGATGGTCTGCGTCACAGGGACCCGTGGACCAGCCATTCTAGCAGCAAATGTTTTGATCTCATCCGCCGTTTCCACATTGAGGAGAATATTCAAGCAGCTTTCAGCGGCCTGGCGACCACGTTCGACTTGATCAAGCTCATGGGTCTCTAGTTGTGTTAACACATCCCGAAGATGGTTGAGCCGAGTCTCATCGGCGGCCTGAAGCTGCTCGTAAACAAAGGGGGCCCGAGAGTCCCATTGCTGGTGGACTTCTTCGGCATTGGCAATCTCGCTAGAAAGTTTGTCTGCGCCTTTGACACCCTTCGCCCTAGCCTTGTCCACCTTCTTCTGCGCCGTCTCCACATTCTTCGCCAACCCCGCCAGATTACTCTGGATACCAGGCATCGACTTCATCTCTGGATTCTTGTTACTAAATTCCCTCAGAGGTCGTTCGACATCCTCTTCGATCTTGCTCGCAAGGGTCTCGTGCGACACGGCGAGCGTTTCGGTGGCACTGATGATGCGCTGCCAGGGGATTTGGAAAATGCTAGTTTCACAGGTCAGAATCATTCTCGGGCGCAGAAGAACTGAAATCTTCCAGGGAAAGATCAAATTACCCAAGAGCAGCTCCATTGTCCAACTGTGGCCGATGCGCTAGCTTCCGTAACCCTTGGGCGTATGCTTCTTCAACGCGGCGTCGTTCCTATCGCCAATTTGTCAATACCAATGTCGCTCCCCGTTGTAGACCCTATTCCAGCAATCTGGCTGGGTCGACTCGCAGGTTATCATACCTGTAGATAATCCGCGATATCCGCATTGACCTTGTTAATGACTCGAATGCGATCGCTCAGGACGGTGGTAGCTTGGCCGGGATGCAGGGTGGCCTAAATAAAAGAAATAACATCAATGATCGGTATCTAAATGCTTTACTAAACAGCCACAAGGCTCGCGTTGCTCAATCTTACCAGCAGGGTTGGGTACTCTTGCCGTAAGAGGTCCATGATTCAGATTCCGGGGTATTGAGGTTTTGAGTAAGGTAGCGCACGGAGCGCAGAACATCAAAGAGAAAACCAAGAGATTCCTGTGCTCGCCGCAAGAATAGCCCAATCAGCTAAGGGAAATAAATGCGGGATCGAGATCGAATGCCAGTGTCAGTTGGTAGCGTGTCATTCGATGTTGGCCGAGGACGGTAATGGGGATGAATGACGGAGGGTGTTATGGTAATACAGTACTTGGCGGTGTCTAATCAACCACAACGCCACAAGGGCTGTTATTTACGTCACAGAATTGTAACTACCTAGGCACTCCTTGATTGGTCACATGACATCATCCACGAGGTTGATGGTTGAAGTTGGCGCCTTGCTGCCTCAGGTTGAAATCTGATAGCAACTCGCCATGATAGAATATATCCCCCTTATATTTACTTCACTGTGACTATTCCCTATACATTGGAACATTAACTGCAAGGCAGTATAATTTAGATGCCACACCACCTCGGCCAGTAGTAGTGATCGTCCACCATGTCTTGGAAGGACAATTTCGGCTTCACAGACCGGCTGCGAGCCATACAGTCTCTGTAAGCGACTTTTCCGTATGTGCCAACATGAGCACTTGATTGATTCGCGTGTAGCACAACAGCTTATCAGCAAGCGGCTTCTTCGCCTGTCTCTGCATTTGCAGAAGCTATGGCCCAAGCGAAACAGCTTGAAACCGAGGCGTATGACAAGGCGACCTCAAAAGTGAGTTCTGCAGTTTCTAAAAATTGACAATAAAAATGATTTCAACTAACCTTGTTCCATCCAGGATGAATATAATTCCATTTGCCAAAAGGCAATTGATGAAGCTGAATTGGCAGGGTCCCAAAAGCTGGCCACTAGCAGCCCACAGCATGTCGAGGATGACTATGAAGAATCAGAGACCTCAAGTGGGGAAGTGATCGGTCAATATCGAGCTTGTTCCCACCACTATGGTGGTCTTCACTCCTCCATCTACAGATCAAAGTGGAAAGATGGAACTGTACGGGCAGTGAAAGTCACTATTCCCCATATGATGACAGCCCCTCATGATGCCCACCGTGAAGCACGGCTGTTGCGCAAAGCTTCTCACCCGCATATAATTCCATTGATTGAGACATTTAATCTTGATGGTGGCAGGTTTGTCTTGGTCTTTCCTTTTATGCGATATGACTTCGAGCAATTGCTTCGGCGAGACATGGTAACTGCTGCTCAAACACGATCAATTCTGCGAGACCTGTTCTGTGCCCTTGCCCACCTCCATAGCATGGGTATACTTCATCGGGATATCAAGCCTTCTAATATTCTCATGGACTCCCCCAACGGACCAGCCTATTTGGCGGACTTCGGCATTTCATGGAAAGAAGGCGATGCGGGATCCGAGCCACCCACGCAGAAAATCACAGATGTGGGCACCACCTGTTATCGACCCCCAGAGATTCTCTTTGGGTTCAAGGAGTATGGAACATCCCTTGACATGTGGGCTGCTGGTTGTGTAGTGGCAGAAGCCATTGCCGTCGGTCACCACCAGCTCTTTGATTCGGGGCCCGTTGGTAGCGATCTGTCGCTGATTTTCTCCATCTTCAAACTACTGGGCACTCCGGATGAACAACGCTGGCCGGTAAGAATCGTATCGGTCACTAAAGGAGATGTGGTTTCTAACGATTGAATAGGAAGTCCAGGTCTTGCCAGATTGGGGTAAAGTGGAATTCCACTCGTTCCCCACGCAGCCCTGGGAGGATATCCTCCCAGGTGCATCCTCGAATGGCCGTGATTTAGTCAGCCACCTATTGCGCTATGAGAGCAGCGAAAGACTCTCGGCAACAGAGGTATGTGACCTGATCTGATGTCTTACAACAACCTCTAACCATAGGCTTAGGCCCTTGCCCATCCATATTTTGCTCGGACTTGAGGCAGTGGTATGATATGGGGGATGGATGGAGTTACGCCACACTCCATCACGCCTCCTCGCACGAGTGGATCGGGGAATCACAAGCGTGGAACGTGCGACTGAATTATTAACATACCGATGCACATTTAAGAAAAGTAATTTATGCACCATATGGAGTACCAAATACGGAAATATACCATTTACAGCATTTGTACCTTACATTTAGGTAAAAAGATTAATACGAATGGTTTTCCGAGGTGCAGCGTAGCCCCTGAGGGACCTGCATGAAAGGCAGCACCTGGGCAATCACGCACAAGGGCCATCCATGGATGCATTATTTTGATTAAATTGACTTTGATTAAAATTGAATTTCCGGCATCACCGGAAATTACGGGCTGTGTGAGCGATCAATTAAATGTGGCTGTTGTCCTTAGGGTGAAACAACCATGGAGAAGTCTGTGCCCCCTCGGGGGCTACTCTTTAGCGAATGTGCCGCTTGGGGGCGGGCAAAAGGAGCTAACAAGAGCCGAGTGATGAATTCGTTAACTTCCCGTGTAATTTGCCAAGCATGTGCAAATTAGATCATTTACAGGATATTTTAAGCTAAACTACGGAGTATACTATCCATAAATATGTGTACTATAGGTATATAGAAGTACAAAGTTGATGAGTTTAGTTCAACAAAGGCCAAATCCAAGTCCATCCCCATCCCAAGGCATCCAACCTTTGGAAAAGACCCAACCAGTTAAAGTAAAGTGGGTCTGCAAGGGTTCTCGGCCGTGGGTCTGGTAACTCCTTCGGGTCAGGCACCATGTCATAGCCAATCAGAATGAGGAAAAGAAAGATCATCGTTACCTATTTGAGTTAGTATGTTATTGTATACACACAGGGTCCCAATCTGGAAGATCTCATTTCGGTTCCTCGTGCTCCAGGGCCTTCTCGTATTGAGAGGCTTTTCTCTTTTCTAAGGTTGCCGTTGCTTCTTTTATCCTTTTACCATCCTTTCTTTCAATTTGTACGACCTGGAAGTCGACGTCCTTTCTTTTATTCTCGACTTGACGATCGGCGGTGCTCGATCTCAGTCATCCATTCTTTCCATCCACATTCCATACAGCTGGAATCGACCCAGAGACGCGGATTCTCGGAAATCACTCGCGTCGGAATCTGGGATTCTCCCTCTCTTCAGGATCAAGACCCGCTGAATCTCCATCCCTAACATTCATCGCCGCTTCACGATATCCTAGGATACTGGAGCCAACAACATGCACGGGCATGCACACCACAACCATGCGCGCAATGTGGAGGAACCAGAGGGAGGAAATATTGAAGAACGAGGAATTATCGAGGAGCGAGGCGATGTGGTGATCGTTTACAAAACTGTGGATCCGGACTTTACAGGTGAAGTAGGAGGCTATGTGACCGGCACCGAACACACCACTGCCACCGAAGCGCGCGCCGGTGTTGGTGCTCCTGTTGCGCCTACAAGGACCAAGGAACAAACAACCGAGACCAAAGCTACGGATGAGGTGACCACAACGAAGACCAAGGAGGAACCGACTACCACCAAAGAGACCGTGGCCCACACCACCCATGAAACTAAGGAAACCACCAAGACTACCGAGGCTGAAACGACCACCAAGAAAGCAACCACTACCAGTGAGTCGGAGGCTCCGATCACAGCAACCTCCTTTGTGACTTCGGCATCGTCCAGCTCGGAATCTTCCCAGAATGTCAACGATCTCCTCGCAACTTCAACCGGATCGACTAGTAACTCTGCCGCATCGGCCTCGACCACTGCTCTTGGAACTACTACTTCCGAGGGTATGACTGGTGGCGCAAAAGCCGGTGTAGCCATCGGTGTCATCTTTGGTGTGGGTGTGATTGCTGCCCTGATTTTCTTCTTTATCCGCAAGAAGAAGAAGAGCCAAGAAGGATATCAGCAAGAGAATGAGAAGACCTTCGGTGGCGAAGGCCTGCCAGAGGGTATCGCTGCTTCTTTCCCACCGCCTCCTCCTTCCAAGCCGCAGACGCCTTCAACTCCCCCACAGCTTAATGTCCGCCCCGTCACTCAATTCGCGCCTGATCTGAGCGGGGGTGCCTTGAATCCCACCACCGCTGGTGCTTCCGGAGCTTTGAGCCCAGCCACAGCTGCTGTTGCAGGTGCTGCGGCTGGCTCAGCCGCCGTCGCCTCTCGTAATCTTACTGGCGAATCGCCGCCTCCTACTCCGCCGAAGTCTGCTGGGAGCCACTCTGACCCTTTCAGTGACCCTGTAAATCCTTTCAACCCAGCCACTTCCCCTGTTACACCTGTCACCCCTGTTACGCAGACCGCACCTTCGGTTGCCGAATCAGCCACTGGGCCGTCTGAATCGACCCCTGGTACATCTGGTACATCTGCATCGACCGTCGCAGCTGCCGCGGTTGGTGCCGCAGCGGTGGGTGTTGCAGCAGGTGCTGCCGCTTCATCTCGAGCTTCTAATGATTCGGAGCGCTACCATTCCGCCGAGTCACGCGGCCATTCCCCCCACCAGCTCCACGCAATCCGCGACAACTCCTACCGATGCTACCACTGCCTCTGCTGCACCAGCTGTCGCTGCTGGCGCTGCTGGCGCTGCTGGCGCTGCTGGCGCCATGGCTGCTGGCCCACCACCCCCTAACAATGTTTACCGTGTGCAACTGGATTTCAACCCCTCCATGGAAGATGAGCTTGGACTTCGCGCCGGAGCACTTGTGCGCTTGGTTCATGAGTACGACGATGGATGGGCTCTCTGCATGCGCCTTAACAGCCCCCAGCAAGGAGTTGCCCCACGGTCTTGCCTCTCGGCTCGTCCTGTGATGCCTCGCGCCCGCCCGCCCCCTGGCCCTCCTGGCTCTCGTGGCCCACCTATCATGGGCCCTGACGGTCGCCCAATGATGCCCGGGGGTCCTCCGGGTCCACGATTCTATCCCCAGGATGCTCGTCCGAGATCTCCCGGTGGCCCAGGCTTCCCTGGACCTCCCCCGGTCGCCCGTACCCCGGCCCCGGATCTCCTGCTCAGTTCCCACCAGTTCCCCGCTCCATGTCGCCTGGGCCTAGAGGAATGCCTGGCCCGCGCTCAATGTCCCCCGGACCTGGAGGTATGCCTGGGCCTCGCTCCATGTCCCCCGGACCGCGTGGAATGCCCGGCCCTCGCTCAATGTCCCCCGGACCTGGAGGTATGCCTGGGCCTCGCTCCATGTCCCCCGGCCCGCGTGGAATGCCCGGCCCTCGCTCTATGTCTCCTGGTCCCCGGCCCGGCCCGCGCTCCATGAGCCCTGGTCCATACGGACCTCCTGGTCCCCGGCCCGGCCCGCGCTCCATGAGCCCTGGTCCATACGGACCTCCTGGAATGCAGCGGCCTGTGATGCCTGTCAACCAACGCCAACGCAGCAATAGTGCCAGCAACGTCGCCCCGCCCATGGCAGCGCCGGTCGCACCTGCTGTTTCAAGCCCATTGGCCGCTCCTGCCCCTGCGGCCCCGGCTCCCGCTGCGCCTTCCGTTTCAAGTCCATTAGCAGCTGCTCATCCTGCCCCCGCTCCTGCCCCCGCTGCACTGCAAGATTCCACTCCCCCAGCGGCTCCTGCTCCTGCGCCTGCACCTGCTCCCGCTCCCGCTGCTGTGCCAATGCCAAGTCCCTTAGCCGCTCCTACTCCTGCTCCCACTAGCGATCTTCCGGCACTTCCGACTTCCCCGCCGACTTCCCCGCCGACTTCTCCGTCCGGCTCGATCTCGCGAAAGCCAGTCCCCACCCGTGACGCTTAATCTGAATGACCCACACCTCCGCATAGAGCCTCCGTCTTATGCAGAACACAGGCATTCCCGCTGACGTGTCAGTGTCCCCGCTGGACGGAAATGAGCTTGCCTAATATGACCACATTGTTCGCCTCGATCTTGATATCCCCCCTACAGCCCGCGTCCGTGACGAACGAACCCTCTTTGAATCTATGCTTTGCGCTGGATGCATATCTCCGCATCTGAATCATTTCTCTGTCTTTTCGTTTTCAGCTTCTGGATCTTCCGTCCGTGTCTTGCATGCCATCTTGTCTGTATTTCCACTGGCATCCTTGTAATGTTACCAAAAGGCCGGCCGTCCTTTCATACCTACCTTTTTCTTTTCTTTGGCCTCTTTTTTTTTGGGTTGTATCCCACGAACTTTTTTCTTTTTGTTTCTCTTCGATTCGAACTTGCAAGCATCTTCCTCGAGTGCCTTGGTTGACATCGATCTCGCATAATATGCGTGTCACGCTGAGATGAGCTGGAATACCCGGATCCTTCGACTTGTTCCACCACAGATAGTTTACATTCATAGCTATGTAGAATTACAATTTACTCACGAATTTTACCATTTATAGCCATGGATGTCGTTCTATTCATGCATTGCTAGCAGGCACTATATATTTAGTACCAGTGAACGCCCAAGACAGAGTGACTTGTCCACTGCATAAGAGGATTACCGCCTATCATCATAGAAAGGAAAGCTCATTTTGTAGATATATATCAACATATATTGACCCTGTAATCAACATTCGACGTAGAAAGTCTGTCATTACCTCCTCCCTTTACATCTATAGGCCATACATATAGAAACGATTTCAGTGAGATACTAGTATCAAACCACACTAGCACCACGGGTATAAACAAAATCCATCAACATGAACAACCAACCCCATCTTCCAATCACTCAAGACTTGATCTCCTGACCACTCTCATCGCTATCAAACTTCTCGCCAGCGATGTGCACATCAGGGCTCGCATGACGGGCAGCCTCCTCGAGATACTCAGGCTTAAGCTGACCATGCTTGTCGTAGCGGTAAGGTTCCTTAACGGAGATAGTAACGGCATTGAAGACATTAGTAGACTTCTTGAAGATGGCGTCCATCTCCTCCAGAGAACGGTACCGAGTCTCAGGGAAGAAGAAGTAAACACATGGGAACATGAATGCGTTTCTGTCCGATGTTAGTTTCAACGTATGGTTTAATGCAGGCTTGACGGATCTTAGATCTTACATGACAGCGAAAATGACATAGGTCTTGTATCCGATATTTTCGAATGCGACGGGGGTGATCATCACGACCATGAAGTTGAAGATCCAGTTGGCGCTGGTGGCTAGTGCGTTGGTTGGAGCACGGATTCGTAGGGGCACGATCTCGGCTGGGTACAGCCAGGTCATTCCGAGCCAACCGATGGCGAAGAAGGTGTTGAAGACGAATAGGAACACTGCTTGTCCAATACCGGCGCTACTGTCGTTTAGTACGGTCAAGCGGTAGTTGGTGCCAGCTAGGACAGCCATTGAAATTGACATGCCGGCAGCCTTTATAAATTCTTGGTTAGTTGATGGGGGATTGATACGGAGTGTGGGTAGGTAGATGACATACGCCGAACAGCATCAGTGGACGACGTCCAACTTTCTCGATGATGAAAATAGGAATAAATGCAGCCATCAAGTACTCCGTGCCGTTGCAAGCAGCTAGCAACTTTGGAAGGTTGCCGCTTCCAAGACCAATCTCGGCATATAGTGAAGGAGCCTGATGAAGTTGATTAGTATAGGGCTAGCATATTAATTGAGGGGGTAGGAGAGCCTCACGTAGTACGTGATAAGATTAATTCCGGAAATTTGTTGGAACATCTGGTTGACATAGGCGAGTGCCACGCGGTGGAATTCTCGATACTCGCTCATCTTGAACAGACTCCTATAAGAGCCCTTATTCATTTCCTTGACAGTTTCCTGGATGGCGATGAGCTCATTCTTGATGTAGGGGTCATCTCGAGATTTCTCATTCAGACACTCGAGAATCTCCAAAGCTTCATCTGTCCGGCCTTGCATGACAAGCCATCTTGGGGACTCAGGCAGGTTGAGAATAGAGCAGAAGATAATGATAGCGAAAATGATCTGGAAAGCGAGAGGGAATCGCCAGGCGACCTCTTTCTCGGGGATAAATGACATGCCTAATTCAAGACTATATCAGCCATTGCAACTTGCGAGTATATCAAAGATAGTGTTTCAAGCTCACCGTAGTTAATCCAGTAGCTAAGAGTGATGCCTCCAGTGATGAGCATACCCTCGATCATCACCATCTTACCACGATCGTGTGCCTTTGCCGACTCGGACTGCCATGTCGGTACGGTACTTGTATTCATGCCATTACCAACACCGGTGACAATTCGGCCGACAATGAAATGAGGTAGAGAATACGCGGTGCATTGCAACAGGGCGCCAGTAGCCATGATCATACAGCCACAGAAGATAGTCTTTCGTCGACCAAGCGGGTTACCGATGAAGATAGTCAGGACGGCGCCGAAGAAACATCCCAGATTGTACGATGCGACTGCAATGCCTTGATTCAAACTGCGCTGCGATCGGAGGGGTTGGAACTCATCACCGGAGATTGTTGGATCGTTGGGATTGATATCGGGGAAGTATTTGATGAAGGAAGGCAAGTCTAGCAGACCACCTGTGACACCTTGATCATAACCAAAAAGCCTTATATCAGTTAGTGGCAGGTTTCAAAAAAAGAATAAAATTTTAAAAAAAAATAGTGAATAGTGAATAATATCATACAAGAAGTCAAGACTACCAAGAGAACTGATAGCCAAGTTGAGAGACCGGCCTCTCCAGCCAAAGAACTTCGGAATGCCGAACATGATGCTCAAACATGAGAAGATCGAAACAAAGTACGGACATGATGAATATGCCGATCAGCGGGTTATATAGCCCACTTTCTTTTTCTCCCCGGATTGACAAAAGCGGTAATCCGAGATGACTGGGGTGTTCTCCAATGTCTGGGGCTGGCCAAGATACGGGGAAGGCGTCGGGCGACGCGGGGATATGGGAAGTTCCATGGGGGTAGGTTTTGGGGGCGGATTTGGTCGATTGTGACTGGTCAACGCAACTCAACGCTAACTAGGTACATCAATGTGGTTGGATCTGATGTACCGCTTTGTTGAAATTAAATACCTCGGCCCTATAGGTAGTCATCGCTTGCATCATGGCTTGACATGGCGCAAGCCTCGAAAGGATGGTGCTGATATACCATATTTGGTATATATAGTATATATATTATTTTCCCCTAGGTACTCCGTACATAGGTAGGTCCTTTATTTCATTTCCGTTTTTCTCCGAACCACATCATGATTGTAACCCCTCGGCACTGCCACTGCCGATAGATTATGGAGTGTAGAAAAAACGAATGCGGTTGGATGGCAAATGACATGGCCAAGCCAGCCAAGACCGATGCAACCACCCGTCAGCAAATGAGACGGGATAACCTCAAAGCGAAGGTTCTAGGCCAATCAGAACACAACATCCCGGTCTTTGTTATGACATGCGCCAAATACGCCAAATTACGCCGCATGGACCCGAGTGAATGGAAAATGTTACACTGAAAGTACTCCGTACGGTGGACGCAAAGGCAATCTTCGCCTGTTGAGGCTCATCAGATGAGAATAAATGTTCCGGCAATATGAAACCCTGTTTGTACCCCCAGACTGATTAGAGACAATACCTGGGGGGTTGATCAATAAATAATATCTTTGTACTCCGTAAGTCTCAGGCACCCCAGGGGATTTCAGCTCTCGGATACCGGCTGGGCCACTAATATATTGAGGACGTCAGCGGCACCCGACATACATACTACTCGGGTACAAAGTATGTACACATGCGGCTTGCCTAGATAGATCACGTCCCGGGATACTCAAATCATCTTTATTAAAACTTCCCCTATCCGACTATTCACCCGGGCTAAATTTCTGATCTGACACCCTCCTATATGTATGTAACTACTCGGTATACTTACCGGTTTTTCCCTGGCGTGTGGGGCTTTCCTATTTGAGTTGCCGCCTTTATGAGGGTGCTCAAGCTCAGGCCCACTGAGTAGTTAGATGCCAGCACGGACTTAAATTCGTGATCATGCTCAGTTCAGGACTAATGCTCAGTCAGTACCTGCCCAGTGTCTAATCAGCCAGCAACATAAATACACTCAGCCCACCGCAGACTATACTAGAGGGGATTTAGCCCCTATAGGGTCGTTTGCACTGTGATGGTTAGTTCGTTGATAACATTGCTGCGCTCAATTTTGGAGCGCTATATCTTAGCAAGAACATACGTTATGACGAACGGGCGTAGAACGGAGCGGAGAACGCTCTCGGTTTATAATATTACTTCTATCTTCTAATTTAGAGCGGCTTAACCCTAAAATCTTGGATATAAAAGTAGACCGTATAGTAGCATTAGTATATATAATCTTCAAACCTGGATTGATTGCTTTGGCCGTAACTTTCCTGAACTTCAATGCGATTGTTTCCAATTTATCTCTAGGTTGTATCTGATATAAGTGCCCTTAAAGAGCCAAGGTTGGTGGCATAAATAGTAGCTGAAGAGTGTAATTGTAAAGTTGAAGCCCAACAAATTTTCAGTTTTGTCCTCAATCCCGTTTTTTTAATTATGCCTAGAATATACATTCCGCCACCTAGTATTGGTATTGCGTCTATGCCCTTCTTTGCACAATATAGACTGGTGGGGTTTAAATTCAGGGATGAGAAGACACTCCATGAGCTTCCATCATCTTGCCTATGGTGGGCCGTATGTCTTCCATATATTTCAGCAAAGCCTCATTATCCTCACGCAGACGCCGAATTGAGACCTCCTGTACTCGAAGCTGTCTAGACACAGATCGCGGTTATCAATCCATCCATCCGTCAGGCAAGAAGTCGAATATACTTACTGATTCAAAAGCGCCAGCTGGTGGGACCGCAAACGTGACTTATAATTATCCCTATCCCGGATCTTCTCCATCACTTTCTCTCGCACCATATACCACCGTAGCAGCCTTGGAGTTGCACCTAGATTCCAAGCAAGCCTCATAGTTGTTAGAGTAACAGCAAGAAGAGGGATTTTCTTAACCCAGCGCTTTTGACCCAGGCCATAATCCACCTCTTCCTTGTATAACCACTTGAAGACATTATAGTGTGAATCAGGCTCGATTTTGGGCTGTCCACGGACTTTATGGGCTAGTTCATCACCTCCAATGGCTTTAGCGAGCTCGATCATAATGCTGATCTCAGTTCGCCAGAGCTTGTGGAAGATTTCTCGCATTTTTTCGAAGCCTGGCTGAACCTCGATCTGGCTCTCCATCAGATGGGTCTCTTCGATGGTGGCTTTGACGGATTCATATATATCATCCATTTCAGCATGACCATTTTGGAGAGTGTTATAGCGTACATAGACGAAAGTGCAGACGGCAGCAAAGAAGGTGAGGATTCCGGATATGTTCGCGGCGATTGACAAAGGGCTATCCTCCATTCCTTGAGTCTGTTATATTTTATTTTGAGTTCGTGTTATTTCAATGTGATAGAAATCCCCAAATCCAATATAATAAGATGGAACGGGTGTCAGAGAAGCTGACCGCCTCTATTTGTTTGGTTTGCGAGTGTGCAAGTAAGGGCGGGGGTTATATGCAATGGTGCCTTGATGCCTTAGTGCCTTGGTTTTGTATAGTGAATTACAATTAAGATAGATGTAATCATCATGGATTTATTTCCTATGTTGACTGATGAATCGTTAGACGAACACCCTGATAAGCGTGACCAGGTCATTCCCGAAATGTTCGCCCTAGCCCTCGACTTTATTCGAGAGACCAAGCTACCTGTTATCCTTTCCTGTCAATGTTTTGGCTCTTTTCGGCATGAACGCTGGGGCTCATTCGCCCATGACATGATTCCGAAACTAAGCTCGTCGATGGTCAATGCCGAGCGCCAAACGGTGTTTGGCTTCCATTTCGAGGAACACTTTATACATTGTGTTCAAGGGTTCCACCCTGCTAGATTGTATTACGCAGATTATGAAAGGGAAGAGAAATTGGACAAAATTCTGCGTCAAATATTTTATTCTTTGTTCGAGCCGTGCGCACTATGGCAAATCTGGCAAAACAAGAACCTGGAGAAAAGCCTGCGTCGCAAAAGCGAGTCTATCCAAACTTTGATCAAACAACTTCCCCAAAATGCGGCTGAATATGATGAACTGCGCATAAGAGGACATTCCTTGAGTATGACCCCGCATCTCGGGTGTTCAATTACAGCTGAGAAATGGGATACTCCAGAGAAGGCACTGAATCTGATCGTTCAACTGTTGTCCCCCAATACGTCCCAGGAGTCACCTGAGTAATTTCAAGGACTCGTCAAACAAGAGTATCTAGGGAATTTTGGAGATCTATAAATAGTGTCTCTTTGATAATATGTACCTCTAATTTCCAAGTCTTTTAGTATTCATCCTTTGAGGAGCAACTTAATATTAGTTTTTGCTTATCCTTCAACAATGTACTATGCTCGTCGCTTGGATATTCGAGAATAGCACATTACATTGTTATTTAATGGCCTTAGAAGAACTAAGGTAGACTTAGTAAACGATTCATTCTTTTCTTTGATGATGCTTCATTTACTTGAGGCTCATGGGGGGTAATTGGACGAAAATTGTTAGACTTGTCTTGTCCATTCTTTGAGTTCTATGTTCTTTCCTTGGATTTTCCACCGTCCTCATTGTCCCTCCAAATTCGAGTCTCTTTATATTACCTTTGACACTCTTCTCTATGCACTTGTCTCCATTTTTTGTGTCCTGGTCTTATTTCAGATGAGCCTATTGTCGTGATGTTTCGTCCTTCCAGGGACTAGGAGTCAGACCCATGTTAAGCAGAAATAAAGACATTGCCTAAGAGTATATAACTTCTTCTATATCCATCTGTTACTCTTCATTCCAAAAGCATCATCCAACAAGCACAATACCACAGATCCTACCAGCCTTATATTTTATTCCAACAACTCCCAATAATCCAATTGTCCAACGTATACTTCACCTCAGCAATAACAATGACGATAATCTGCCGCTGTCTCAACAAGTGCTTTGGCATCTGCCGCCGCAGCAGACGGGACCCATTACTCCCTATAACTGAACCGAAAGAAGCCAAGGTAGTGCAAACAGCTGAGGTGGTTCGCCCTGAGCACCCCGCAGGCCCACCACCACCACCACCCAAAGATTCAGAGATTGTTCGAATCCCAAGGCTGGTTCGATCCTCAAAGCCAACTCGAACGGCAAGGGGCGTTCGAGTCTCAGAGCGGGGTGGAGTCGCAAGGCCAGGTCAGGCCCCGAAGCTAAAGCTAAGTCCAACCGCGAAGGTAAAGCTAGGTGAAGCCGCGAAGGCAAAGCCAGTTCAAGCGCCGAGGCCAAAGCCAGGTCAGGCTCAGAAGGCCGACGGCGACAGTGAAGGTAACATCAGTGATGAGGAATACCCCCCACTCCCGCCTTCAAGAGAAGGCTCTCATACAGGAATCACACCTGAAATAAGTGATATCGATATTAACGAGACCAGGGATATTGACGATATTGACGATATTGACATTTCAGATGCCGAGCCCGGTGATGAATTATTCTTCTCTCCTCCTGCTGAAATATCCGTGACACCCGCGCCTCAAAGCGAACAAGCTAGCGAACGCGCCACTAGAAGCAGGAAGCGGGGGCACATCGAGGATATTGCAAAGGAAGGTCAGGAAGGGAGCTCGGCTACTACATATGAGGATACTCCCTCCCCTGCTAAGCGTGCACGTACCGATGAGGCAGATGTGCAGACTCCAGCACAAGTACCTGCGGGACGACAGCTAACTCCTCCAACTCTCCACCCTTCTACTCCCCCTCCCCCTCAAAAGCCCAGTTCCAGTAGCTCCGGCTTCGATGACACGAACAATGCCATGTGGCCAGAGCCTACGGAAGAGCAACTGGCCATATACCGACAAAAAGGAGCTCGACTAATAGCTTGGTTAGAGGACCCAAACGAACCAGGTTGCAATATTGCCCAGGCAACCATTACCACGGACGACTTGTTGAACAACCTCCCGGAAGCATATCGTTACCAAGTTAGAGGAACTTATTTCCTAACTGTCAACGACATTTTGGAGGGAGGCGACCCTGAATCTATGGGAATTACCACAAACGGTAACAGGTACCGCTTTACATATCTTTTAAGCCACGTCAATGACCCAGAGGTCCTAGCAGGTTATGGCCGTGAAAAAATGGATAATAAACTCGAACAAATAATTGGACCAGGCATAATTGTTGCTTCTTCCATTTTTAGGCACGATTCCATTCAGTGGAATGAAATCGCCAGGGCTCTGTATGTAATGGACCACCCCATTACCACTTTGAGGCATATTATGTATGAGACCGTTATCAATGAAGAGACTGCACCATATATCAGGCGTATAGCCTATCCCAGATATAACCTCAGTTTCGAACATGCAGATCGCGAGCCATGTCTCATAATCGAACGTGGGACTCAAGAGTATGTGGAACTCCTTGGAACAAAATTAGGTAAAACAACCGCCATCTTTCTTATATCATCTTTGCCCCGAGGTACGATCCGTATCGCTCGAGCATACATTTGGAATATTCGCCAAAAATTACAGCTAGTATTTCAGTTTGAGCTCATCCCTGATAGCCCTTATGGTCAACCAGAAAACCCAGCGGATCGACCAGAAACTGCAGAGTGTGATTAAATTATTTACAATGATTGTCTAGGGATTAGTCCCATGGTGGAGGATCTTTCGGTTACCATTTATATTTTGGCATTTTTGAAGAAAGCAGAAAACTACATATATGTATAGCGTGCAATAACTAATTTTTAGATATCAATTTGAAGATATTGCAAAAGAATAAAAAACATTCGTAGTCAATAATCACGAGTCTATCTATGGTTGGACCATTGTGACTAGTTGCAGAGGTAGGGATAACATCGAGATACGATATATTCTCGGTTCACGTCCCAAAGGAACATCAACACTCTTTCTAGGGATGAAAGTCTATATATAGATGAGACAGCTATGGTCTTGATTAGTACAAATTTGGGGGAAAAAAACAGTTATCAACAAGTCTAAGAATCTCCAGGCGCAAGCTTTGATAATCCCCGCAGCTTTGGGCCATACTTCATAAACAAGAACGGCACTGGCAGTAGAACCGCAGCCACAGCTCCAACAATGGAAACGGAAGGCCCAATCCCCAAAGCCCTGATCATCGGTTTAGCCGCCAAGGGAAGCCCGGCAGCCAGCAAACTTCGAAGAAGGGTAACAGCCGCCGTGGCGCTAGCAGCATAGATCTTATAGACATCAATCAAAAAGTTCAAACACTGCTGGAAAATACAATTGAATCCAATGCCTATAAACACAGCTGCCATACATGGCAGGATCCAGTGGTGAGGTGGTTCAGCGGTCCAAGCAAACCAGAAGAGCCCTATAACAATAAAAACCGCTCCAAATGCCATAGGCGGAAGTCGTGCTTCGGGCACTGCTTTCCCATTTGCCTCGCTGGATATCCGGTTATAGCGATATTGGTTCCAGATGTTGAGACCCACCGAGGATATAACACCAATCAACAATCCAAGGAACGGCAAAGAACCGACAAGCTGATTCCAACCCCGGGATTGTTGGAATGCAATTGGAAATACCTCAAGGGTTAGGTACATCACGCCGTAGACAAAGGACGCATAGAAGGCAATGCACGTGACAATCGGCTCAGTCAATAGCATTCTCAATGGACGGGCAAGCTGCTTCGTAAGAACAGATTTGACATCGAGTTTCAAATGTTCATGGGGATGATAAAATCTCGAGTCACTAGTTTCTTTCCGAAGTCGCTGTGCTTTGCGCTTGAGTAGAACCGGCGGGTATACCTCTGGGAAACAGAATAAGGTCAAAGTGAAGATGACAAAGACCCAGATTGCGTGGATGTATGCAGTCCAGCGCCAGCCCATATGAGGATTCAACAAGAGCGCTGCGCCAATTACTGGGCCTAGCGCCGGGCCGCCGTTCACTGCCACTGCATAGAGACTGATCGCAGTCCCACGCGTCTCTTTACTCCATATATCGCCTAGTGCGGCAGTGACATTGCTAATCGGAGCAGAGCCGAAAAAGCCTGCGAAAAAGCGTGTGACGAACACCGACGCTGCATTTGTGCTTAGGCCAGTCCCGATGGAAAATAAGGCTAGACAAAAGACGGCGGGAAGTATACTGATTCTTCGACCCCAGATTTCTGAAAGAGGAGCCCAGATGATAGGTCCGAAGACAAAGCCAAGCCTAGTATTATTGTTAGCGTTATCTCTAGTGTCTTGATTGAACCCCACTCACAAATACAGCGATACATCCAACACAGCAAGCTCGCTGCTCACGCCAGTATACCTCGCGATGGTGTCATCGGCCGGCGTGGTAATGCTTGACCCCAGACTGCCTGCCAAAGCAAGCATTCCCAGTTGAAATGTTACCCACCATTTGTACCTGGGAGTCCAATTCTGAGGGTTCAATACATCGTCATGATCCCACCTGACAAGATATGCCGGGTCAAGGGACGCAGGATCCTTCTCGGGCTCGGCTTGCACATTTATAAGACTACCTTTCGGCCATATGCGTGTCATGATCGGGATAAATACTGTGGAGTGCGGATTGCTACTCTCATGGACGAAAAATCATACGTAGTATGTTTTTTTTCGGCAAATCGAGATTTATGCCGATGCCGATGTCGGAGCAAGCCTCGGATCGCGTCGAAATGCGATTGACAGTATTGTCAACGGTGGAAAGGGAAAGGGTCCAGTTGAAATTTTAAAGTCTGTCAACATCTCGGAGATAGTGTCCCAAGGGCTTGGTTGGTAATCCTGAGTTGGCCCCGGGCCTCGGAGGGGAAAGTTAAGCTACCAAGCTTTTGCTTGGCTTCTTGGGCTCGGGGCTATCGGCCGGTCCCGGCCTGTGGGGGCACTTGGCAGGAGTCTTTCAATTTCAAAGGTTACGCATAGAAAATACATGATAAGGGCGTATAAGTGAGTTTCATTGGATTCAGAGACGAGATCTGCTTAAGCATAAAGCATATTGAGGACCTTGGGCTAATGGTTGTGTTTCGTAAAGTTAATAACATCCATGGCTTGTGTGAGCACGGGCTTTTCCTAGACCTACATCAATTACCGCTGCATGACCCCTGTATAGTACAGTTTCGGGAAAGTCCTGGGTATACGTGGATACGTAGAATCAATTTCAAGTCAGCATAATATGACACAAGCCATACTGGGGAAGTGGTAGTAGATTGGAAATCATAAAACAGTAACGGACAGAATAATCTTGAAATCTAATTGAGATAAACCCGAAAATATCATTTCTAAATCGAATACGCTCTTTTAGCCGCAAAAAATGCAGCATGTATACGGCGATGAACCAATTTTGGCACGCTTCTCCTGATCAGAGATGTGGAACGCGTCCACTTGCAAGAAGAAGATTCACAATGCTCACGATACCTTCACCCAAAATGAGGCCCGAGGCAAGGACAACGACAGTCGAGGAAGCGGCATCTACTTTCTCAGATGCCTGCTCGGCAGTTGTGGATGATCTTTGCCCATCCTGCAACTCAGTCTCAATAGAAGATCCCATGCTAGTGGCGTTTCCATTGGTCACTTGTTTGTCCGTCTTCGATTCAGAGTGCTTGCGCGCCCACCACCATGCAATAATACCACCAATAGCTCTCGCTAGGGTAAATGAAGGCTCATTAAAGATACCGACGGCAACGGCAATACCGCCGGGGATCCAAGCTCTCCAGGCAGGGGGTTTCCCATTACGCGCAAAGGAAGGGGACGCAGCTGCGATCCTGAATGCGGTAAGGAATGCCCACACGATACCAGCAATCAAAGAGACTTGTCCAGCCATTTCGGGCAGCCCTTGACCGGTCACAAGACGAGCAGTGAAGATCCAAACATACGCAGTGGGTGTCTGGAACATTTCGCCTGGCACCTCATATACGTTCACATATAATTTGTACACGGCAGTTGAGAGAACTGCACCCACCAGACTGCCGATTATCTGCCCATAGAACTGGGCTTTGGGACTTGCGCCGAGTAGATGGCCGGTCTTCAAATCTTGCATCATGTCACCGGCTTGTAGGGCTCCTGACTCAGAGACCGCACCCGCAAGTAGGTTGGTCACTAGTGCGGTGCGTCTGGAGAACTGGGATGCTGGCGTGGCGAGTGAAAAGAGAAGTTGTGTCAGCTTGCTGATACCCGAAACTGGGTTGAGATCGGTCTCGCCAAGAGCACGGACACCCATAATGGATAGGAGCACTGCCAGCAGAGTTGCTAATGTCGATAGAAAGGGGGAAATAATTTCACCGAAAACAAAATGCATGCATGCGACATTCAGAAGGAGAGTCAGGGGAAGGAGGATCACTACTGTCCGAGTCGATATGAGTTGAGATGGCGGTGCATCTTCCTCTTCCTCTTCGCTTGTGGTTCTTAGTGTGTGGTGGGCATCATTGTTATCATGAGACAACGGATGAGTCTCCGACTCCAAAGCGGAGTAGTTAATATATGAGTGCTGGGAAGATTGCAATCGAAGTGCAATCCACTGACCAGCACGAGTGGATCGGAATGAGGCTATCCATCTTGGAGAGTGCTTCACAATAGGCTTGAGCAGCAGCCACCCGAGACTAACAAGTGAATCGGCAAGCATGATAGCTAGCGATATCCAAACAATCCATGCTTTACTGCCATTGTCCCAGTTATTAACCGGGCCGGGGGCCCAGCCGCGGGTCTTAGCCAGCGGTGATAGGACGCCCCACCCCAAGACTGCCCCGAAGAGCATGTGCATGCACGTTGACGGGCCCATAATTATACCTTGGCCGATATATGCGGGCGATGGGTTAAGGGTCCACAGCCAGTTCTTCGCCATGCCCGCGCCAAACAGAGGGATAGCATGGACTAGAGGGACAAAGTAGGAGAAAAGAGTCTAATTGTGTTAGCGTATATTTTACAGAGCTTAATTTGGGGATATTCACATATACGCCCGACACTGCAAACGACCCAACTAAGATCCGCATCTTCGAGCGCCAATCTTGCTCCTTGGACGCTTGATCTTCAGCATCGCCATCTTTCAAGAGGCCTGTGTCTTCTCGTGATTGACCAACTGCTTGAGCCTCTGTCCGCAGAATTAGCGCACGGGAATTATCCGGTGCTATGACCTTTTCGTTGCTCCCAGAACCATGTAAGACCTTCAGCATCAATGCTGAGGCGGTACCACTCGGGAACCGCAACTTCTCTCGGACGATGACCTCTTTTCGGAGTGGAACTGCAAATACCACACCAAAGAGACAAACTCCCAGACTCCAGATAACCAACTTCCAGAAGCCGAGTTTCAGAGGACCCCCTTCGCCTTCTCCGCCATCGCCTTCGGGTCCATCTTCACCAGGCTTCAGCAAAAACTCCAGAGCAGGGATGACGCCAACAAATCCACATCCAAGTGGCATTGTTCCTACCGCACCAGCAACCGTTTGTATCAAGACATTCTCAACGGGCGTAAATGGGAAAGACAGGTACTTGGATAGAACCTTGAAGACCGAAAAGCCAATCAAGGCGGAGGGCATGGCCATTGTGCTGATCCATCCTGTCTGCAACCCGAAGTAGGTATTCGAGAATGTGATGAGGGCACCGATAATGAGACCGACGAGAAGTGAGCGCGGGGTGAAGCTCTGAGGGGATGTGGCGGGAGCTTGGTGATTTGGTGTGGAATCATCGATGGGATCTATAGGTGGCTGATCCAAGGACGGCCTTCCCACAGTGCGATGGCGCTGTTCGGAGGCATTGCCGTCCATACTGATGGTCTGGTAATACATGGGACCGACCGATCAGTCATAGTTAGGTGAATGTTTTGGAGAGAAGTCCAACCTTGGGGAACCGCTGGCTTGATAAGCACTGCTGATTAATCCATGGATACCGGGATGTCGACATAGATAAGATCACCTGACGTCACATTGTTTATCCGTTATTTGCCCTGGGTCTGTCATCCTATTAAACAAGGCTTGTATGGATATCTTAAGGAATGAATGATAACTTGTTATTATTAACTAGATATTACCGGACAACCTCGGGAAGGGGCAATGTGTTGGAGACTTGGATTTTACTCCATCAGCGTGCAACAACCCTATCATACTCCACAACCAAGCTAGAAATTATGCACTAAGCTCTAGTGACAAGTGTAGTCTGTACCCTCACCTTCAGAGGGTTTTGCACTGCCCGAGATTATCTGAATGATGAAGTAAACAGGGGCAAATACTACGACACAATCAAATCACTTTCAAGGATAGTAGCGGGATCTAGACCTAATTAAGATACAGGCAGCGGGGTCTAAACCCAAATGGGAACAGTATCATTGCGTCGGCCTGGCTCCTTCCAAAGTTATACTCTGGGATCCTTTTGCTCCTTCCTATTTATTCCTCTTTCCTCTCCCTCTCTATCTTTTGTTTTCTGTTCTCTTCATCCGTCTGCTTCTGCTTTTCGTTGCTTCTTCCTCTTTCCCCAGTATCGGTCTTTACCATCCTTTGACTGTAAGTGTACTTTGTTAGCGTCCGTTAGTTTTCCATCAACTCAATTAATATCATATTTAAAGTTCTCAAGATGGACGACCAAGTCAAGTCTCGCCGAAAGCATGACACTCATGAGGTTGTTGACAAGCCGAATTCGCACGATGACTTCAAACAAGCGCAACTGGCTGGTGGTTGGATTCCCGGTATGGATCCCAAGGTGGACTACGCACAGCATTTCGAATTCGGTGGTTCACTCGGAACCTTGGCACTTATGACTGGCTTCCCGTTGCTGATGTGGTACATGTGGATCGGCGCTACCTACTATGATGGGCAGTTACCTCTGCCGCAAAACGGAGAGTCCTGGCTCGTCTTCGGGAAACATCTGTGTCACCTTGTTTACACCGGTGCATTCCCACACTTCAGAGCGTGGCGCATCTACTGGACATTCTATATCTTTGAGGCAGCATGCTACATCTACATGCCTGGATTCACGTGCTATGGAAAGCGTCTTCTCCATCTGCAAGGCAAACGGCTGGAGTATTATTGCTCAGCCTACAGTAGCTTGTACCTCACAATTGCCGTTGTATCCACTCTCCACTACACTGGAATTTTCCCAATTTACACTATCCTGGATGAGTTTGGTCCTCTGATGTCTGTGGCGATCCTTTCGGGGTTCCTCGCCAGCTTTTTCGCTTATTTCTCTGCATTTGCTCGTGGCGCCCAGCACCGCATCACTGGATACCCAATCTATGACTTCTTCATGGGAGCTGAACTGAACCCACGTATGTTCGGGATCCTGGACTTTAAGATGTTCTACGAAGTCCGTATCCCATGGTTTATACTCTTGGGTTTGAGCTGCGCGGCTGCGACTCGCCAATATGAACTCTACGGATATGTTTCTGGTGAGGTTCTGTTCCTTGTCATGGCGCACTTCCTTTACGCGAACGCCTGTGCCAAGGCAGAACACTTCATCACCACCACATGGGACATGTACCAGGAGAAACTAGGATTCTTATTGATTTTCTGGAACATGGCCGGTGTCCCTATGTCCTACTGCCATTGTGTTCTGTACTTGGATAGTCGCCATCCCTCGACATATGCGTGGAACAAAACTGCATTGGTGGTATTGTTTGTCTCGTATATTTGCGTCTACTGGATCTGGGACACTGCAAACAGTCAGAAGAATGCTTTCCGCATGATGGAGCGAGGCAAATTGGTGAACCGCAAAACGTTCCCCCAGCTTCCTTGGCGACAGGTTGACAACCCAAAGACACTTCAGACAGAGAAGGGCGATACCATTTTTGTTGATGGGTGGTACGGATTGGCTCGCAAAGTTCATTACAGCTGCGATATGTTTTTCGCTTTGTCGTGGGCACTCATCACCGGGTTCGAGAGTCCCCTTCCCTGGTTCTACCCGGTATTCTTCGCCGTCATGATCACGCACCGTGCCATGAGGGATATCCACAAATGTAAAGTCAAGTATGGAACGACTTGGGATGAGTACGAGAAGCAGGTTCCATGCCTCTTCATTCCGGTGAGTTCTTACTGCAACTTTCCTTTGAATCAGTATACTAACCTCTAGTAGTATGTGATCTAAGTTTCTCTGACTTTTGGGCCCCCACGATGGTTTGGGCTATTTCTAGCCCATCGATGCTCCTTGTCTACTTCTACTACAGCACATTCTGTACCATCACTTCATACCTACAGATCAAATAGCTGAAGAAATTATCTTTAATTTCGGGTTTCCCAGTTCTAAGACACTTGTAGATCGCATTATCGTGTCAGCTAGAAGAGAGATTATTTTAGGAAGTTGTATAACCTCGGGAATGGTCCACCGGGGGAAGGGTTTCTGTGACTCACTAGCTCCGTGTCGGAAGTCAACCCCACATTGGAAATTTCCAAGAATGACCAAGATACCTTTTCTATATCTGATCTATGTTGTAATTTCTCCTGGAATCCACCAAACTGCCCGGTTTCCTCCAACCACCAACTCCAGATCCAAACATGGATCCCAAAATGGCCATCCACATCAAGGTCTATGCATCATCAGATCTTCCCAATCAACCCTGGATCTCAGATCTCACACACATGGTGAACGCCAGCTTCCGTGTCAGTCACACTACAAAAATAAAGTTCGCCACAACCAAGACCCGACTATCCACCGACTCCGCCCTCTCTGGGGAGCTTGGTGCAGACGGATTCACCGCGGTAGCGCTTGTTGGAGACGGAACAACTCAAAAGACCGAAGTGATCGGGACTGCAAGTATGAAGAAGTGGAAAGACGATGGCCTTTGGACGCCTACCACCAAAGACGGGCACGATACGAATCCGGTTGAGGATGAAGACCCAGCCAATAATGGATGTGTCGATCAAATGCTTCGCCAACATGCCTGTCCCGGAGACTATGAGCTAGCTGTTGTTGCTCTCCCGCCAGATCCAAGATACCGCGGCAGGGGTATTGCTGGACATCTTGTGAAGGCGTGTGAAGAGGAGGTTTTGCGTCAACATCGGGCCAAGACAACAGATGCGTCGTCTCCGGTACGGATCATGATTCGGGTTACTAAAGAGGACAGTGGTGCCTACTGGTTGAAACAGGGGTTCACTGTTGTTGGTAGCCAGAGGTGCCCTAAGGGACATTGGGATTCATTAGAGGAGTTTACTATGTGGGCTATGATGCGAGAGTTGTCGACAATATAGGTGATAGTTGAATAATAGTATAGCGGGGGCTTGGTGAGGTATTGTATACTTCTATGTATGTGCTCTCTACATTGTGTCAATTTTCTCTGCGTTTTGTGGACGCTGTTGTGATAATTGAACATTGTATTGCAAAGTATCTTGTCTCATCTTACATATTTCAGAATCCAATGGTTTTTTTTTCGGTTTCACTTTTTGCACCAATCAATCTTGCTTGAGATGATATTTCTTCAACGAAAAAGGGCTCGGGGGCGGGCCATACATTTCAGCGAGAAGACACGGGCTTTGCGTTGGATCTCCGGGTTTGATCATGAACTCCACGATGCACAGCCCTGTCCCGGATTGAATCATCTTATCATGGATAATATTATCAAAGTCACCCCATGTTCTGGCTATGCTGGAGCAAACTGGGTAAAGTGTCTCATTTGGGGATCCAAAGAAAGAAACGGATTCTGAGTATCGCCAGTGACCAGAATCTTGCTGTGTGTATTCCATCGCGTGCATTAAACTTTCAACAACGGGTGCTCCCTCATTAATGACAAAGATAACGAGATTGAGCTTCAAATCGATTATAGCCCTCAAGTCATTTTGGGCCTTTTGGAACCCCTTGGCTCCTTCAAAGAGAATAGTTCGTCCTTGTGAAAGCATGTAGTTTGTTTTGGCAAGACCTTGTTGCGCCAAAGTCACGCCCATAGTGGTAGCAATTATGTGCCCCGGTGACTTCCCGGAACCAGGATTGATGAGGATTGTATCTCGCGGCAACACAAAGCAGCGTGCTCCACCCTGGGCTGTTCGGGTTTCAGTTAAGATAATGTCACCCGGATGGAAGAAGATAGACATTCGTCGCCAAAATGTGGAATAGATGTCATGCTGAAGGGGGGCAATACTTTTCTGAGTTGGAAGCATTTCAATGCTGTCATGGACACTGGGCAAATCTGGGTACGGTGCAAGGTCACGCAGTTTCCTCTCACTCAGGTAGTTGGAAATCTGCTGAAGCACGGGTCTAGAAAAGAGCTCGTACTTCTGGTCCCCGATGACAACAGAGTTCCTGTTGAATGTGACTGTTTCTGCTGCCTTCGCTTCGAACATAGCAGGAAGTGCCCACTCAATGGTGTTCAGGGGTCCAATAAGGAGAATCAGGTCGGAAGATTTGAAGTATAAACCGTACATATCGAAATCCGAGATATCCCCATGGAAGTTTTTGAGTGTTTCATCTACAACACCTCTGCTGAACTGGGTCGCAGCAGTTGGAAATCTAGTCTTTTTTGCCAGCTGGTTTGCTTCCTTGATAAGACCACAAGATGGGACACCCGCATCCACGAGAATCATTGGTCGTTGTGCGTGCTTAATCTTGTTCATGATACTGGTCACTACCGTCTGTTCCATCTCAATATCGTGAGGTGGAGTGTTGAAGTCTAAGCGCTGATCGAGTCCCTTGGCCGGTACCATACTGGTGACCAAGTCTTCCGGTAATTCAATGTAAACAGGCATAGACTGCATGATACAGCCTCGAATGGCGGTATCAATCTGGGCAGTCGCCTCGCTAGGGTGAACAAGAAACTCCTGGGTGATGGTTATTTTCCCAAAGGAGTCAACGAGCATCTGGAACTCATCAGGTTGTCGAGGAACATCAGGCTGCGCATCGAAGAACGAATGGTGGAATTTGGAGGCCTGTACCTGCACCTTGCGTTCAGGTGTCACAATCACGAGCACAACCGGGATTCTATCTTGATACGAGGCAGCGATTGCCGTCGAGACGGACGATGGCATATTCTCGAATGAAGATATCAGAGCAGCGATGCCCTTGACTCGTGCATATCCATCTGCGACAATCCCAGCATTAAGATCGCTACGGTGGGCGACCCATTCAAGCCCTGCGTCAGTAGCTTCCCTCAGTATTGCGATGTTGTGGTTTCCGGGGACGCCATGCACGGCATGTAGGCCAAGTTGATAAAGGCGTTTGAAAAGATAACCTGCGAGGGTGATATCGTTGGTCACTTCGGACATGATGAATAGGCTCAAGGTTCTTCTGGGTTGAAAGGCGTGGGTTCTCAGGGACAAGTAAGAATGTAGGAGACAGGACGTTTAACGAAGAAGTTGAGCTCTTTTGGACCTAAGAAGGGAGGGCCAAGGAAGAGCTGGCTGGTGCATGAGATTTCGGTCAAATTTCCTAGCGATCTATAACAATAGAGTAATGATAACAAACGCTTGAGGTTTCTTGGGAGGCAATGAAGGAGTAGGAGAAGGCCTTAGTGAGATTGGCAAGAAGGATTATTTGGTGTGAAGACCAATGTTGAGACTAGAAAGCACGTCTCGATCATTTTTCATCTTGACTTGATAACCGGATAAATGTCCTAGACAATCAGTCAAAACAAATTTGAGTGTAGTAATAGCAACAGACTCCGTTTTCCGTACTTCCTTCTTATCTATATGGTTGTTTTGCTTTCATTTATATCTTCCTTGAGGTCTTCGTTCTTAATATAGTCATATGTATCTTTTGGGATTCCTTTTCTCTATACATTTTTCCCCTGCCGTCTCTCATCGTCGTCTTCTTGGTATAGGATCACAATAATCTCCAAATGGTATATCAGTGGTACTAATCCATGCTCGAGTGACAGTTCTATTGTCAGAAGTAGTTATAATGTTGGCTTTGCACAGCTTTCTGTCAGGTATCGGTCCTTCGTATGTAGCCATTAATCTTGTTTCGTTGATTCGCAACTCTTCACCGTGGTATAAGATGAATAACACATAGTATCCCGCCCCCCTTCCTTTTTTTTCCGATTCTGTGGCCTACTTCTGGAAGATAACCAGACACTATGAGCAGCACGGGATATCCCAGCACAGCAACTAACCAGGCACATTCAAGTGGAAAATCAATCAATCAATCAATCAAAATCTAGGCTTCCTCTTGTTTGAGGGGTCAATTTCAAGTGAGAAAGTATAAATAATTAAAAATCCAACGGGCTCAACAAATTCCTCATGAATCTCCAATCACAGATCTATAAGGGTTGTACAACATATAATGAACGCCAAGATGTATAAGGTTGGATAAATACATACTCATTCGACCAATAAACAGTTAGCAAGCATTCAAGCCTCTGTTAGATGTGTTAGAATTGTTGAAGCACCAACTACTCCCCAGGACTGTATCATCGAGAAAATATATTGGACTAGAATAGAACAGGTTGGGATCTAAATATCAGCCCTGGAGGGCGACCTCGGGCGCCCGTGGCTCAAAGCCGGGGGGCTGAGAACATGAGTAATCGAAATATCACGTGTCTGCTTATCGGCCTCGGTTCCCAACAAAAGGGGAATTCACGATCATCGCCATCGATGATCGGCAGGCTCGGCTTTGAGATTCATCAATTCAGGTGAGATTGGGCCCGCCACTTCATTCCTTGTGGAAGATTCCGTCTCTCATTAAATGTGTTTCGGCCAACTCTGCCTGATTCCAATTGATCTCATCTCCCGAGCCACCTATAGATGAACCGGAGTATATCTTACTTAGTTTCAAGTCTTGTCAACGTACCTGTACGAGAACAATCAGACGTTTTCTTCTTGGTTTCCATACAGCTCAATTTCTGAGGGCTTTGTTATGGAGAATACACACGAGATACTAGCTGGCATAATGTCGCTGGCCTCATGGAAGAACCTGGCCTTGCTTCTGGCAGTGATTAATTTGAAAAGTCTCCCATTTGTCTGGCATGTAAGTGTTTCATTCGCCCCTTGCTCGATGATCACACTTGACTTCCTCCATTCGATATTTTACACTACTAACCGACTTAATAGTTCCGCATACTGTATTACTTCGTAGGCAACCTACGTTTGAAACCAGGTGCGCCACTTCTCCCCAAGGGGAGACTGATCGTGGACTCCCGGGGTAAACCAACACATCCCATATTTGTGCCATGCATGGTCACGTCTCGCACGCCGTTGCTAGAGACTGATTACAATCTGCACAAATCAAACAGCACTTACTTCACGGATCTGGATGTTTCGCGTACAGCGCTCGTGACTCGAATTTACAGTCCTGGCGTCGGCAATGTGAGCAAGGAGTTGGACCAGGAGTTCCTAGCCGCAAGCAAGAAGGAGGGAAAGCCGGCACCAAGGCGCAAGCCGGTTTCGATTGTGCTCGGATCTGTTTATTGCACATTCAAGCGCGAAATTAAGCCATTCGAACTATATGAGATGCACTCCAAGGTGATCTCTTGGGATGCAAAGTGGATGTACATCTTGACCTGCTTCATGCGACCTGCGCCCCGCAATGGCGGCGAAAAGGTCGTCCTTGCTGTGGCCGTTAGCAAGTACGTCGTCAAAAAGGGCCGGCTTACTGTCCCCCCGGCGCGGCTTCTACGCGCTAGCGGATTCCTCCCCGCGCCACCCCCGGAGAGTGAGGCCAAACCCGCACTAGCGGAGGCCAACTCCTCGGCGGAGGCTTCCGATGTTGGCACTCCTGCTAGTGGCGAAGGTATTACGGCCATGGAAGGCGTGGATGGATCGTTGGTTCGAGAGGTATTGAAGATGAGCGATGACCAGATTCCTAGTCAGGAGACACTGGATAAGCAGCAAAAGGAAAATACTGACTCGTGGAATGCCGAAGAGTGGACCTGGGAGCGCATTGAACAGGAACGCCTGCGGGGACTGGAGGTTGTCGATGGATATACTAATTTAGACACCAAGCTGTTCGAAGAATGGGTGCAGTAGTTTTAGAGAACTATAACATACATAGTTGGTGATGATATAGAGGGTAATCCAAGCGCCTTGATGGTTTTAACTAATACTTGATTTTGACAAAACTGCAATTTAATTTCCAAAGAAAGACCGACACGGCCTCCTCTTGCGTATTTTTCTTTACAAAGTTCATGTACAATAGATACGATATAAAAATGTGTCATGGGCGCCTAGAACGACGGTTTTAAATGGGTATTTCAGCCCCCACGCCACATTGAAGATCAGGGGCCTTCTTCTTCACTCAAAAAGTACAAGTCGCCATGAAACTCTGCGCTCTCGCATCTCTTATTCCACGCCCCCTCCCATTACATGCGGCCTATACATTTTTGTATTCTGACCCTTTTACTTGTCGTACAAAATTCAAACTTAGGATTAATAATAACAGTGGCTATATAAGTGTTTATTTTTAATTTTAAAAAGAATTCGACTAGTAGAGGTTGAGATACTATAAAAAAAGGTTGCTGTACTGTTTAATATATATCTAGGCTCTGGACGGGAATATTACTACTTTCTAGGTAAACTTCTGTAATTTATAAATTATCTATACAACGCGCTTTGTCGCTTTTTTAAACATGATATAGAGAGATAACTAGTAATTGATTCTAGATGATTTAATCTAATAAAATATTACCTTTGAAATACAGCCTAGAAACGGGGGTAAAACGAAGGGTAATTTTAAAATCCTAAAAAGGGGGTTCAACTTCTAAATTCTCGGCATATTTGTACTGCTTAGGGCCTAGTTGGGGGCCTATTAACCCACAGTAGGCTTCTCCTTAGGACTATAGCCCGAAGGTAGGGCCCAAAGCCCAGCCCGTTTGCGGGTTGGGTTGGGTTGGGTTGGGCTATGGCTTTATGGGCTTTATGGGCTTTATGGGCTTTATGGGCTTTATGGGCTTTATGGGCTTTATGGGCTTTATGGGCTTTATGGGCTTTATGGGCTTTATGGGCTTTATGGGCTTTATGGGCTTTATGGGCTTTATGGGCTTTATGGGCTTTATGGGCTTTATGGGCTTTATGGGCTTTATGGGCTTTATGGGCTTTATGGGCTTTATGGGCTTTATGGGCTTTATGGGCTTTACGGGCTTTGCGGAGCTCTAATTGCAACATCGGTTGTCTTATGAATATACGATAACAAAGTACGACCAGAAATGGCTTATGACCTAATTCTAAACACGATTATCTAGGTATCAGTGACGGGATGCAAATCAGCGTTGGTTTTGGTTATTGGAGAAGCAATTAACCAGTTTAAATAGCAATGGTTTCAAGATCCCAAGCAACACAAATGCTAGTTAATCGGCATGCAGAGGTTCGATGCTGCAAGCAGAGGTCCTTTAGGGTCGTTGATAATTCTCATCCACCATCGCGCCCAATCGCTTGTCTCCCTTGGGGCTGCGATCATAATCCTTTTATCGTCATTTGGTCCATTTATGCAACAGAATTTGAGCCATCCGGTTCATCCAACAATGTATATGAGTACTACGGCTAGTGCATATGCGCCACAGCTGCGTGGGATTTTTTTTTACTCCAGACAACCCCGGAACCTCCATCGAAAAGTTCAACAGAAATACCCTAGGCAACGAATTAGATGACACTTGCAACGCAAGGCTTCTGTTGCCAGGGCTTCAGTGTCCCTCCTCACTGCTCATGGCGCAATTGTACCTGGAATGAGTTCTCGTCACTCGGTATATGTAGCAGGTGCTCTGATATGACCGACGCTGCTTTACTCGATTGCAAGTTGCCCCCTAGGATGAAAGCTTTCAATAGAACTTGTAAGCTTTCTTTTCCTGGGAATGTCGTGCCAGAGTTCAGCTTTACAAATACATTATCGGAATACGGCCCAGAGTTAAAGACATCTATCCGAAATCATCTGGAAGCCCATGGACATGCGAGTTCAGCTGCGCGGTTTGCTTAGCGAGGACAGCGAGGACAGCGATCGGTATATGTTCAATTTGCCTAATTACACTCTAGCTGGAGTGACAAATCCATTGACGACAGTTACATATGTCGAGCTTGGAACACCGAGGTCAATCCATCTCCCTCAACTTACAGTCGTCGGCTCGTCAAAGTTAATTTAGCCCTTATATCAATCTTATAGCTATACTAACAACCTTGGAAAAGAACACACTATTAGGATAATTCTAGGCGTATAGCTAATAAAAGCCTGACTACATAGTAATATAGAGTATAGATAATATATACATATGACCCAATTAACTAATATTAACAAAATCCGCTCTTTAATAATATACGGACGCGCTAGTTAACTAAATAATAATATATACTTTTTATAGAGCACGCTACTGTACTGGTCCGTAGATTTTATGGGGTTTAATCCTTATATTTCTACTATATATTCAACCAATGGATGTCAATCGACAAATGTAACCGCACTTTAAGTAATCTGACCTGGATGGGTTGTCTAAGTAGGTTAGTCCCGTGCGCTGGATGCACTTGTTGTAGCAGTTAGGATTATATCAGAATGCAACGCCACTTTTTTACTTCTTGCTGTGCCTAGAGGCCCAAAGCGTAACAGGTCTGATAACTAGCTGACTGCTTGTAGTTGGTTTCAACACTAACCCTAATTTGATGTTATGTACGGAGTACGCACCATGCAGTTCTTACATGCCAAGAATCCTGCCCAGGTGTGATTAGCGCCATCGATGCAGTCCAGATGCATCTCTCGCGTAACAGACTCACTCCATCCTTCGACGGCCGATATTTGGGTAACATCCAAGGCAAACTTTGGGGTAATCGGTTATTGTTGTCGAGGTATATAAGACTAGCTATATCTCTAGTAGTGATTGCAGCCAGATGTCGACTTAAGCTCATTAACAAATTACTAGGACACAAAGCCTGAATTCAAGTAAAAACACACGGAGTACCTAGGTATGTTATAGTTAACTAGATGTATCCATCCATGGATGGATGAATGTTGATCATTGATCTCATCAAGGGAGAAAACACTCGGCTCCGATGGTATCCGAGATTGCCTGAGCATTGTATGGCCTGTGACAATACCAAACCTATATCTGTGTGGAAGAGTGCGGAACGAAGTAAATTACGGTACGGTAACAGGTAACTTTGACAATGATATGGAAATCACATAATCTTCCATTACATATGTGTCATGTGATCCCCAGCCAAAGCTTCAAGGTGCTTTGACCAAGCTCTATCTTGACCATGATATCACCTTGGCTTCTTTTCATTTCCTTTTGATTTGCAGGCTATGACTGCTAGTCAGTGATTTTGGTGAGTTTGAACTTATTTGCGATTAAGTTGTACATACATGTGTATTCCCCCTGAGACCTGGCAATCCTTTTACCCGAGACCGGATACGGTACAAATCATTTCGCGGCTCCTAGGCGCCCAGGCCAAAGTCGAAAGTCCACTTTGCTCTCTGATCGGACGATTCCCACCATTCCCATCTAAGTGCTCTGATTTGTCCAATTTCAAGCCCATCATTCCTCACCCTGTGCCCACCTGCCCCTGCCTCTCCTTTCAGTATCAGCCCATCGTGCACTCCACCTTCAAGCGTCGCCGGCACCTGCATGATTGGTCTATTATTGGTATTGCTGCACCCCTCTACCTTTTCCATGGAGAACCTACCGCTGCTTTTGCAGTTTATGGAAATGATCATTTGCTTTAAGGGTTCCCTTTGACTGCACATACATCTTGCTGTCCCTGTCATCTTTTGCCTCACAAATTCTTGTTTTTCTTGGCAACTTGACTAAGTCGTTTCCGTTTTCCGTTCAGTTCAGGCAAAAACAATCATCCGAGAAGAGCTTATCGCAATCGTTTCAACTACCGGCCATTGTACACTCCTTTCGTGTACCAACAACCCTCACACACCAATACTGGTGCCATATACCTCAACATAATCTGCACTCCCTCCCGCTCGGTTGCAGCTTCGTTCCCAATTTCCCCGACCGCTGGGAAACACTCCCTTCTCGCCGTCGATCAGCGGTCGCACTATCCGACGACGGCAACTACAATCTGCTCAACTCTTTCCCCAACCTCCCTCTATCGCCCCTGATGATGGCGACAGCACTCGACCAGTCGCAACGCGACTCGCTTGGAGGCGAACCCGTCCTTGAATCCGTCTCCATCACTCCGCCTCAGAGTGCCAACGGCAAGAAGGAAGCGCCCGAAGGTGTGCCGTCCGAGTTGTCTGACCTTGAGCTTGACAACCAACCTGCCCCGGCACCCGATACCACCAAGATCAAGCAGGAGGAAGTGGAGGAGAAGGTCGAGGAAATCGAAGAAATCCAGCCTGATCATTACTATGGCGGCGGGAAGGTCCCTGTTTTCAAGCCGGTAAGTACAATGCGGGTACCCCGTCTGCTCGATGACCCTGGGTTGGAGCTGCGTCCGACTGGGGAGTAAAGCCTACACCCCTTAGAGCCAGGCTGACTGTAGTATTGTTTTAGACAATGGACCAATTCCGAGACTTCCAGGGCTTCATCAACAAAATCAATAAATATGGAATGCAGGCAGGTATCGTGAAGGTTATTCCTCCTAAAGAATGGTGAGTCGATCAAATTTCAGCAAAGGTGGATGGCTGTGCTCATGACGTTGTTCTTTTTTTTTTTAAAGGTCCGAGTCTCTTCCGCCACTAGACGAGGCAGTCAAGAAAATTCGAGTGAAGAACCCCATCATGCAAGAGTTCCACGGATCCCACGGTACATATACCCAAGCCAACATCGAACGTCAACGCTCGTACAATCTTCCTCAGTGGAAGGGTCTATGCGAAGAAAGCAGCCACCAACCCCCTGCTCGCCGAGGAGAAAGACGCCGGAACCAAGAACGGGTGAACCGTGCGGCCCCGACACCGCGGCCCCCATCTGCCCGCCCCGAGGGTCAGAAGCGCCGGCCTGGCCGTCCCCCTAAGCGGGCAAATCAGGTCAAGGTTAAAGAGGAGCCACCTACAGAGGACGCCGAAAAGACCAGATTGGAGGGTCCCCCGACCCCTGTATCGCCCGAGACCAACCCCGTGCAGCCCAAGACTGAGGATTTAAGTGAAGGCGAATCTTTACCTACCACAAAACCAAAGGGGCGACAGCCCAAGTCCGTGACCTCACGTCGAAAGAACAACCGCGGCGATGCTATAGATCACATTGACGAGGAGGCATACACAGGATTTGATTACCGGATCCATGATCACGAAGAATATACCGCAGAAAGATGTGAGGAGCTTGAGACCAATTACTGGAAGTCACTCATGTATAACAACCCAATGTACGGAGCTGACATGCCCGGTTCACTCTTCGAGGATTCTACGGAAACCTGGAATGTCGCCAAATTGCCGAATCTGCTTGACGTCCTCGGACAGAAAGTTCCTGGAGTCAACACTGCATATCTCTACATGGGCATGTGGAAAGCTACCTTTGCCTGGCATCTTGAGGATGTAGATTTGTACAGCATCAACTACATCCACTTCGGTGCACCCAAGCAGTGGTACAGCATCTCCCAAGAAGATGCACCTCGCTTTGAACAGGCCATGCGCAGTATCTGGTCTAGTGATGCGAAGAACTGCGATCAATTCCTTCGCCACAAAACCTATCTCGTCTCGCCTAGCCTTCTCAAGTCGCAATATGGAATCACCGTCAACCGATTGGTTCATTATGAAGGGGAGTTTGTCATCACATTCCCTTACGGGTACCACTCTGGATATAACATCGGATACAATTGCGCCGAGTCAGTCAACTTCGCGACCGAGCAATGGTTAGATTATGCTCGCATCGCCAAGAAATGCCACTGCGAAGCAGACAGTGTCTGGATTGATGTGGACGAGATCGAGCGCAAGCTACGTGGCGAGAACACACCTGAGTACTATGGTGAATTCGAAAGCGAATTCGATGGGTTTGAAGGTGCCTCAGACCTTCTTACACCGCCACGTAGTGTGCCTGAGAAGACATCCACTCGTGGACGAAAGCGGAAGAATCCGGGTGACGGGCCGAGCACGAAACGACCCAAACTCCACCCTGAAGGACCACGGAAGCTCCCGTGTTTGCTATGCCCTAACAATTTGGACTATGAGGATCTTCTTCCGACCGAAGATGGTAAAGGGCATGCGCATAGACGGTGTGCGGCGTTCATTGAAGAGACCACAATTCTCCGTGACGCATCTGGGACGGAAGTTGTGTGTGACATTGACAAGATCCCCAAGGCTCGCCTAGGCCTTAAATGTCTCTTTTGCCGCGAAGTCCGCGGCGCCTGCTTCCAGTGTAACTTTGGCAAATGCACGCGCGCTTATCATGCAACCTGTGCTCTTTTGGCAGGTGTTCAAGTTGAGCATGGTGCGATTGCTGTGATTGCCGATGATGGTACTCAATACTCCATTCCGAGTGTGGATTTGAAATGCAAATTCCATCGCCAAAAGCGGCCGAATGGAGTCTTGGGTGAATCGTCCGATGTGGATCGTCGGGTAATCGAATCGGCTCGTCGTCTAGTGCAAGGAAATTTGATCCAATTTCAGGCCGACAAGGAGATTAATGGCGCCATTGTTCTTGAAAATCGACCCTCTGAGCGAAGTCTTTTGCTCAAAGTACTCCCAAGAGGGTTAGTTGGTTTTTTTTTTTCCCCACCATTGTTCACACACTAATAATAAATCTACAGAGATGTGATTGAAATGCCCTATCGTTGGATGCTCGTTGTTCGCAAGAGTAATTTCACACCTCTCGCACTGGGAATTCAACCCCTCCCAGCCCACCTAGCACGAAAACCCGAACAACGCAAAGAGTTAGAATCAGCGGTACCGGCGGCAGGCAGTGCATTTGGCGATGCACGATCTCCCTATCAGTGGGCCGAATTCGAAACGGTGGATGCAACTAGAAACCAATTCGCCCCACTTCGTACGGTCAACCTCCAGGGTGAACAGATGTGGTATTATTTGGGCATGCAGTCCACCGAAAGTAGGGCACAGTATACACACAACCCTAGCGTGTCCATCCACAACCCTCGGGCCAATTTCCTCGATAGCGTCAAGTCGCTTGGCATGGATGTCAGCGCTCGTGCATCGAAGATCTCACCCCACCACTTTCATTATGCTGCCACCGCCCCTGCCCCTCTTTACCAGCGAAACTTGAACCCAAACCAGCAAAATATTTACTCTTCGAATGTCAACACCCCTCACCTACAATCCCGACCGCCCTCTTCTGCCTTGCAGAACCTCGCCCCTCCCCCTCCTTTTATCCCTGTTGCCGGTGCTGCTGCTGGTGCTCCTGCGATGCCGTCGGCCTTTCGAACTCTACCCAACCAGTCTGCCCGTCATGCCCCCTATCCTTCGGTCGTCAAGTCGCACGCTCAGCAGCAGCATCACCTCCCATCCACCAACACTTTTGCCAATGTCAGAGAACTTATTGCTCGCCGCCGCCTAGCACAGATTACCGACCACGCCAATGTTTTTGCCGGATACACTATCGTCAGCCCCGAATTGGTGGTCGAGACTCTGTTGGGTCCCATGGGCTCAATACCACCGGCCAATGGTCTTGAGAAGCTGGAACTGGCCATGGCCCAGCAACGGGTTCAGCCACGGGCTGCGGATGGGACTCTGCTGCCGCCTCAGACTCTAAACATGCGATCGGAGGAGGTCACTCGGCTTCTTCAGATGCTGCGGTTCTCCCTGGTCAGCCACCGCGAGCGACTCGATGTCATTCAGAAGAAGGAATCGGAGGGTCTCAAGCAGGAGACTGTCGATCGGGGTAGCGTGGCTGCTGCTAAGATGCCTGGAAAGTATGCCTACCTTGATCAACAGCGGTCGCTGTCACCGAATGTTTATCGGTCCCCTTACAACATGCCGTCGGGTCTCTCCGAATATGCCAAGGCTACCTACGGATTGGTTCCTGCGGCAGATGACCCGCCCAAACCATCACTGGCGAACGACTATTTCAACAATCTACCACCAGAGCATCAGGAGAAGATCTTGAAGGCATGTGGTAGCTTCGTGCAGCGTGCAATCGAGCGGTCGGCGAGTCACAGCCGGCAAAGTTCATCATCAAATCTCCGGCTGTCGGCGGCTCTAGCCCAGCAAACGGAAAATCCGACAATTGACATAACCCCCGTGGAGGACCCTCCCCTTCTCTCGGGTCTAGATATGCCGCTCCACGCAGATTCTCCATGCTCCAGTTTCGGTCGGTCGCATCTACGATTCCAGTCGCCAAATGAGTTCCCCATCCATGGTCCAGATCCCCATCCAGACCACCACGATTTGTTCGGAGATCAGCAATTGAATACTCGCTTCTGGCAGAATGGGCCATGGGTCGGCGGGGATGGCAACACTCCAAATGACGAGAACCGGCCGTTCTTCGGACCACATATCTTCGGACCGCACGAACGACTCAAACATGACTATGCATCCTCCGACATCTCCCTGGGCAAAGGGCCTGGATCCTTGCACTCTGTCGATATGGCAGGCTTTGGCCCAGACTTGAATGATGACCTTGGTCTAAGTCCATAAGAGGTTGGCCTCGTCACTAACCTCGTCACCTTTCTGACCTTTTTAAACTCGCGTTTGCCTCTGCGACTGTACTTGCATCTCATGTAACGACTTCACCGGACTGACGACACTGCATGAATGGGCGTTTTTCTTGTTTTTTCACCCGACCTCGATCATCACTTGATTGACGATCGTTCCGTTACCACGGTCATGTTTCTTTTACGATTTGGAGTTGGCACTAGCTGGCTGGTCACGACTCAGCGCATTTCCCTTTCTTTTCGATCATTATTTTTCCTTTTCAAGGCGCGACATCTCGGAAAAGGCGGTCCAACTGACCTACTTTGACTACTAGAGTGGTCACATAGACGGAGTTCAACATGCACGGTTCCTTTGCGGCCGAAAAATCCTGACAGCCTTTTCCCGTCACCATCTCTCTCTCTCCCCCCTTTTTCAACACTCAGAGCCTACTTTCGCCCATACTCTCTTCCCCCTCCACTGATCTCCCTGTTTGTTCTATTAGATATCTCATCAAACAAGAAAAAAATTTCTTTTCTTCACCCCAGCGAGATCACTGGATGACATTTGTGCTTTATCCCCCCTTTGATACCCCCCTTTACCCCCTGCCCTACAAATTCCCGAAGGAAGGGCGTGGACCTGGATTTCATCCCCTTTGATCTGATTCCGTCCCCTTTCCCTTGTGTTGATATATCCATCCTGGCGCTCATCCATTGCTCAGTCTTCTCTAAATCATCCATGGGAGTCTTCGCAGCATGTTCCTGATGTGGCAGCCGTCACCTTGCGTGACCTTGATGTATGTGTGCAATGAATCATTCAAATATTCAATTTCCGAGTGTAGACTTGTGTCTGCGTAGTTTTGCGTAAGCCTGAGTAGGTCCCGAGGTCTCCTCTCCTCGGCTTGGCCCACCGCTTCTGTTTTCAGGCAGCCAAATCCATTCGATTCCAAGTGTGTCCACCCTTTGAAACCTAACCTACCCCACAAACACGTATCCTCATCCAGCCCCCACATTATACCCATCTTCCCATCCTTCCTTGGGAGACTGTATACGGAGTATTTAGTAGGGACCTCGAGAGCAGCCAATCCAAATCGAGCCATGTACCTACATACATATGTGTAGGTAGGTGATAACACTGGCTATCTTGTAGATGTGTTCTCTTTCCGGAGTCCCCGATTCTTAATCTTGCCGCGCCCACAACTATAGTGTATAGCATAGTTTGGCACGGAACCCCGCTGCAGATCCTCTTATGATGTCAAACGTGTTCCGACTGCAATCTCCCCGCCTTGTGGTATTGTTATGTGGTGTATGTGTGGTTCTAGGGGTTAAGATAGTGTTAATGAAATTAAGATTGTTGAACGTAGTGCTTCATAGAGTACGGAGTATATGTTGTACACTTCCTTAAACGGGATCTAATGCAGGAATACAGGGGTATTCTCACGTGATATAGAGTGAATGCTACGGTATCTTCGATATCTCTCTGGTCTCATAATCATAATGGATCCCGTTAATGGAAGTTGACAAAGATGAAATAGGGGAATTAAGTGGGTCAACGGGAAAATGCCGTGTCTCTTATCTTTCTATACTATTAGGTCATGAGACATCCGCAATATTTTTTAGCAAAAAAAAGCCCGTTAACCCAAAGATACTCGATGATAAGCCTGAAAACTCCCTATCCTTTCATTCGTTCAAGATATCTTTTCGCCTCAATCTTTAAACTTAAGTGCGCGGTCCCGGACCGCGCCATGTTTTCCATGCGGGGTTATCTTACTTAAACTTGTCTTAGTCTCAACCTTGGAAGATATAATATCAACCTCGAATGGTTACTGGAATGTTCACTTTCCGACACATTCAACATGCGAAGCTCATCTGTTGATGCCTCCGCCAACGAGGCATTGGCCCGTATGGGCTACAAGAGTGAATTACCACGAAACCTGAGCATGCTGAGCATCCTCGGCTTATCCTTTGCCATCATGGCAGCCCCCTTCGGACTGAGCACAACTCTTTACATCACCCTCGCCGACGGTCTATCTGTTACTATACTCTGGGGTTGGGTATTCGTCTCCCTAATCTCAATCGCCATCGCCGCCTCTCTCGCTGAGATCTGCGCCGTATACCCAACAGCAGGAGGCGTGTACTACTGGAGCGCGATGCTCTCAACGCCCCGCTGGGCACCCTTGATGTCCTTCATCGACGGCTGGCTAACCCTCGTCGGCAATTGGACCGTCACACTTAGCATCATCTTCTCCGGTGGCCAGCTAATCCTGAGCGCCATCTCTATCTTCGATGAGTCCTTCGTCGCCAACGCGTGGCAGACCGTATTGATGTTCTGGGCTGTCATGCTATTCTGCGCCCTAGTCAACATCTTCGGCTCGCGCTATCTCGATCTCATCAACAAAATCTGCATCTTCTGGACTGCAGCTAGCGTCATCATCATCCTCATCACGCTTTTGACAATGGCCGATGACCGCCGAGACGCGGAATTCGTCTTCGCTCATTATGACGCCTCCACCAGCGGCTGGCCCGCTGGGTGGGCTTTCTTCGTGGGTTTGTTGCAGGCAGCTTACACCCTAACAGGCTACGGAATGGTCGCTTCCATGTGCGAAGAGGTGCAGAACCCGCATCGCGAGGTGCCCAAGGCAATCGTGTTATCCGTGGTCGCGGCCGGCATCACTGGTCTGTTCTACCTGATCCCAATTTTATTCGTGATGCCCAACGTACAGCTTCTGCGCGAGGTCGCCAGCGGCCAGCCGATCGGCTTACTCTTCAAGACGGTGACAGGTTCCGCGGGCGGTGGCTTCGGCCTACTCTTCCTGATTCTGGGAATCATGCTGTTCGCCGGCATTGGGTCCCTTACAGCTGCCAGTCGCTGCACATATGCATTCGCACGTGACGGTGCCATTCCGGGCTTCAAGCTCTGGCGTCAGGTCAACACCAAATTGGATGTGCCTGTGTGGGCTATCGTGCTCTCAGCGGTTGTAGATGGCTTGCTGGGACTGATCTATTTCGGTTCCACGGCTGCATTCAACTCTTTCACCGGCGTGGCTACTATCTGTCTGTCGACCTCGTATGGTCTTCCGATCTTGATTTCTTTGATCCGGGGCCGCCGCGATGTGAAGGGCTCATCGTTCTCGCTCGGTCGATTCGGATACGCTATCAACTGCGTTACTATCGTGTGGATTGTTTTGGCTGTCGCTCTCTTCTGTATGCCTGTTACCTTGCCTGTTACCGCGGAGTCTATGAACTATGCCAGTGTTGTATTCGCTGGATTCGGCGGTATCAGTATCTTTTGGTACTTTATTTACGCGCGTAAGCACTTTACTGGACCTCCTGTCAGTGGTGACGAGGCGCGCGCGGCCACAGAGCTTATGACGGGGACACCGGTGGATGCGGAGAAACCGTTGGAGACGATGAAGAAGTTGCCAAGCGAGTAGGTGGGGGGTTTCTTTACATTACATAGCTACAAGTCCTTTATTTTAATATAATAAAACAAGAAAGACAATACTTTAACTTCGAATCTTCACCTGTTAGGTTAGAATGTAATTTCGGCGACAATCACAAGTGACGATCGCCGAGAGCCGCGGTCCAACAGCACACGCCCATCTCCAGGTAATCTAAAGGAGTTCCTCATTTCCCACATTTTGATTGGAGTGAATCTTTCCAATCTGGGGAAAAAAAAAAAAAAGAGAAGACAACATTCCGGGGAAAATCACAGTCAGACCACAGGGAACCTCGGGAATCTCGACTCTCCTATCGGAACAACAATCCCTCTCCCAATTCCAAAAACACTCCCCCCTTTCAACATCTCCCCAAAAGAAACACTCACTATATCCTCAAATTCCTATTCCCAGTCTTCTACGTTCCCCATGAGGACCCGCACAAGCCGATGCCCAACCCCGCTCCCATGAAGACAAGGCAAACCGGACCGCTTATCGCGTCATGTCGGACTCTGTAGGTGCGTATGCAGATTGCAGATTGCGCCCTCGTGCATTCGAATTCCACTGACACCTTTACACTCCAGATCGAGTCTTTGTTCATGCCCTCAATACTGTTAAGAGGATTCCCCGGACCGGCACTGCGCGACCTCCCGCTGCCGAGCGGTTGGCTCTATATGGCTTGTACAAGCAGAGTATGGGTGAGTTTCCCGCATTACCGGAAACACCAAGAAACCGTCGGGGGCTAATGTTCCATCAGAGGGGGATGTGGAAGGTGTAATGGATCGACCGATTGGGAATACGCCGGAGGTGCACGCGGAGTGCGAGAAATGGTATGTCTGAAACGCGCGGGGAAAAGGGAAGCTGTCGATGTGGATCTTTCTCAAACATCGCTCTTTCTCTCTCTATATCCAAACCACAAACTCACAATGTCTTGTCTTCTAGGGATGCATGGTACGCGCAGCGCGATATGTCGCGCACCGAAGCCAAACGCCGATACATCTCCACGCTAATCGACACAATGCACGAATACGCCTCCCCAAACCCCCGAAGCACGCGAGCTAGTCTCAGAGCTCGAGTTCGTCTGGGACCAGATTAAATTCAACGCCTCCTCATCCTCCGATTCGAGTCCACTAAATAACGTCGGCGTCCCGCCCTTATCGCGCAGTGCATATGGGAGTATTGGGGGTCGATTGGCGGCGCAGTCGGAGGACTATGACCGACCCGATCGACGAGATGATACTAGTCGACGGGATCGGGATTCACGGTTACGGGTTCTCAGTCCTGTGAGTCAGCCGGAGGAAGAAGCGTATTACCGACGGGGAAGAGGATCTATAAACGACAATGACGGAGGTCAACATAATGAAGATGAAGATGAGGATGATGAGGAGTTTGAGGAAGCTCGTGATAGCTTATACGAAGAACGAGATCAAGATGACCACGACGACAATGACCCGGATCATGTTAGCTCGACCTCCAACACACATACACATACACATACCGACGCCTCTTCACATCACCGGCCCAAACACCGACGCAATCCTGCTTCTGGTAGTATAGATAGCAGTGGGAATGGACTCACGCGTCGTCGAGATTCCCATCCGCATTCACAATCCCAGGAACCACCGAAAGACAGTCGCTGGCGTCGTCGTGTCGAGCAGGCCTTGACGAAAATGACGGCTGAGATCGCTGCTGTGCGGGAGCAGATGGAGGCTCGCTCTGTTGCGCAGCGTCGTCGGTCTGGTTTGTTTGCGTGGCTCAAGTGGATGATTTGGGTTGCCGTGCGGCAGATCTTGTTTGATATTGCTATGTTGGGTATGTTGCTTATTTGGATGCGGTTGAGGGGGGATCGTCGTGTTGAGCAGCGACTTAAGACTGGTTGGGCTGCTGTTAAGGCCAGACTTGGGAAGTTTAAGCTTCTGAAGATCGTGGATATGCCTATCTTGCCATAAGAGGGTAAGAAAGTGTTCTATATATGTGGTCTGTTTACTTTCTCTTCATTTTTCTCGGCTTCTTACCTCCTTGCTGCATTTTCTTTTCTGGCATTGTTTGCACTTGGTTATTCCCACACCCCTGATCATATGTTTTGGTGTTCTTATTTACTTTCTTGTGTCTATCTTTTTTTTTTTTTTTGTCCAGTATATATGGGTTTCAATTTCAGGTCTCGGGAGTCATTTCTCTTCTGCTTTTTTTTTTCTCTTTGACTTTCTTTTCTTGGAGTGATACAGCCCGATCAATTATATCGAGTTATTAATAGACGCAGGCATCAATCCAGATGATGTATTGCTATGATTTGGTGGAGGGCCTTAGAACCAGCTTAGACGATCATATATACCCTTTTGTGCTGCTTTGATCTAATTCATCGGGTTTATGTGCCCTATTGGAAGCCAATGGGGTGTTATTCATGATATTGCTCTCCCTTAGCTAGCACCTTCTATCCTCATCTTGCTTTTTATCTTTCACCTGCTCCGGTAGTACAGAGATTAGGTCTAGAGAGGATGTATTTCCCGCTATAGCGAGTTTTTATCCTCTTCGAACTTCCCCTTGATCGACTTGATTTAGCATATGTATTCCAGTATAGTGAGCTACTGGGAGTACCATTCATCTTGGAAAATCCAATGCCCCTAACTAAATGTTCAAAAATAAGTCTACATAGGTAGGTGCCTAGGATGAAAGAGACGTAATGTTTACTATAACATCAGAGAGAACCTTTTTGAGGTCGAGACAGCAGGGCTTGATGTATGACTTATTAATTAATAGCATGGTACTCATTTAAGCAAGCGCGGCGGCGCATTCTATTCCTCCATGTATCCTCGATCTTCGCGACAGCAGCCCCTAAAATTTCAGAGCCATTACCCACTAATACACCGCGAAAAAGATATTTCAGGGCCATGTTCAATTATGGCATAAGTAACCACCGGTCCGCCAATAATTCTCTAGCAGAACTTCTTTCCTCTGGCCGCCACTGGAGCATTTTGCGCATGAAGGCGAGAAAGAGTTGTTGCTGTTCACCTTGCAAAATTTCCTCCCGCTGTTCCAAGGCTTTTGATGGAATGGGAGCTGCTCCCTTCCAATTGCCTTGAATTGCTTGGTTAGTGGCAGGACGTGTAAAGTGTTGGAGATAGCGTACCCTCTGAATCAAAGAATTCTGTAGCATAGTAGTTGTTCTGTAACAATTCTCTAGGTGGCGGTCCAAGAACCGCAATCACCTCGGCGATATGATGAGCGTTCGAGTCCTCCTTCTTCGAATCTTTGGCATAGAATAGTGGCTCCCGTTGGAAAATATTCCATGTCTGGATGAGTTAGTTGCATGGTCAAGAAATGGATTTGAGGGGCCTACGTACGAGAACCGCAAGATTCCAAATATCGACCTTTTCATTCCAAGTCGTGCGCAGCAAAATTTCTGGAGCTCGGTATATGTAAGGCTGAATGTCACCATTGTAACGGGCAGAACCGAAACGAGCTTGACCAAAGTCGCATAAAACAGGTGGACCATGGTTATTTGTTGTCTTGAGTTCGCGAGATGCATAAATCACCTTATTTCCAACAACTTTCCGTGGACTAGGATTGGATTTCTCTCCCTCCTCAAACTCAACCAACAGTGACTCATCCTCAATGTTGAGCATGATATTATTTTCCTGTATGTCTTAAGAGAGTGTTAGGAAAGATGAATCAGTCGTAAAAGATGAGTAGGTGTTATCATACCGGTATGGACGATGCCAGCCTCTGTATGGAGGTAGTCAAGAGCAAGTAGAAGATGCATCAAAGTCAATTTCACTGCTATTTCGGGTAGTATTTTATCTGTGAATAGATGTCTGAGGTCATATAGCCTTATGCCGAGAGGCTGGTGCACGATAACCTGATAACTTCCTTTCGCATCGTCGATCTGAAAGGTATCAAGCGCTGTGCGAACAAGCATGGCGCCAGCATGGGAGGTTTTGATCGCATTGATGCGATCGTAGTTTGCCATTTCTCTTTTGCCTTCGGCTGAGCCTTGTCGGAACACTTTCAATGTGAGATATTTATGCTGTCTAATATTGGATTAATATTTGCATCGATTGTGCTGTAGTATTAGAAAGAGAGAGAAAAAAAGCATACGTAAGATCTTTGCAAAGCCATACCGTCGAGTATCCCCCAAACCCTAGTTTTCCAATAACTTGGTACCTAGATTGGAAGACCTCACCAATATTGACAGAATATGAATTTTCTGCGGTGTATCCTGGATGCGTTTCTTCCTCAAATTTAATATTTGAATCAAGCAGTTGGATATTCGATTGAGTGAATTGCCGCACGGGTGAAGGAGGTTGCTGGAAGAAAGGACGCTTGAAGAAAGAGCGCTCGAAAAACCGGCCTCTCAAGCCTCCTAGGCGAAACATTATTAATGTTTAAAGCTGAAATACTAAGCTCAAGCTAGGGAAGAAGCACCCTTGTAAGGTAAAGGGACGACGTTTTAGGAGTTCAGGGAACCCTGTACGCAGGTGTATAGCTGCCAGGGGTAGGATGCGGTGTCTAATGGTACTGGCGCCTGAAAGTTTCGGATTATGCCTGAATTACCATAACATACCCTTGGGGGAATTGAAGAATTCCAGTCCAAAATCAACACGTTAAAAAATGGGCATCAAATGTGACACGATTCGTACATATATTAATCCTATAGGAATATAATAGACTTGAAATGGTGGTTATAGTGGTTATAGGAATTTAAAGTTGCAAAGCGAGGTTAGTGGACACTCTCGATATAATAAAATTGCACCAGAAGTGCCGAATAAATGACATTAATTTCTCAGCTATAACATGGAACGATTCTTTGAGGTGCATAATGTGAACTTCTCGACTCAGAAACGCTACAGACATGATAGAACTCACGCGGTGTAAATAAAAAATGTTTGGAGCCAGGGCTTGACCAAATATTCCAGAGCTGAACAATAAGAAAACTCAGCATATGGCATTGGGATGATTAAGATGTTGGTAAAAACGGAGCTTAAAACGGCCAAGGTAGCCATTTTCGGTAGCAAATTCACCGTTAATTAGGGTTGTGGGGTAGTGATAACTTAAGATCCCGTAGCACATGCCTGCTAGTATAAGCCCAATCAATGCTGCTTTCAAGACCAGTCAAAATTCCAAGATGAAGATGTGTCATATGCGAAAGATGTGGCACCGGTTGAGATAAAAGGCGTAACTGGCGCAGTCGTTGTCGTTGTGATAGTATAGCTGTTGATTGGATACAAACCATAGCTGGTGCCATAGTTATATTGGCTTCTAGAGTTGTCACTCCCGGTATCAAGACTATAGACAGACGAAGAAACTTCCGGGATCGGGGCTGTCAAAACTAATGTCTCATGTCGAGCAGGTGTCGCCGTCGCAGCCACCATACTCGCAACCAAAGACACAAAGACAATCGTGAACGGAATCTTCCCAAGCGCCAAAAGAGCCGAAGCCGCAGAAACCGCAGTTGGGGCTGGCGAAGGCGGCGGATGCCGTGAAATCGTATTATTAGCAAAGTTGGTGCCAACCCAGGCATTCCAGTTCTGGATATCATCCAGACACGATTCCGAGATCGATGCACCGCGCATCTCAGCAACGGTCTCTCCCCGACGAGACACCGTCACAACCACTTCTCCAGTATTGCCATCGAACGGTACACTGCCATGATAAAGACCGATTGGACCGTGTGGTTTGTTCTTCCACTTCCCATCCTGAACGACACCGCCAATATCAACAGACACCTCCACATCAGCGGCAGAACGCAGAAGTGCAGAGAAAAACACCTCATCCTGCAAGACGTCCGTAGGCGGGAACTCTTTCTGCCCGTGTGTCTCTGTATTACCCATAGTGCCACCATTGGTACAAGCCTTCCCAGGCGCCTGGCGGAACCAAGCAGTGACACCCTCGGTAGTAACATTCGCCCTGGCACCTTTATAGACATCAATAATGAAAGGCAGGAAATCGCGCCAGCCGTCATGAGGGTGTCCGGCGGCGTAGTTGTAGCTCGCGTTTCCGATCTCGAAAGTCGCGTATGCACCTTCATGCAACGGGCCGATGTAGTGTGATTCGCCGTAGTCGTTCCATGAGATGATCTCCACAAACTCCGGCTTTAGCGATATCACTTGCTGCCACCGGTCGTACCACAGGTTATCGCCGTTCCAGATCCAGTTCTTGCCGTAGCCAGGAAGGTTCGTGTAGAACCATGGTGAGACCGGCATCATGTACGGCAGTTCGCCTGTGTCTTTGAGCCATTGCATGTAGGTCGAGTCTATGTATGTGTTTATCGGCTCTGGACCTTCGGGCCATGCAGCCCAGGAAAATAGTCCGTCTGGAACACCTGGGGCGACGGCAAGGGCGTCCTTTGCACCTAGGGCTGACCACCCCGGTACGAAGAAGCAGTCTGTGTACTTTTTGATTGTGGCCCAGTCTGTAGCGTTGGAAGAGCCTTCGAAGGTTGAGACGAAAGGTTTGCCGTTGTGCTGGTAGTAGGCTGTGTTGTTTCCATATTTCCGAAGCAGGCCAATCACCTCTCCTTCTGGCCAGGCGCCGTTGCCTACATAGTCAAATGAGAAGAGGAGTTGGAAGTCCAGAGCGTTTGCGGCGGTGAATGCGTTCGCTAGGGAGCGGTTGTTTGTTGGGAAGTTGTATGCGATGTTTAGGGCAAAGGCGTCGATGTGCGCCCTTTGCGCTTCTGCTATGTTGACTTCCCAGTCATAGACCGTGAAGTTCTCCGAGTTATATACCTGGAGTTGGAAGAGGTTAACAGAGATATAGATCGTGATTGAAGAGCCTTTACCATGAAGTGGGCGAACACAGCCGCTGCTTGGGCGTGTTGGACGCTTCTCCATAACGATAGAATTAAGAATATTGTCGACTTCATATCAACCTGCGTCAACATGCGTGTGCGGCTCAGACTATAGAGGTAAGTAGCACATAAATATGGAGAATCGCTCGAGAAATAGGAGCGGCTTTTCTATAAATTATCTATGTCCTTGTTTTGGTGTTGCACATGCACGGAATTTGGTGGAGAGTTTGATACCTGCATCTATCCCTCTCGAGATGTCTATAGATAGATGCCGGAGGTCCGCTATTTGTACATCGGGATCTAAGCGTACTCTTGGCCTTTCTCTCGTTGTACTTTCCTCATACCTTGGGCCTTAATACTCGGGGTTTGTACTTGCTGTCGATATTACGACATACCTCAGATACACTTCAATAGCCAACCAATGCTGTTCATCGAGGCTGTGACAAAGGGACTTTTGAACCTCAATAAAAAGGTACTTAGATATGTTTCGGATTATCTCAGAGGCCTAGTTACACGAGGTAGTATATCGGAAGGCCGGAATTAAGGCTCAATTACACACATTGACCAGCAGGCTAAACCCCTGCAATCCAGTCAGGTGAAGGATGATGAGAGTTGTGGATTTCTTCGGATTATAGAATGTAACAATCTGTCATTTTAGTCCAGACTCTGCAGAACGGTTGATGCTAAGCCTTTGTATCAGCCCGAAAAATCGCTCAGTCCAGATCGGAATTTCGAGAGAAAATATCATTAGACCAGATCTTCTCGAAGATATATTATTAGGATCATAGAGATTGGCATGTCCGGCAATATTATCCGTGAATATGTCTGGGAAGACTAAAGCACTGGCAGCTGGTAGAATCGCCAGTATGTACCTATATCCCACCTAAACTTTGTATCACACACCGCTAGCTACATGCATACTATCACCACCACCTAAAGTGAAAGTTAATATTGGGAGCCGGCTGTGGGAGCCGGCTGGATTCACACAGGCCCCCAGAACAAGAACCCACCATACCCGGTGCGTATGAGTTGGACAGAGTCAAATATCGGAAGGAAAACATAGCTGGGGCATTTTATATACACGGTGAGACTCTGCGGTGCATGGGTAAGTCTGAGTGATAGCCCATGTATACACACTTCCCCACCGAGGAATGTCAATGTGTAATATGCCTAGCCTCTTCACTGCAATGGTTACCTACATATGCATCAAGCCGAGTAGGTTTTCGAGCTAGCGGGCAGTATTTGAGTCCGTACTACTACTAACTCGAAAGCATGCCATTGCAAGCCGCAATGGGTTGGAAAACATGTCGCCCCATGCATGCTATGTGAGCAAGGCAAGAGGATTTGGAGAGATTGAACAGAAAATCATGTAACCATTCATGATGCCAAGAGATATTTACACAAACATAGACCGAGTTTACGGTCGAGCATCCAAATAAAACAGTGATATAGAAAAAAGACAGTGCCAAGATTATGAGAGGGAAGGATGAGGGCGCAATCAGGGCGAGTCTAGAGAGGACAAGGTAGACCGGGAGAGTGTTTACCACTGAGGGCCGGGGTACTGTGCGTATTTTTGCTTGGGGCGCAAGTGGACAGGAACCTGGTTCTCGGGGGCGCCAGGGGGGTCTTCTTCAAGCCCTAGAAGAAACAAGAAAAGTGTATGTTAGCTCTAGTCCGAGGGTGATAGCGGATGCGATGGACGCGAGGTGATTGAGATGATTTGAGGCAGGAGGACATAAGCCATACCAATTTGTCGAAAACACAGGCGTTAAGAGCCACCTCGGGCCTGCGGCACTCCCAGAGCTGGTGGTTGTTGTTCTCGAGACACTCCCAGTGGGCCTTGAACTGGTCAAAGCAGTGGGTGTTGATGTCCTTGATGCTGTGATGGGTCAATATCTTCCTATCAACTCAAAGGTGAATTGTAAAGGCAACATACACGCTAGCGGCACAGCGCGTCACCTTCCGGCCCTCCTTCAAGCAGTCGATCTCCCCGCGGCCATTGGCCTCGGCCTTGCACTTCATGAAGTCGTCATTGAAGGCCTTGCAGCGATCTCCAATGAAGTAAGCTGCACTCATCAGGGGTGCAGATGTGGCACCGATCTCCTCCACCTTGGGAATGTGATCGGGCATAGGCGTGGTGTCCACCAGGACAGTCTGGTTGAAGCTGTGCGCGGAGGGATGGAGGTTAGCGTGTCACACGGAGCTTGGCGGAGAGGAAGCAATTGTAATTAAGTTACATACCGAGCATCTCTTTGGGCCATGGCGACGGTGGCTTGTCAGAACGACTGTGAGGGGAAATAGGTGCAATTGAGACGAGACTTGGAGATCGATAGTCGAGAGCTGCGGGTTGCGGTGGAATGAAATTTGGCTCGTTGGTGATTGGCTGGTTGGATGATGATTAGGTCAGCGTAACATGTTGCCCAGGTGCAGTGTTGGGCTACAGCGTGAGAGTGTTGCCTTTGTTGATGAGATAGATCAATGAGAAGAAGGAGACAATCAAGACAATAACACAGTACAATAGGTCAATATAAGCTCATTATTTTTTCACTTCTTCTATTCTAATATGCATTTAAGCTGTTTGCGAACAATAGCACATCACGTGACACAAACAAATCGAGCTCCGGCTCTCATCTTTCTCGGCCTTCGAGCTCCATCGAGGAACCCCTCAGCTTTCTTCCCTTCGACTGTCAACCTTCAGTCCCTGGACTATGCGCCTTGGGCTTGTTTCTATTTCCCCTCAGCGCTTTTAATCTGGCTGCGCCAGTGCTTTATTGATCCATTGACGCGCTCCATCTTTATCGTGGTTTTTTTTTTGTGCCTTTTTGATTGCCCATCATGTCTCTCTTTGGTGGAACCCAACCTCAGGCCAATACGTCCTTGTTCGGCAACACTGCACCGAAGCCATCTCTCTTTGGCGCCCCGGCAACCGCAGCCCAGCCCAGCACCAGCACCAGCACCAGCACACTGTTCGGCGGGCAGACTCAACAGCCAGCAACGACATCAGCGGGAGCAACCAGTGCATTCGGCGGAAGTGCATTTGGCGCAAGTGCCGCACCTCAGCAGCCATCAGGATCGTTGTTCGGAAATCCACAGAAGCCCCAGAATACCTTCGGTTCGGGTGCTTTTGGGCAGCCGCAGCAGCAACAGCAAGGAAGCGCATTCGGCTCCTCGCTACAGAAGCCGCAAGCTAGCCTTTTCTCTGGAGGCCAGCAGCAAACACAACAGCCAGGGGGTGGATTAGGAGGACTCGGAGGTCTGGGTTCCAACACTCAACAACCAACAAATGCCTTGGGTCAGCAGCAATCGCAATTCGGCCAGAACACGATGACCACGCCACAGCCCCAACAGCAACAACCTTCTCTGTCGTCAAGCCTTTGGTCCCCTGGCCGTGCTATTACCGGGGGTGGGTCTATTGTATAACCTTTTACTGCGAAGCATTACTGACAGACTGCTTTATAGTGCACCGAACTGTTCCTATGCAAGTGGCCATCATCAAGGATAAGTGGGATCCACCCAGCCAAAGCTCACCATTCCGAGCCTATCTGTACAACAATGTCGGCGAGGAGGCCGCACCTTTCTACCAACCAGGTCCCGAGGACGATGAAACAAAATGGGAGGAGGCTTTGCGCAAGCGACCGGGTCCAGGATATGTCCCTGTGCTTGTAAAAGGCTTCTGGGACTTGGGCAAGCGCGCACAGCGACAAAGGGACTTCCTCACTATGATGCAGTCGCGCCTGCACGAGATCAACAACTGCTTGACTGGGCTTCTCTCGAAGCATGACCTCAACCTTTCCGTCAAGATCGCTGATTGCCGGCGGAAACACATTATTCTCAGCAAACGATGCCTCTCCCTTGCTGCCAAGACACAGATCCTTCGCAACAGAGGATACGCCATGGATGAAGCTGAGGAGCAGTTGAAGAAAAAGCTTGTTGAGTTGGAACGTGCCGTTTTCGACCCATCTCTCAGTGGCCGCGCTGAAGAAATCTGGGCCCGTATGTTGGCCATTCACGAACACTCCAAGCGACTGCAGGTGGAGATGGATCGCGCCGGGGTAAACGTGACACAAGCGGAGGATGACATTGATGAGCAGACACTGAAGACAGCAAAGAAGGTTCGTCATTCCCGAACTAGTACACTGGAAGAGCTCGCTAACCACATCTCCTAGATTCTGGACGATTACCACGCTCAGATTCAGCATCTCCAGAAGGAGATGGAGTCCATCAAGAAAGACTTCAACGAGGTGGAGAAAGCAATTGGGAATTGAGTACATTGCTCTATAACTTTCTATCTGCTATTTCGAATCTCAATTTCTTCACATGTTTGGACTTAATGTCTACGGCCATCGGGGTACCGGCGTTCTTGGGGATAAGGCCATTGTAATGCATAACTGAATACAAACTTCTTTGCTGAACACTCTACACTCCACTTTGGGTGTCTCTTTTTGCGTCTCTCATTTTGCTTTCTGGGGCCTCTCTGTTGATGCTGCCTCGAATTGATAGCGCCTGCTTTCTCTGTCGTATGCTTACTACTATTTTCTAAATGTCATGTTCTCTCAAAGTTAATTTCGACTCTGTATATTCCATGGCCTTTGGCGTTAGCTACCTGGAATTAGCTAACGTCCAAGGGCATTCTCTCATTTTTGCTCTTTTCCACGTAGGCTTGACCTGTCGATCGTTCTCGGTCTCGATCATTGTTTATTTTTTTTACTTGCTCTTTTACCTCAATCGCCTAGCCTTTTGCTCCATCTCCATCTTTATCCCGCTTTATGCTAGTAGAGCGCAATCTCGTGAACTTGTTGCGTAATATAGCAGAGTCCCACCTGAATACGAAGGATGCTGGATCCATGCATATAAGTGTCGCACCTTTCAAACCCAACCTTGGAAGTTCTAGACAAGCTGTTCAACTACGATCCCAATAGGGAGATCAATATACTCTGTCGACCCGGGTATACTCCGTGCTACTTACACTAATCAAATATACTTAAGGTTACACAACTTCTTATATATCTGGCACCACCGAGTTTACTGTCGTAAAACCAGATAGAGTTCAGTGATCATATGTTCAATCGTACATAGTACGTTATACAGAAACACGGAGATAAGCATTCATTGCGCTGATACGAGGCACAAACTTAACTAGATCATCTTCTTCGAGATTCCTATGGTATCGTTTATAGCTAGTCCCGCCGAGCTAACTAAAACCGTTTCATAGTGGCAGATCCAAGTACAGGTTGTCATGCAAAGAGAGAACCTCAATAGATTGACAATGATACTGTGGCAGATTGAGTACGTGAAATAGTCTCATGCCAAATACGATGCCAAATGCTCATCCGCTGTCATGTTGACTCATTACTGTTACCATAAGATAGCTAGCAAGACCCTGTTTCCGTGGAACCGATATATTGCAATTTCTTATGTTGATTTGCCGTATATCCCATAAAACACAATTGACAACAAGAATATGCACAATAGTAATACACCACCCAACCGACACTACCCAGCAGGCCCAAAAGGTATAGTAGATGAGCTTCAAGAGCTTTCCATAGACTAGATGTCCACGCTCGATCTTGGCCAATTGCGGCTGGGAAATAAAAAAAATATGCCAGGGGGGAAAATCAATTATCCAGTTCTCCTGCATCTCATCGCGAAATCATAACCAGCGATTCGTCGATTACAGTCCGGGAAGGGCAAGAAAGAGGAGCGGAAGACGGGTCAACCGGCTTAAAGGAACTTGCGGACGAAGTCAACGGCGAAGGGAGCTTTATTAGATGACACATGTTAGTTTTCGATCCACTGAACTCTTCTCTGACTCGTTTCGGGTTGTCTGCTCCTTCAAGGCTTTGTGGACCAGATACTTGACTTACACAGGTAGAGGAGGAAACCACCGGCGAGAGCCATCTGGACGGTCTGGCTGGCCTCGATCTCACCAGCCTGTAAAATATGTTAGTATCAGACGCTACTTGAGGCAGTGGTCCTGGCGTGATGCTGACCTTGATCTCTTCCTTGGAGATCTGTTCTTGGCCTAAACAGAATTACATCGTCAGCTCGAGTTTGGTGGAGCAAAGAGACATGCGATTATGAGCATACCTGGGGCAAACATTTTGAATGTGATGAAGAATTAAAGAATGAAAGAGGGTTCAGATAATAGATGTTGTGAGAGTTGAGTGTTGCGAGGTCACCCAAGTCGGACTGGAGAAATAAATCACGGGAGCACAGACCACCGCTCTCCTTCACTTCTTGAGGTTTTGCCTTCACTACCTCCCCTCTCACTATCCACTTGTATTCTATCAATTTAATTTTGAGAGAAGCTTGTGCTGTGCTTCTCCTTCCAACTCCTACCTTTACATCTCACCTGCATTGCGCGAATCTGCAGTGCACCGATTGATTTTGCGGAGCGGCGTCGGGATCACTCAGGCAGATAACGTACCGTGACTTGTTTGCGATACCCCTAACTGATCTCTGCACCTTTGAATCTTTGTTCTTAATCTATCCTATTACATTTGCTGCTATCTGAACCGCCATGTCTGCTTCACCGGACCACAAGGCTGTCTCGCCCGCCGCCTCTCCGGAACCCGAAGTCACCGAGCGAGTCGCAACACCGGTTGCTGGTGACGACAACGAGGGCGAGAACTTCACTGACCCTACTGCTGAGGCCAAAGAACTCACAGAGGACGTGGATGACGAGCTACACGCCGCAGACGACGACGAAGAGGATGATGACAAGGTTTCAGACGACGAGTCCATTTTGTCCGAGGTTGACGAGGCACAATTCGACAATTTCGATCCACAGAACGTTGACGTCGAGGACCGCCCACAACTTGCCATTGATGAAGATAACTTGAAACTTATTGGTCGTCACAAGCGCAAGCGCACCGAGGATGGCGAGAGCCGTCCGCGCCGGAAAGAAGGTCGCCGTGAGAAGAAGAGCCGTCGAGCTGACGAGGGAGGCGACGAAGGAGGCTCGTCTCGCCGACGTGAGCGCAAGCAGCGCGAAGATAAGCCCGAGGTAGATGAGGAGACTCTTGACCCGGAGACCCGTATGTTCTACTTTTTACTAGCAACTAGTTTTCCGCCCCGGACAGTCTGTACTAACTGGATTTCAATCATCAGGACGTCGCCGAGCTCTCGACCGTGCCATGGACGAGGCGATGAAGAAGCCAGCGAAGAGACGTTTCCGCAAGCAGGATGGCATTGTATGTGTTGCGTCTGGTGACATGTACTCACCTACGTTTACTGACTGTACTATTAGGATTTGGAATCTATGGCAGATGCTGAAATCGAGGATATGCGCAAGCGCATGACCCACGCAGCGCAAATGGATGCGATCAACCGCCAAGAAGGAAAACCTGCTATGCACAAGCTTAAGCTTCTCCCCGAAGTCATCATGCTCCTGAATCGCAACCAATACACTAGCGCCTTGGTCGACCCAGAGATCAACTTATTGGAGGCCGTTCGATTCTTCCTCGAGCCTCTCGACGATGGCGCAATGCCCGCATACAACATCCAGCGTGACCTATTGACCGCCATTACCAAGCTTCCTATCAATAAGGATGCTTTGATTGCCAGTGGCATCGGAAAGGTGGTTGTCTTCTACACTAAAAGCAAACGCACCGAGCGTCGCATCAAGGAAATGGCAGAGAAGTTGCTAGCGGAATGGACACGACCAATTCTTCAGCGCAGTGACGATTATTCGAAGCGCGTCTACCAGGAGGCCGATTATGATCCTACGTATGTTCATTGCTGCACAAGCCCCCTATCACCCACTAACACCCGTATAGAAAGGTTGTCAGGCGCGCTGCTCCCACCCCCGAGGAGATCCAAGCCGAAGCCCGCGCCCGCGAGATGCTCCCTCCGCGCCTTCTCAACCGTGCTCGTGTCGACCGTACCAACGTCAGCTACACCGTGGTTCCGCGCCAGACAGCTGTGCGCGAGACTCAGTTTGCACGTCCCTTGGGTTCCAGTGGTGAGGACCGTTTCCGCAAGATGCAAGCCCGCCAGGCTGCGGCACGCAAGGCTTCTCGTCGGTAGACTCAGCATCTGTAAATTTTTCTTTTTACCAACATGGCATCGGCCAGTTCCGTTACATGAGATTTTTTTTTTTTTTTGCGGTGTTTGGGCGTTTCGGGATCAACCGGGGATTGAATAGGGATTTGGGAGTGTGACACCTTCGCATTCCGAATGAAATAAGAGCAGAAACTTTATCAAATGCAAATTCATATGGAAATAATCAAAATAAGTGACATTTAACTTTAAACATGTCAGCAATTTGTAGACAAAAAGCCCCAAACACCAAAAGTCGGCAAGTTCGTTCCGTGCAAGACCGAGAGATGGCCGGGGGCCAACGCCGGAAAAAGAGCAGATCCCGCGATCCCACGTCATGCAATCCGGCCTTTGCTTTTTTGGTTTTATATTAGACGTTTCACCCTCTTCCAAGCTTCTTTTATTTCAAATTAAACAAATACACTATCTCACACAATGAAGATTCTTACTAAAGAACAGGAAGAAGCTCACTACAGGTACGCAATATCTACTGCACCCCCTCCAATTCCCATAATCAGCCCATACTGACGCAATCCTAATAGCTCCGTCCTCAAGGGCGGCACAGTCGGTGGCCTCCTCGGTCTTGCCGGCGGCTTCGCAGGAGTCCTACTTGCTTCACGTCGCTACCACACAATCCGCAACCTAACTGTACCGATGAAGGCCTTCCTGGTGACCTCCTCCGGTACATTCACCGGTATCATCGCGGCCGACCACGCCTCGCGCGAGTACGAGAACGAGCAAAATGCCGCATACAAATGGTATGAGAATCGCGAAGAGCGTCTCCACGCCGAACAGGTTCGCGGTCTGAGCTTCACCGACCGCGCCGCCGCCTTCGCCCGCCGCGAGAAATACAAGATCATCACCGCCACCTGGGTTGCCTCGATGGTTGGCTCCTTTGCGCTTGTCAGTCGCATCCCTGGTCTCAGTGGACAGCAAAAGCTTGTCCAGGCTCGTGTCTATGCACAGGGTCTGACGCTGGGTGTGCTTTGTGCTTCTGCTGCTTTTGAGATCTCGGATCAGCGTCGTGGTCGCGGCTTGCTCGACTCTAAGAAGAAGGCCGATGCGGCTAAGAATAAGGTTGAGCCTGTTGAGGAGGAACAGCCTGTTCACCAGGGTGGAACACCTAACCAGGGCGATCTCTGGAAGGATATGGTTGCTGCCGAGGAGGAGCGCTTGAGCTCTAAGCACCAGTCCCTCTATGATCACCACGAGAAGCAGAAGGCTGCTGGTGCTGAAGGGAAGGAGGAGAAGTCTGAGGAGAGTGATGATGACTCCAAGACAGAGAATAAGGACGCCGAGTCCAAGGACAAGAAGAAGAGCTCCTAGATATAACTCTCTTCGTTCTTGTCCACCCCCCACAACCGACCGCGATTGATCGAGATCCGTTGCAGAGGCATCACTGCCCACTTTCTTTCTATTTCCTCTCGAGACCCCGAATATCTCTGTTGGATAACCATGACAAACGGGGGGCGGTGACATTGCTTGCTTGGCCTTCATCGCCCATACATATCCTACGATTTCTTAAGCGTTCTTCTTGTTCATGTCTCAAGGGTTCTCTCTGTCCCCAAAAGTGACATTTGTTTACTGTGTCTACGTGTATGATATTACTATAGGCTGTGCCCTCTCTATCTCTCTTTCTCTCCTCAATGGAAATGAATCTATTAAAATATTGGCATTCAACAATGACGTCATAGTGATATTCGGGTATTTGGGGGTGTTGTAATATGGGCAATTCAGCACGTGAGACATATGAAAATGAAGTGCCAGCCAGATCAACGATAAGGACTTGGCCGTCAGCCTTATTTATTTCATTGCCAACTTAGAATGTTTCATCTTCCAGGCGCTCCATGCGGCGGATCACACTTGGACTTTGGTCGTCGCCCAAGTCGTCGGTAATGTCCCCAGCTCCAGCCGTAGCCAGTAAATCGGTCACGATGCGCTTAGAAGCCTCTCTTGCTACCAAGGCGAAGGAAGTTAGCATGGATATAGTATTGAAAAGAAATCCAAAGGAACAAATCTTACCAGGCGTCCTCATCAGCCGGCTCTGCGGAATGTGGAACTGCATTGTCTTAGGAGGACTTGGCCCAAGATCCTCATCGTCGTCGTAATCCAGATCGTCGTCGCTATCCCACATAGCCGACTTACCCGCAGGCTTCTTAGCAGGTGTCAAAACACTCATGCCAGGCCTGGGGATACCGCGCATGCGATTGCTGCTAGTCCGTCGCTTACGGTTCGTACCTGGGGTGTCGTTGACGCCTTTGATGGGCGATGAGAAAATCTCCGAATGGAGCCGTGGAGCCTCTGGTTCTGGACTGGAAATCGGCGAATCGTCATATCCATACTTGGAGGTAGGCTCCGCGGGTTTGGGGGTGATGTTGAACTTTGGTCGAGTGTTCGTACCACCGCCTACGTCGCGGAATCCCTTTCCGAGCGGCGTGGCTTGCACCCGGTATGTCTTGTCGAGCATTTGGTGCAGTACTGGGTCTGAAGTCTTCTGGTATCGACGGTCTTGGGTGGATGGCTGCGACGCGGGTGGGAGGAATGGTGAGGACATAGGGGTTGTGGCGGAGACGCCGCGTGGGAAGAAGAGCTGGCGGCCTGGTGTGGATGGGAGGGTCGAGGAGTCTGGGAGGTCGAATGGGGGTTCGGATTCGTTGACCTGTCTTCTTAGGTTCTCGTATGAGGACGAGTACTCCATTGAGGAGGTTGTCATGTCTTCCTCGACCTGCTGGTGATGGTGGCCCGGAGCACGAGGAGTGCTATGGGAAGAGATTGCGAGATCTGTTAGATCGAGGTCGTCTGCCTGGTCTCGACGGGGTGTTTCATGACGCTGGGAAGAGGGCGTCTCGTGGGACATGGTATCGTCGAGGCTGGTGCTTTGCGTTATGTCGGCGGACAAGTCTTCTTCCGTGGCTGTTGGGTCTTGCATCGTTTCTTCATCGGTGTTTCTTTCTTCATATCCGGATAGAGATACGTTGGCACTCGCTTCGAAGAATTGCTTCCAGAACTATAGGGAGTTAACAAGGCTGTTTATGGTTGTATATGCTGGTGATGCTGACCTTGGAACCTTCCCAGACATCTCGAGAATGCTCGGTATATTGTTCTACTAGAGGCAATATACTCGTAGTTACTATCCGATGAGCTTGACTGAAATTGTGGTCGATCTCTGTATGGATATATGATGATGAGCGGTCTGCTGGGCTGTTTTGTTTACTTTTTTACCTTACCTTGCATTGTAAGGGTGATGGACTGCTCCAATTTCTCAAGCTCCTCGGTGAGGGACAATGGCCGTTGGGCCTGCGAAGTTTGGCGAGACATGATGGTATCACTCAAGTTCAATTGTACAATCGATACAGTCGAGTCAAGAGATGAGAGCTTGCAATCACGTCCATCACTTTGACGCGCGGGGAACTTTGCCTAAAGCGGTGTGTATTTAGGGCCGGTGATAAGGGCTTGGCGGGTCACATGCATCGATGTAAGGATAAGGTGCAGGCATCACCGAATCATCTTTTCCCACTCCATAGATGACGAAGGTGAGTATTGAAACCATTTGAAAGGAAAGACACAAGTACAACATTCAGGTTCACCATGCCAGCACCACTTGCAAAAGGTATGGTCTTCTACTTCCCTTGAACCTCTACATTCTTCCCGGATCATCCGGGCGGTGTACTCATTCTTATCAGTTCCCCACTATGTTGAGGATGAGGCTGACCTCTCATGCAGGAATCATCATTACTGTTTCTGTGCTTGTAGCAGCCGGAATTGCCGTGTATGAGTCACCGCAGTTTCAACAATGGGTGACCACCTCGCGGCGCAAGATCGCCGTAGCTCTGCACAACCTCGGCGATGAGATCCAACCTCAAGACATAGCAGCGAGGCAAGATATTTCTATGACCGAGGAGACTGGCGAAATTGCCGAAGAACGCAGACGGATTGCTCGTGCGGAGATTATGCGACGAGGAACGCTCCTTGAATCACGACGAAAGACCAGCCAGCCCGGCCAGCCTCATAATAGCTTTGATACTCTTGTCGACGAGGAGGGCAACCTGCGTAAACAAAGAGACGATGAATACGATGTTCAAAACAACGAAGAATTTACTGCTAACTCAACGGGAATTGACTTGGGCACTTCGGAGCCTCTCCGGCGAGGTGCCAAGCAAATCGAGCCCGAGTCTTCGACTACGCTGGGTCGGAATCAGCTTCATGTCGACATCCCCTCGTACGCTCCCTCGAATCACCCTTCGGAATCTACTATTCAGTTCACGCCTCGGTCTGAAGCACCCGAGGGGAATACCCTATTTGATCCATTTTCTCCCAACTCTCCCTTGTCTGTATCTGGCTCCAGCCACACAGAAGACCACCAGCAGGTATATTACGCGCACCCTGATACGCCAAGCAATGAAACCTATGAACATGATCACTTCGCTGAGCTAGATGGTTTCGGCCATGAGAGTGCCCAGTCTCACCATGATATTTCGGCCGCCCCTTCTACCACCGGAAGCTTCAGCCATGTCGGAGGATTTGAGGATGAAACGTCAGACGACACTCTTAGTGACTTTGATGGGCGATCTGTTGGTGGTCTGGCTACTCCGGCATGGTCTGATGTGGGTAGTGTAATTAGCAACGAGGATGCTGGACATAATCAGTTACTCTAATCCACTCCGAACATCATGGATAACGGATATGGATGAATAGGTGGACTTTACTGGCTCGGGAAACTTTCTATTCTGGTGTTCGGTGTTTGGCTTTAGGTTTGGGCTTGGCTGCGACTTTAGTTGATGCGATACAGGGTACAATGGTATTGTGATATGATCTAATTGAAATACTAAGGGTTTCATTACTTGCAATACTTCTAGAAAGACCGCTGCAATGTACTTTGACAATGCTTTATATGCGAATGGTATTGTCAATTTGCACCAACCATGTCAAAGGAAGTTTAAAGACAAAAATCGGACTTTTACCTCTCACATTGAATCGCCTGGAACGTGATTGACGCAATCGCGAAAGAGAGCCTGCATTGATAGGAACCAAGCGAAGTGACGTCCACTACTTGCATATATATACCTTAACTGGCTCAACCTGCTGTGGAGAGGGATCGGCTGATAAGGCCTTATTCGGATCGGGTGTAATAACCGGCTCAATCCGTGCTCATCCATAGATACGTGGAGAATGTCAATGGTAAATATGTGGAAATCAAGAAATCAAGAAATCACGAAATACAAACGACCTAACGGCCAACCACATGAGTATATCCACGTGTATGACGTAACCACAACATGGCCTAGGCCTGGGTAGAACAACCTTGGAACCTTGGAAGGCACCTAATTATAGTATATCGAGGATTCATTGTCCCCCAATTCTCCTACTATTCTGGTTATCCCTTCTTCAACATATGCGCCGTTAGAATCATGGCTACATTCGTCACGCATAAGATCATGGGCACTGCCCTTCAAACTACAGAGAGGTATACAGACTTGCAAGCACGAGGTGTGGGTGCCTTTGGAGTGATCTGGTATATCCCCTCATATGTATTCTCTTCGTACTGTAAGACCACTAACAGCCAGTATCAGCTCAGCGCATGATTCAAAAGCCAACCGAACGGTTGCTATAAAGAAGATAGGGAATCCTTTTGATGGCTCTGCCCGGGTCAAGCGCACGTATCGCGAAGTTCATTTGATGAACCATCTCAAACATGATAATGCATGTGCGGGAAAAGATATGAAGTATGAACGTGAAAACTAACCGGCTACAGTTAATCAACATCACAGATATCTTCATCTCACCAGCGGAAGATCTGTACGTGAATCACTTCTTTTATTTTCAGATTCAATTATGCTAAACAGTCGAGAACACAGCTATCTTGTGATGGACTGTTGCATGACAGACCTTCATGAATTAATCCAATCAAGATCGAAGCCATTGGATAACAAGTTCATCCAGTTCTTCACTTACCAACTGCTGGTACGTCTGCCAGAGTGACCTGGAAAATGCCACTGTGACTGACTATAGCAGCGAGGATTGAAATTCATACACTCTGCTGGTGTGATCCATCGTGATCTCAAACCTAGCAACATTCTCATCAAAGAAAACTGCGACTTGAAGATTTGTGACTTTGGTCTAGCTCGAGAACAAGATCATCAGATGACTGGCTATGTCTCCACACGATACTACCGAGCTCCAGAAATCATGTTGACTTGGCAAAGATACAGCTACGCAATGGATATCTGGAGCACTGGCTGCATTCTGGCAGAGATGCTCCTAGGGAAAGTTCTCTTACCAGGCACAGACAATGTGCATCATTTCAAACTGATCACTGAGATGTTTGGGAAACCACCCAAAGAGGTCATGGAGACCGTGTACAGCGACATTGTATGACAAAATTATACGCGGTTGAGTTTGATATGGAAGAGAAGATGCTGACTACAAGTTATAGACGATGAATTTTGTGAACTCGCTACCTGAAGCAGAACCCAAGTCACTTAGAGCTACCATGGGAGATGTTGACTCTGAAGGTATGCCCATCAAAATCTTCATTGACATCAAGTTCCTCCTAATGTATCTACATCTGATGATGCTGACTTTTATAGTCATTGATCTCTTGGAGAAGATGCTTGATATAGACCCAGAGAAGAGAATCACAGCGGCGGATGCCCTGACCCATCCATATGTTTCGACCTATTCGGACTCAAACGACGAACCCGAGTGTGACAAACAAATTGACTGGTCTTTATTAGATTCCGAAATGACAACGGATCAATGGAAGACCAAAATGTATGTATTTTCCCCATCTGTAGCGTATTGATTTGAGCTTATCATTTGAAGGTATTTCGAGATTTTGAATTATCACACCGGTTCTTACAACTGGGAAGACACTGACCCTAAAGCCCACGAGGGGAGATTCGAGGATTGGATGCGTACAGAGATAACGGTGGGTACATATTAGTGATACTTAAGAAGCTATTTCTTACTCTTCTATATAACAACGCATTAATTTATCATTTAAGCGTAATTGTTGAGCTGTCGCTCCAGTGTATATACAGATACTATCAGCACATGGGTAGAACTGGCGATGATTAACTTGAGCGACGACGCCTCGACCGAACAAGTAGCAGACTGTATCACATCCAAGCACGGAAAACTCGACGTACTCGTTAACAACCTGTTCGGCACTGCGGCAACTACCGAGGCGTTTCAACCCCCTCTTGCAAAAGAAGCTACCTCAGCTGCTCTATTTGTCTTTGTATCTTCCTACACTAAGTCTCTTAGCTTACAGAGTGATATGCCATCCAAAATATGACTGAAGCCCCTAGTTCCAACCTTGGAACCCCCCCCACAATCTGCCGTGGTGGCGCTGAACATTCCTACATATATGTTGCATTATGTAGCGATGGTCAAGGAAGGAGTTAGAATGTAAATGCTTTAGCTCCGAACCTGATAGTTATCAGATGATCGCGCGGTATTTAAAGGCCTGCATGTGAGTCTGCCGCGAACATTGTGAATTTGGGTACTTCGATAAGGAGTGTAAAACTTAGTCTCATAAGAATGAGGTAGTCATATCCATACGAACGGAAGTGAATGATTTATTCAAGATTCAACAGGATTGACACTTGACAACCCGACAGTTACCTAGGCATCTCGAAAGGCTAAGTCCATAGAACTAGAAATAGCCTGGTTAAGGTACTAGGTACTTCCTATAATGAGTAATAGTAAGCCAAATTAGAAGTACTGGGTACTTACTGACCGGATAACCTGATAAGCGAAATGAACCTCGGCAGTTTCGGTCGAAGCGGAGATCTTCTCTTCTCCCCATACTTCTTTTATTAACTCCTCACCACCTCTTCCTTTTTTGCTTATTTTGTTTCTTGTCACTCTCCTACTTCTGTACAATTTGTAAGTTCTTCTGTCCCTAGTGCTTGATTTATTTGCTTTCACTTTCCTCGCCCAAATCTCCGCACATGGATGCTTCCCCGCATTAACACTGAAAACTTCCATGCCAATAGTCGGCATCTTGAACAAAGATAAGCTGCAGAAGCGAAGAAGAGCAGAAAGCTGACTATAATCTGCGCAGTCTCTCTACCTTCATACATCATGGCCGCAGATCGTCTAAGCTCGCTCCTGAGCCACCTCAAGCCCGGCGCCACCAACGGCCTCGCTGCTATGTAAGCCCTCAAAGGAGCCTAGTTGTGATTTATGGGTTTAACAAGCAAATGTAGTACACAAAAGAACCCCGACGATGTGGTCATCACCCTAGCGATCCGCACACCCCTGACCAAGGCGCGAAAGGGCGGGTTCAAGGATACAGAACTGGACTACATGCTCTACGCCTTGTTGAAGGAGACTCTGGCTAAGTCACAGATTGACCCTGCTCTGATCGAGGATGTCTGCCTCGGAAACGTATGTTTAATCTCTTTTCCCTACTCTACAAATCCATAAATGGGATAGTCTAACCCTAAGGACAGGTCAACGAAGTCAAAGCCGCCTACATGGTCCGCGCCGCAGCTCTTGCCGCTGGCATCCCCCACACCGCCGGTGCCTCAACAGTAAACCGCTTCTGCTCATCGGGACTGAAGGCCGTGCAGGATATCGCCAACCAGATCCAGCTAGGCGCCATCGACATCGGTGTCGCTATGGGTGCCGAGCTGATGTCCGCTTCTGGCGACCGACTGGAGAAGCCGTTCAACGAGGAGGTCCTGCGCAACCAGGAAGCCGCCGACTGCATGCAGCCCATGGGTCAGACTTCCGAGAACATCGGCAAGGACTTCGATATCCCCCGCGAACAACAGGACCGATATGCTGCTGAGTCATTCCGTCGTGCTGAGGCTGCCCAGAAGAATGGTTGGCTCGATGACGAGATTGCTCCTATCGCCGTCAAGGTTAAGGACCCCAAGACTGGCGAGGTTAAGGAGGTGACTCTTACCCGTGATGATGGTATTCGTCCCGGTACGACTTTCGAGTCACTTTCCAAGATTCGCCCTGCGTTCCCCCAGTTCGGTGACAAGTCCACCGGTGGAAACTCCAGCCAGGTTACCGATGGTGCCGCCTCTGTTCTGCTCATGCGCCGCTCCAAGGCTATTGAGCTGAACCAACCTATCCTTGCTAAGTTCTGCGGCGCTACCGTTGCCGGTGTGCCCCCTCGCGTTATGGGTATCGGCCCAACTGCCGCTATCCCCAAGCTGCTGAGCAAGTTCCAGCTTGATAAGAATGATATCGATATCTACGAGATCAACGAGGCTTTCGCCTCCATGGCTGTCTACTGTGTTAAGAACCTTGGTCTTGACCACGCCAAGGTCAACCCTCGTGGTGGTGCTATTGCCATTGGTCACCCGCTCGGCGCAACAGGTGCGCGTCAAATCGCGACCATTCTGAGTGAGGCTCGCCGGACAAAGAGTAAGGTTTTGGTCACTTCTATGTGTATTGGAACTGGACAGGGTATGGCTGGTCTCTTTGTTAACGAGCAGTTGTAAATATCTCGAGATAGTCTAATTAGATGACAAAAATATATCATCCGCAATGTACAGAAATGAGATAATTACAAACGAATAGTATGGTATCAAAGGCTATACAGGCCCAAAGCAAGAACTCATAAATCATGAAAAAGATAGTGCACCAAATGATCAGCCATGATATCACTTTGCATCATCTTGCTTCCCAGCCTGACTCTCCCTCTTCATCCTCTCCTCCGCAGCCCGCGCCATGATCTCCCTGCGAGAAAGCGTCCCACCAGAAGCACCATCTCCACCACGACCTCCAGTCGAGTCACCTTGTAATCCACCGAGAACAAACTCCCCACCGGTCCAGCCACACTCATCGAACTCCTCCGCACCCTGAACGTTATCCCAATCACCAGGATTATAAAACTCCTGGCTAGACAACTGATTCCCACCAGACTTCCAATCGGCACGCTCAACCTCCTTCTCGATTTGCGACGTCAAATCCCAGAAGTCGCGATCATGAGGCCCGAACACGCAATGCGCAAGCTCATGACATAGCGTCTTTCGAATAGTACGGTAATCACGGTATCCGTCGTAGGCATCCGTTCGCAAACGCAACTCAATCACCTCGCCTTTATTCCGGTTCAGACCTAGTGTCCGCGACTCGCTCGTCGTGTGTTCCGCTGGGTTCATTTCCGTCAAGAGCGGTACGGAGAACTTGTGTTTTGTCATGGCGGCGCGGATACCTGGGTCATCTCGGAGACGTTTCAGGAAGTCGAGAGAGCGGTCTGGGTTGGGGAGGTAGGATAGTGGGAGGAGGCGGTGGAAGGTGTAGTTGTTGGCTGAGGATGAGATGGTGTGGATGCCGCCACTACGGCTAGAGGACGGTGTCTGTTTGTTGCGTCTTGCGGCGCTTAGGGCGGCAGCTCGTGATTCTTGTCGTCGCTGTTCGCTGGCCGATTGTTCGTGCAGATCGGCGATTGCTTTGGCGGGGGTGCCGAGGAGGGTGATCTTGAATTTTGGGGAGGAGGTTTGGAGAATCGCGGAGAGGAGAGTTGGTGGGAAAGGTGCTTTCTGCATTCCTGGCTTTGGGGCTATGAGGAGCTTTTGGTTGTCGATGGGGATGTTCAGCACGCGCTCTATCTCGGAGGAGAGGTCTTGTAGTGTTGCTGAGGCGGAAACTTGGATGATATGCGCGGTCCCATGGTGGTGGACGGTTAGCTGCTTTGGGGAGTCCATTATAGCGTCTTTAGGTAGGCGATTGTAGAGAAAGAGCGCATGAGAAAAGAACTCGCGACAAGAAAAAACCACTTATATGACCCGAATAGGCAGGCGCTGGCGAATTCGAACTGGTTCCACGGGGATAGGTTTTGTCAGCACGGAGATAAGCTACCTAGGTAGAGCCCGGGATAGCACGTGATATCAAGATCCATGGAGTTTATGCCTCAGGTATCAAAGTAACTATCTGCACTTGCTTCTAATATCTCGCATTACCCCGGAAACACTGAAAGAAAGAACAGGCAAATAGTGCCACACGGATAAGACCAAGGGTCTGCGTGCAGTGTTGACTAAAATTCGGAAACGTTTCGCCTACCATACATTGAAAATGTTGATGGGCTCGACCAGAGCTAGGGTCCTGCTTATACTGTGGCAATGGTATGTGAGTCAACGAACGTATCTGACGTTACATGCAAGCTCCCGAGACCGAGTGTCTCATTGCATCCCTTTGTAGAAATTATGACTGTCCTTAATCACCCAAGCAACGTTCAGCTATCAGCCTAGGCCACGTTAAGTATTGGAGCCGTCCCTCCATACGTGCGGTTGCCAAAATGCTCCATGGATGTTTCCAGGGCGCTCCGAAAGTTAGCCTTTGCCAACTTGTCAACTCGTCTGCCAGCATCGAATCAAAAGTTCGAACTAGGGGGTCAAAATACAATCCAGACCCTTGCATCAAAGTGGCGCAAAGCGGGCCGGCCTAACGGCCTAATGCATACATCTCATTGTTAGTGAGCCTACCGACCCCCCTCTGTTCGAACTGCAGATGATTTGATCAAGTACCACCCGGTAAAGAATGGCAGATGAGTGATCTACGGGATCCGAAACTTTATCTGATTGCGCTACAGCTCGTTTACAACCGGATCAGAGGAGTTGAAACTTTGCATCTTGGCACAAGTATTCATATCGCATACGATGAAGTTAGCGAAGAGCATCAGCGGCGTATTGGCCTTGATCTTGGGCCTGACAACCAAAAGGATCTTGACGATGAAGAGTTGAAGGAGAAGATCCGTTCAAGAACTATACAACCTTTGCCATTGGACGAATGCCAAGTTCTTGATATCAGGCATTACAACCAGAAAGATCTTGATGAGGAGAGGTTTAAGGCGAAATCCATTTGAAGTCTGTTGCATTGAAGTCTGTGCAACATTTGCCACCAGACAATGCTTTCACAATCTGGAGCTGGAAGAAGAAACAGGCGACTACCTAGGCACAAGGGACATTGCTGTCTCAAACCGTGTCTGAAACTGTCATACATTTATTACAGTTAATCACTTAACCAATAAATCAGGGGTTAAAATGATTAAGCCAGAAAAGACAGAGCACCTTGCGCTAATCGTATTTCGCATTGGATATGTATCCACCATGCTGTGACCACCTCATTAACCACTTTTCCCTGCAATATCTCGTAATCCATTATAGTGCTTTGCCCGGCAATAATATCAGCTCTCGTTTATCTTTATACCTCTATAGATAAGACTAAGGAGAAACAGGCTTCGTTTCTTAGCCAGGACTTTAAGAGCAAAAAAAGTTGAAAAATGACGTGTATTACGCAGTGGTATAGAGAGTATGGATGTCTGAATTAAGAGCGGTAGAAAAATGAAGATACTGGAATTACTATTCTAGAGGCCTTAATCTTGAAGTAGATGCCCTGGTTCTCTCAGGTCATCTCCAGTAGAAACAAGATAATAATTACTATTTACATCATACAAATTTACATATCATCACTTTTTAGGCTGCTTTATAGCTTACAAGTATCATTATAACTTAATCTTTATATTTAGGAATAAAGAGCCACTAAAACTCCTAAAAGTGGTGACATATAGTTATTAGGAATAGTTGGCAGCTTCTAAAGCCTTCTGATGTTCATTTTAAATGTCTTTTTTTCGAAGTGATTTTCGAAGTCTTTTTCGATATCTTTTTTAGGTGCATGTGAAGACAATAGAAAGCAATACTTTCTACAGACAACCTTTCTACATACTTGTATGTGTAAGGTTATATTTTTATGCATACTATCAATAATACCCACAAAGGGGGTTTTGTCGCATGGCACATATACCGCCGCGTATGTGTATCCCACACTATATATATTGCGCAATCCCAAAGTATATGAGTTTAATGTACTATGTTATTCTCTAGACAGGCTGACGTATGAAGTAATGAAGCTGTTGCAACCTTACACCTACGCCATGATCTATACCTATAACGAAGAAAGGTCAAGGTCCATAACTCTTGTTTCTATTTAGGAACAACCTGCTAGGTTATTCACTCCAGAAGTTAGCCACAAATCCTTTAAAATCTGGCGAATATATGGGCCCCTACCACCAACTCTTTCACCGTATGCAAGCCATAGTCTGGATATATAAGCGCCTACTAATTGTTGTAGAGGCACTATCCTCAACAAGACTCGTTAATAGTATTAGTAAGTAGAAGTGAACGAATAAGATGGAGTCTAGTATTGAAATGATGTCTAATGTTATTGTTATGCAACTATAATTTGCTTATTCTAACCTCGTGAGATAATAGGTTCCCGTGACGGGCGTAGTCCAAGTGTTAAACTAACTGGCTGGGTAGATTTTGCCGCGGCTCAAGCATTCGGTTTGGGCCTCTTTAAATAGCTTGGATACTGATAAGTAATTCAATTTCTTTGTTTGAAGATTATATTATCGTTCTTGGAGGAAGACGGGAATTAGGATACGTATTGTATTGCCTTTAGTAAAACACAGCGCTGGAATATATGATTCACGTTCAGATAACAGGAACCGGACACGGCAGGTATTCCACCATTAGCCTTCAAGGTGCTCTGTTGTCTGCTCTCCTCTTTTCTCGACAACGGCGGTATCAACCTTATCAGCAGAAACAACATTGTCCCCAAACTTTCCTGCAATTTCTTCCAAAGAAATATTGTTTGTTTCGACCAAAAAGAAGGCATATAGTGCGCCTAAAGCGAGAAGAGAGCCAATGAAGACAAAATAGTACTTCCAAGTAATCGCATCAAATGCGAAGGGGGTAACTTGGCCGATCCAGATGCCGGAAACACTTTGACAAAATGCTGCGACGCCAGTCCCATAACCACGCAGATGCTGAGGGAACATCTCGGCGGCGACTGTGTATAGAGTGGAGTTGAAAAACACGGCGTATAACGCTGAGTATATGAAAATGAATGCCACCCCAGCACGAGCCCCGACAATATTCTGACCGCTGCCGTATTCTTTGGATAGTGCTGCTAATATGGATAGCATGGCAGCAAGAACGATACATCCAACCCCTATATATCAATGTTAATAGGATATTACAAATAGGAATTTCACTCACGAAAGAAGAAGGGCGTAGCGGGAAGTTAGGAAAAGGAACTTACACATCGTGCGCACTCGAGGCCACTTATCAGACACCCCAGCAAGGTTTATCAATTGTCCAATGACCCCCATAAAACCATAGCAGCCACTGATTAGAAGAAGCTGTTGACCTTTGAAGCCAAGAGCCCCGTACATGAGAGACTGGTAGTTCTGAATAGCAAGGGATCCACTGAGAATTCCAACTTGCATGACTGCAATGGCAAGAGCTGTCCGCCTGATGAATTTCTTGCCGAACAACTCGATCAGGGCATGGCCGAGGGTTGCATTTTGACGCTCTGCCGCTTCGATGGCAATTTGGCTCTGGATTTCAACTTGCAATTTCAGAATGACTTCTTCTGGTTCCGATGCATATATGCGACGAATGGAAGCTTCGAATTGCTCTGGTCGGTTCTTTTCGGCCACTGCATAGAGATAAATGTCAGAGGTGATACTTCACTGCGAGATGGGGTGTTATACGTACACCAACGGGGAGACTCGGGAAGGAAAAAGCAGAAAACAAGTAGCACAACTGCCACAGGGAACTGCATGGCTAACTCAAGACGCCAGATTTTGGATGTATTCGCGAAGGAACATGCGTATCCAATCCAATTTGCAACGCAGAACCCGATGGACATAATGAGGCCGAAGGCTCCGATGAATCTTCCTCGCTCCTGTGGTCGGGCTAATTCAGAGATATAAACCGAGATTGAGGGACTAAGAATTCCAAGTGCGATACCGCAGATCAGCCTGCCGACGATCATCATGGCCACTCCATTAGCAGCAGTCTGTAACACCGCTCCCACAATGGTAAACAGGGTCGAGACCATAATCGTGTACTTGCGGCCCAATTTTTCAAGGGTGAGCCCACAAAGCAAAGAGCCGACAGCTGAGCCGGTGGATGACATGGCAACGATAGCACCGAGAAGACTGGAAGCATTCTTGGTCCCGGGGGAAACATGAAATCGTTGAAGGAATCCTGCGCAATGACTGTGGCGATGATTCCGGTGTCAATACCGATCACAGCACCGCCGAGGGAAATAGCAGCTACACATAGTAGCAATCGGAGTTGGGACTTCATAATAAAAGTCCACTGGAAGTACGAGATGGTAAAATGAAATGCCAACAGCCTGGTTGAATAAAGATAGAGAAGTGGTCATCAGCCGTTTCTTATATTGGGGAGTCCGGGGAAGAGGTCGCGGGGAAGGAAGTATAATTCCTGTTGCTCACTCCACACAAAATTGCGGGGATGGTAGACAGATGAGGCATTGACGGAACGCCAGACGTTGACAGACTCGAAAAAAAGTCCATCTGACCTTTTTTTTTTTCTGGCATTCCCTAGAAAGTGTCCCATGGGGAAAAGGATGGAAAGGAATTATTGCCGACGGACTTGCCGGGGGATCGGGGACCCACTTGCCGACATTTAGATACCTTTGATTGGAGCGGCTTTTGGCCGGGGTTAGAAATCTCAAGGGTGAAATACCTAAAATGGTTTGTGGGATTAAACTGTGGGTTAAGGTTTGGTTGACCCATGGATATTACAGTGCGATGGTGCGACGGAGCGCTGATTGACCAATCGATTACTTGCAGTGTTGTAGATCCACGGATACTTAGCAAGGTGGATTTGAATTATACCAATCTCGGATTAGCGCCATGGCGGGGTGTTGTAGTTATCATTGGCTGGTTCCCGCCCACATTGGTTTGCTAGGTTATATCTCATAGGCAGGAATCGTTGCCATTGATCTCTTAGGTTCCTCCAAACTGCCATATCTCGGGGTATTTACTTCCGAGACGCGGTGAATTTGACCCGAGAGGCGATAATACTCGGCTATCTTGCACCTAAATTCTTTCATTGACAACTCACACTGAGGCGCTCGAAGCACCCATCAACTTACTGTTTCACAATGCCGAAAGTTATCGATATACGCTTTGAGCATCATGAAGCGAGTGATATTGGCATAGGGGAAGATTGCCCGCGCATTTCATGGAGCTACATAGGCGAGGATCAGGATTGGATACAACAGTCTTACACCATCGAAATTTCGCGCCATGGGATCACGAACACCTATGACTCTAGTTCAAATCAATGCCTCTTTGTTCCGTGGCCTGAAACACCATTGCTGTCTACGGAAGTTGCCCTCGTTCGGGTTCGCGCTTCGGATGAGCGGGGGAACCTGACAGAGTGGTCTGACGTTGCAAAAGTTGAGGCTGGCCTGCTCCATCAGGAAGACTGGAAATGCCATCTGATTGAAGCCGAGTCCGCAGACTGGACGGAGAATTATCATCGGCCGACAATCTTCAGACGAGAATTCTCTCTTCGTCAACAAATCCGTCGGGCTCGTCTTTATATCACTTCTCATGGCATTTATACCGCTAAGCTGAATGGACGCTCGATTGGCGACCACGTTTTGTCACCGGGATGGACCAACTACAAGAACCGGCTCACATACCAAACATTCGATGTTTCCTCCCATGTGGGTACCGACCTCAACACACTCGATGTCACCGTTGCTCCAGGGTGGTACTGTGGGCGTCTTGGCTGGCGTGCTGGCAAGACGAATGTATACGGTTCCGCCCTTGGACTTATTGCTCTCCTCCAAGTTGAGTACGAGGATGGTGAGTCCATTGTGTTGGGAACAGACAGCGGTTGGCAATGGGGATATGGTCCAACACTCTCTTCCGAGCTGTATGACGGTGAAGTGTTCGACGCAAACCAGTCTTTGTCGCAGCTCACCCAGTGGGGGAATGTCACTTGCAAACCGATAATTGACCGCCTTGCATCTCCGGATGGTCCACCGATGAGGCGCACGCAAGAGATTCAACCTATTGCAATCTTGAAGAGTCCATCTGGCCAGTCTATCATCGACATGGGGCAAAACATGGTGGGTTGGCTCCGAATTAAGGTGGCTGGAGGTAGTGCAGGACACCAAATCCAGCTGCAATTCGTTGAGGCCTTGGAAAATGGGGAATGCGCCACCCGCACGTTGCGGGCTGCAAAGGCCCGAGACACTGTAATCTTGGGTAGCGATGGCACTCTCGAATGGGAGCCGAATTTCACGTTCCATGGTTTCCGGTACGTGGGAGTGGACAACTGGCCAGGTACCCTGACAACGGATTGCGTGAAGGGAATTGTGGTCCATACGGATATGACCAAAACAGGGTCTTTCTCGTGTTCGAATCCTCTGCTCAACAGACTTCATGAAAATATCATCTGGTCGATGCGAGGAAACTTTCTAGGAATACCGACCGACTGCCCACAGCGAGACGAACGACTGGGTTGGACTGGCGACATTAATGTCTTTGCCGACACAGGGAATTATCTCTACCGTACGGGAGGCATCCTGAAGACTTGGCTCGATGACCTCAAGTACGAACAGGAGGAGGCAGGAGGAATTGTACCGCTGGTGGTCCCAAATGTGATTGATGGCTTCGATCAAGATGCACATGCAATCTGGGGAGATGTCTCCGTGATGCTCCCTTGGTCCTTGTATCGAGCCACCGGCGACCGAGAGGTCCTATCTCGACAGTATACGAGTATGAAGGCCTGGTTGGATGTCATCCCACGTCGTGAAAATCTATTATGGAACTATACTGCCGACTGGAAACTTGGAGACTGGCTTGATCCTGCTGCTCCTCCTGATGACTGTGGAAAAGCAACCACCAACCCAACTTTCGTTTCGGATGCATTCCTCGCTCATATAACAACATTGATGACAGTCATCAGTGAGATCTTAGAGGAGAAGGCAGATGTACAGGCATACACGGTCGCGTCGGAGAAAATTCGATCCATCTTCGCCCACGAATACATCACCCCCGCTGGCCTTGTGGCCAATTGCACACAAACCGCGTTCGCTCTTGCAATGCAGTTTAATTTGATTCCATCCGAAAAGCAAGAATTATACGCTGGTCGCTACCTCTCTAGTATTATACTTGAAAGTAGCCGATACAAAATCGGCACAGGGTTCGCTGGTACCCCATACATCGGCCACGCTTTGTCCAAAGTTGGGCAAACAGATATATTCTACCGCATGCTCCTGTCTCGGAAAAATCCAAGTTGGCTATATCCTGTGACCATGGGTGCTACTACGATGTGGGAACGTTGGGATAGCTTACTTCCGGATGGATCCATCAATCCAGGAGAGATGACCAGCTTCAATCACTACGCCTTGGGGGCTGTTGGGAGCTGGATGCATAGTGTCATCCTCGGATTCCGCATCCAGGAAGCCGGCTGGAAGGGCATCAAGATCGAACCTGTCCCAGGAGGTGGTTTGAAATGGGCGGAAGGTGAATACCTGAGCGGATATGGAATGTACAGAGTTAGGTGGGTGATTATACAGGATTCAAAGACGCAGGATGAGAGTCTCTCGGTTGAGATTCAAGTCCCCCCCCAATACCACGGCGGACGTCAAGTTGCCGGGATCGGAGGATGTGAAACGTGTTGGATCAGGATTGCACAGATGGACAGCCCCATACAAGTCAACTCAATGGCCACCAGAGCCATTGTCTTTACCATTCGGTGAAAAAGAAACACTCCCTGTCGACGAGTCCCTTCCGTGTCCTTGGGATCCAAGCACGAAGTAATACAACAGAAACCATGTCATTTAGTGACTACGAATCTCATATACTGTTGAAATGGAATCCCAGAGCATTGAATCTTTCCCTGCAACTTTTCAATTGTTTAATGAATTTGTCCATTCCTATCTTGAGTTGCGTATGGAGTAAAAGCATGACGTAGAATTCATGTTACCTCTTGAGACAAAAAACAGCCTCCATAGGCCATGAGTAGATAACTTAGCTTATGTTCTAACGATATATAAGAATATTGTGTTACTTCCAATCTCTAATCCCCAGTTGGGAGACGCACGTTCCAGACTATCCCGTGTCTGCGGAGTTCAACAATATGCCTCTTCCTAGGATACCCTGGAATGAACACGAATGCTTTCATTTTCGCTAACTGAAGAGAAAGTTACTGCCGAGATTGCAGCCCGGTAGCGCACCGAATACCGATACTTTATTCCCGACATAACTAGGCCTGCGCTAGCACTCGGGGCCCCAATTTATAAAGTTCCAAGGCCACCCCACAACGGCGGCGTTTTCTGTCTCTGATTGGTAGGTCGCCGCTGTCTTGCGGTCTCCACTTTTATGGATACATAGTTGACTCAGGTGACCTTTGTTCCAATGTTCCTCTCTCCCCATGGGACTTACTCGTCTAGTTGACCGGTCTGGGGTATTTTGCGGGGTTCCTCGGTATAAGTAACACCGAGTATTGCAATGTTTTGTCTAGCTCGGATATCCCGATTGTGTCGGCCGGTGGTGGCGTTTGAAACATCTGACCCTTCTTGATGGGTTTGAACATTTTGATATTGACCTTTCAATAATTCACTCACTTCTATTCTCAGACGCCGCATGACACCATGCATATTTCTCGATATGGCATCCATGGTTTCCATGAAGTACTAGGAATCGACACTGATGAGATCCGCTTCTACTGGGCAATTGAGAGCGAAGACCAAGATGCGACTCAACACGCCTATCGCATTGTGGTGACAACCGATGTCAAAGAACTTGAATCAAACATACCAGCTGTTTCCAAGCTGGTCTGGGACTCTGAGCGCGTTGAGAGCAAGGAACAAAGAAACATCCTCTGCAAGCCCTCCAACGGCTTCAAATCTACTACGAGTCACTTTTGGAGAATCACAGTGTGGGATCAGAACAACAATGTCTACCATAGCTCAATTGGCCACTTCTTCACGGCATACCCGCGGTCTCATCTTCTACCGCCTTATAGCATGAACCAGACATACATGCCTCACACCAGTCTGATTTTCAAGTCCTGGTTCGAAAACGAGGCAGATCGCTGGAAGGCGGTTTGGATCGGTGATGGAGGCGACAAGCCCATCTATCTCAGGAAATCCTTCGAACTGGCCCAAAAACCAGCTCGGGCTATTTTGTTCGCCTCGGGACTCGGCCATTTCAATATGTCGGTGAATGGACAGCCTGCTTCCGACCATCGACTCGACCCTGGTTGGACCAATTATCACCGCCGTGTCCAGTTTACGTCCTATGACGTGTCAGACCATCTTGGTGCAGGGCAGAATTCCCTAGGTGTTCATCTGGGTAACGGCTTCTATGCTGGAGACAAGGGTGGCGATGATCGCTTCTTCTGGCCCATGTACGAAGATAACACATACGTCCGGTACGGGAATGAACTTTGCTTCTTTGGTGAATTGCATCTTTTCTACGAGGACGGCGAGCACACTGTTCTCATCTCCGATGCCTCGTGGAAAGTGAAGAAGAGCGCTACCACACTGGCTAACATCTATGCCTCCGAGAATCATGATCGACGTCTTTACCCTTCAGGCTGGGACTCTGCCAGTTTCAATGATACTGAATGGGCGCCGGCTAAGCCTCTAACCGGCCCGAGAGGACATCTTTATTACCAGACCCAGCCTCCAGTCGTTCTCCATGAAACCTTCGAGCCGGTAAAGATTCACAGCCCCAAGAAGGGGATTGTTTGTTATGACCTGGGTCAGAATGCATCTATCATGGTCAAAATCGAAGTCGAAGGTGCGGCGGGATCAGAGATTCTCGTTCGATACTCTGAGACTGTTAGAGAAGATGGCACTGTTTTAATGCCCGATCCGCTGTTCAAGGAGTTCGAGACCGGGGTCTTTTCCAGAATCATCTTGTCTGGTAATGGCCAGCCTGAAATATGGACACCAGACTTCAGCTTTACGAGTGCTAGATACATCCAAGTAGAGGGTGTCTCTTTGAATGCAGGTGACGGATTGCCCGTCATTCATTCTGCGGTTGGTCGCCATATTTCCTCGGCGGCTAGAAAGCTCGGAACTATGACAACCGACAAAGACGATGTCAACTCGTTGCTAAATGCCCTATATTGGTCTTTTAGCAGCAATCTCTTCAGCTATCACACAGATTGCCCGCAGATCGAGAAGTTTGGTTGGCTTGAAGTCACACATCTGCTGGCTCCGGCTACACAATATATTCGCGACATGGAAAGCTTGTACACCAAAATTCTTGATGATATCCTGGACAGCCAAGAGCCTAGTGGTCTCGTGCCAACAATGGCACCCGAGATCCGCTATATGTGTGGTCCTCTGCATGACACCATCACCTGGGGCTGTGCGCTGTGCCTGCTTCCGGATATCCTGCGACAGTACTATGGATCTACACACGTTATCCCAAAGGTGTACCCTGCTGCAGTTCGATATATGGAATACATGCAGACCAAAGAGCGCAAGGGTGGACTGATTGAGCACGGACTCGGCGACTGGGGCCGAGGAATCGCCTTCGGCAACAACCAAGCAAACATCGAGACAGCGGTCTACTACCGTTGCCTCCAGTGCGTTGAGATGATGGCACGTGAGCTTGGCAGACTTGAAGAAGCAGAGAGGTTCAAACAGTGGTCTGCTCGTATCTACGACACCTACAACCGCCATCTCCTGGTGACCGATGACCCGTCGCGCCCCTACGCATATTACACATCACTCGACAACTACCCAGAAAGGGACCGTGACGCAATCGCCCAAGCAATGGCGTTGCAATTTGGTCTTGTGCCTGCCAAGCACCACAGCGACGTGATGGCCGCTTTCTTAGATGATGTAGCCGATGGCAAGATTCGCGCTGGTGAAATTGGTCTACGCTTCCTCTTTAACACGCTGGCTGATGCGAAGCGTCCGGATCTTGTTCTGCAAATGGCAAGACAGGAGGAGCACCCATCCTACATGCGTTTTTTGCGCCGTGGAGAGACAACGCTGCTGGAGTTCTGGCAGGATGAATGTCGTAGCAAGTGCCATGACATGCTGGGCACAATCTACGAATGGTTCTATGCTGCTGTGCTTGGGTTGAAGCCTATTTCAGAGGCGTACCGGACTTTCGAAGTTGATCCTCCTTACGAGTCTGAATTCAACCATGTTAAAGGATCCGTTGATTCTCCATATGGTTTGATTGCCATTGAGTTCATGCGCACGGATGATAATTCGATAAAATTGGACCTTCAAGTGCCATTTGGGACTACTGCTACTGTCAAGCTCCCGCTCGATATGAAGCAGGCTGAGGTTGGCTTTGGAAAAGGACAAAGGAAATTCATCGACGGGAGAGAGTTGGAGCTCAGCCATGGACTGTACACTGTATTCATTCAGCTATAGCGAACTTAGAATCATAACTTTATTTCTAGACATATACAGAGCCATATCAAATATAGTCTTCTGCAAATCTCCATATACTCTATTGACCTAGTCCTATATGCTTCCTTACAATCCGAATGCCTTCATGTTTATGGGACCCCAAAATACTGACCAAAACGCCAAGATTCTTTCCCCCCCCGGGCTCCTAACCAACGGGGTAGGACCCAGCCGAGGCTTGCAGGCAACTATTGTCACCTTGGTCTTGGATATTCTGGTAGAACGGCTCAATTCTTCGGGAAAAATCAGACCGAAGGTCCCCATCTTTTTGACTTCTAAATTTTGCTTGGCCCTTTGGATGGCAAAGCCTGTACTCTGTAGACCACACAACACAAGCCTTCCCCATATTTTTGAACCTCAACACAATGCAACAAAGGAGGACTAGATCATTTAAGGTCTAGCTCCATTATTGCTTCGGTTCCCTATATAATATGCCCGGAGTTTCCCTACTGGGTATACTGCAATATTATGCCTAAACTGTGTCATCCTTTGGCTGTCGTTTTAAAGGCGAATTTCTCATCACTTCCGATAATATGCCTAAACTTAAGACTTTATTGAGTGCCGTGTTTCTGGCTACTGGAGGTCAGCATTGCACACCAACATAGTTTCACAGAATGGAGCAACACATTAACGTTCTATATCAGGTTTCCTCTTCGGCTATGACAGTGGTATCATCACATCAACCATCGGCCAAACTGAATTCATCAAATACTTCTCTGAACCAAATGACAGCGTAACCGGCGGTATCGTCTCTTCATTCCAAGGCGGCGCCATCTTAGGCACAATTATCAACATCTTCACTGGTGATCGGCTGGGCCGGAGGTGGTCTGTCTTTGTTGGCTCTTGTATATCATGCTTTGGGTGTGCGTTGCAGGCCGGTTCTATCAATTTGGTTATGCTCATCATTGGCCGCTTTATTGCCGGCGTTGCAGTTGGCATGCTTACTTCTGTTATCCCCATGTATGCTGGTGAGATTGCCGAGGCTTCTTCGCGTGGTATGATGTCCGGTCTGTTGCAATGGATGTTAAGTTGGGGATTCCTTTGTGCTCAATGGCTGGGGTATGGATGTTCTTTCAATAACACCGCCTTCCAGTGTAAGTGGACCCTCCTAATCTTGATGTTAAGCCCAAGTCGATTTTACCGCATATTTAGCTTCATACTGATACATGCTTTCTAGGGCGCTTCCCTCTTGCTTTCCAATGCGTCCCCGGTCTGGCCCTAGCCAGCGGTGTCCTCTTCTTGAACGAATCCCCGCGTTGGTTGATGGAAAAGGACCGCCACGAGGATGCTCTTGTTTCACTCCAAAATCTACACGGCGACGGTACACCAGAGACAGCGCAGTATATTGAGTTGGAGTTACAAGAGATAAGGGAGACCATCCAGGCTGAGCGCTTGCACACAGCAATCACCTTGACTTCGATCCTGCGCAAGCCCTCTTGGCGCCGCCGTCTCATCCTCGGCTGTGGCATACAGGCCTTCGGTGTCTTATCCGGAATTAACGTGATCAATTACTATGGAACTCGCATCTATGCAACGCTTGGATTTGACACACAAATGTCTCTCATGATCATCGGAATCTCCGGTGCCCTGTCCATTGTATACTGCACTGGAGGTCTATGGGCATTGGAGCGCGTGGGCCGTATCAAGCCTCTCATTTTCTCTGCTGCGGGAATGGCCGGCGCACTAGTCTGCAATGCTGCCATGTCCCAGCACTGGGATGATGGAAACCAGAACCAGCTCCGAGCTATGGTGGCTATGAACTTCGTGTTCAATTTCTTCTATACATTCATCGGTATCATTTCTTGGGTTTATCCAGCCGAGATCTTCCCCGTCGATATTCGTAACCAGGGTAATTCGATCACCACGTTCACCAACTGGACTCTCAACCTTGTGCTCGCCCAGGTCTCGCCAAATGCCTTGTCTTCAATTGGCTTCTCTTACTTCTATGTCTTCTTTGTCTTCAACTTGATTGCTATGCTTTGCTACATCTTCTTCTTCCCTGAGACACAAGGCAAGACTCTGGAGCAGATGGATTCCTTGTTTGGTGATGAGATGAGTGCTGAGAATGAGAAAAAGGGGATTGAAGCGGTCATGGTGGAGGATGTGAGAAAGTGATGCAGAAGATTATTCAAGATAGGCTGTACTTCCTTAGGATGATGCCTGAGCCCCAATCTAATATATCATGTTGAGTTCTTCGATGCGGAACACATGAACGAGAAGAAAAGCTTTTATCTCTTGAGACGTAGCCAAAATGCCTCTGTTTTTTGATCTGGGTCCTTTTAAATTCAAAACTAGCTGTCTCTCAAGGTGGAGCATTAATCAGTTCTACGTGTGAAACCCTTGATATAATGAATGTGCTTTTCGATACCCTTTTCTAGCTGGAGACCCATTTTTTGCATTGGCAGTTTCATTCTCCCTATACCTAAAAGACTATTTGCACATTCTAGAGTAACTGGCTATAAATATAATCTTAACTATTACATCAATCGTATTCCTTATTCAACTAGCTGTCTCATAATGTTGAAATCATGTATGTTTTGCATTGTGGTGTAGATATATATCTCGATTTATGTTGTTTAAGTTGAAATATATACTTGGTGTGGGTGTGTGGTGTGTGAAAGCAAGGAGCACTACCTTGTAAACTAGATCAGCCAGTATGTTTTTATTATTCCTTCCCTTCACAACCTTAGCTGTACACCTTAGTTGTACAAGGGTATGTTGAACTTTAGAGGTTTAGAAGCTCTGGTTTTCTGTTAGTCAAAAAGACCCCCATAGAAAACCATTCTGTCGCCCCTGACCGCCGAGCTCTACTGCTGTCAGAACCGAGCGCCTCACTAATGTACAGGTGCACCCATGGACTTTCTTTTATCTCTGGCATTATGGCTGACACCCATCCCAAAAGATCAAGAGCTGGAGCCTGCGTCAACTGCCGGTAGGTTTTGGCTCGTCTACAATTGACATGATTTAGGCTAAATATAAAATTTCAGCACACGCAAAAGACGGTGCAGTCCAGTAGGTGATGGGCGTGGTTGCAAATTATGCCGGTCTCTCTCTATTCCATGCGGCCTCGACAATCCTTATGTTGTCTCCAGCCCATCAAATGGTCCCCAAGAGACGACTCTCCTAATCACTCGGGAGATATTTCATGATCTGGTTCGCCTATACTTTCGTTTCATTCACAACGTACTTCATACCATGATCCATGAAGCAAGGTTTATGCAGCAATTTCATGAGGGCACAGCTCCCATGATGCATGTTTATGCTATGTGTGCACTTGCTGCTAGGTTTTCCAACAACCCCGTCTTTCATGGCATCACCCGTGGCTCGCGGGGGAAAATTTACATCTCCGAAGCTGTGAATCTCGCTCAACAGTCTATCATTACCCCAAGCCTAGAATCAGTGCAAGGCCTGGTCTTGATTGGCTACTTCTACGGCGGAGAAGGTGACACGAAAGCAAAGCATGTGTATATTGGTATCGCTAGGTTACATGCAGAAACCTTGTCGCTCTGGGCTGTGCCCCAGGATCGCAGTCCCCTATGTCAAGAGGAATATCGTCGCACATTGCTTTCCGTGAATATCGGCAGTGCTTGGTCAGCAACAGATATATCAATCGAACCTATAACATTAAATCGCGGCCCAAACGTCAAAATTCTCGAATTTGACGATGCGGCTTTCCAAAGTCTCGACCCAGAGCTGGTACAAGGAACATCACTTTTCCCTCCACCCACATACAATATGTGGGCTTGTATGGCAAAGACACTCGACATATTTAACAAGACTAGTTTACTCCTGCAACGGATGAGCCAAGGGTTGGTTGGTTTCGATAATTATTGCCAGGAGGCGGCTGTATTGGAAGTCCGCCTTGATCAATGGGAGGAAAATCTACCCTCAAATCTAACCTATACCGCGGAAAACATTATGTGCTCTGTGAAGCACCGGCTTGGTCGGACGTTCCTGGCAATGCATATTGGCTACCACCACTTTCGCCAAATGCTATTTTTCCCCTTTCTCGACGCACACAGGGATAAAAATACTACAAAGCTTGCAGAAAGGTCCACTCAATGCAAACGAAGTGCAAATATCATATCAGAAATTTTACGGCATAGCACAGACATCGAAGATTGCGATTTGAATTGTTTCCTATATGGGCATATCGCTGTGATCAGCTCATGCGTTCACCTTCATACTCTGCTCTTCGGTGATAATGCCGAGTCGCTTTCCATCGCACGACAATGGCTACTCCTGAACTTCAAATATTTAATGGATATCAAATCATATTGGCCCGTGGTTGATCACTCTGTAAGATTTTTACCTTTCGCTTGTTTTATGAAAATACAACTGACCACATTAATAGGTGGCACGCCTTCGCGAGTTCCAGAATTGCTGCCGGGATTCCATATCAGACCCATTTGCCCTGGATAACTGGATGGCCCGTTTTCTGACCGAGCACTCTTCCTATCTCTCCAGGCGCCAAACAGCCACGTTTCAGCCCTCTGGGTTGGGTCCAGGGAGTACCACAGCGCGCAGTTTGTATGCAGAATCTCACTTGTCTGACGTAGAGACTGGTTCTGAGGCAAATGATCTATCCGATTTGCTATATGATCAACGAGTAACGAGCGAGGGTCTTGTCAATAATGCGATTGACTGGTTGCTTGAATGATCATTCCATAGGAAATATGTAAATAACCGAAACTATGCCACCTTAATCTCACTCAATATTAGTCTGGAGATTGTAGGTCAACTCAAAAGATTTCGAACATTTGAACGTTGAACCAATATTTCTATGTTTAATTAATAAGTCCCCGAGGACACGTAGTTCTCCATATCGACAAAGAGTAGAATGGATTTCCCTCAAGACAAAGATCGAGGTATGGTCCGGTTCTGTTGTCTGTGCCAGCGAATGTACACTGCAGAGTGGAATAGTCCTTTTCAGCCTAGAGAAGTAATATTCGCGAACCTGTAAATATAATTTATGTCATGTGCTGATAAGTCTGTCTTACAGTATGCGTGATCTGGTCCTCGGCGTCTCGCTGAGCTTGTGTAAGAGCCTCCTGGAGGTTTTCTTTTTCCGCCTGGGTGCCATTTAAACCTCTTGGGATTTCCATAGGAACAGATTCACCTACATCAAATCCGGCAAGGAACTTTGGTACTAACTGCTTCTGCCACTGCCGGCGTCCCAATTCTGTTGTGACGTCGTGGCCGCTGTACCACAACCGCTGCTGCTGCGGAGAGACAAATTTCTTCTGCGTCACAGTTTTGGCCTTTTAAGATAAAGTTGGTTTTATGGTGACAGCTTTATCGAGACTGTGAGCGGTGTCTGATTCATCGATCATGCTGGTCGATACCCAGGCCGTTCGCAGAGATTCCACCATAGTATCTGGAAGGATACCACACTCGTAAATCCTTCCTTCAGCAAACTTTCGTGCTCGAATCACCACATAAATTTGAAATTCAATGTTGGCAGCATCGGAAAATGCACTCTTTACCTCATCCCATTCCCCGGCCATGACATCGTAGAATAACTCTTCACCAACTGGCCCATTGTGGTAATGCAGTGCCACTGTATGAAGGTTCAGGCCAAGCTCTCGGCAGTTGAACATGACACAAATGTAATCCCGGAACATGGCGATTGATGTGAATACCCGAGGTTCTTGAGACATATTGCACTTCGAGGTGGGGACTTTCAGTCCCTTTTCTTCAGCTGCCTCAAGTGCCACATTCAGTTTCCCCTTCTGGGGAAAACTTATTGCTTCGAAGCCATATATGTGATAGCAATCGGATGATACTTTTGGTCAGATTTGTCATACGAAAATTGACTCTTTGCCTCTTCTTTGGGAGCTTGCATTCATGAGAGCAGATTGTGATCATTGACCAAGGGAGCATTTCTGATGGCCTCAGTTGTTGCAACACGAGCCCATCCAACCTTTGGTGTGCCTTGGAGCCAACTAAAGTACTTGAGAAGCCCCCAGCAACGATTGAACTTTTCCAGCCTGTTCTCATGCTTATTCACAGGATCAAGCTTGATCTTAGAGAAGATGTTTTGTGCACCGTGGTCAGGGTATCTGCAACCTCTGCCACTGGCTATTTCGCCCTGTGCCGTTTTATTCTCAGCCATGTTTTGAGCTGGGGAATTGGTATTGTATTTGTCAAGAAGTGATATCATCCGAAGGTAACACCATACAGCACGTAGCTGTCACTGTCCTTTTGCAATGTCGTCACTGGCATCGGTTGGAGTGGCCAGAGTATTGTGCGTGATTGAGGTAATGCTGGCAAGGCTATCCCAGCGTTAATGGGCCAGTCGAAATGAACTTTTCTTCTGCATTTGGGCTGCATTTTCGTTGAACAAAGGCCACAGGACGAGGATTGGCCAGGAAATCATCAGTCGTCGTAGATCCTCCACCTTCTTAAAGCCAACGTAGCCAGCAAGTAGTATTTCCTGACCTTCAGTCTTTAGCTAATTTCCTTTGTCTAGTTCGATGGGACGGGCTTCAAGGACGGATTTGGACAGATGTTGGAGTAAGACGCTGCCGTTTGTGCTGGGAAGTCTGGGTTTCAGGTGTCTGTTGTTCATGGTTAGGACATGTACTTCTTCAAGGGGACTTTTGGGATCTCACTGTAGCTGGGAGTGTCTTTTCGGAAGGCTTTCCTTTCGATGAGACTCTTTGTGGACAGATGGTAAGATCAAAGGTATGGCAAAAGACGAACTTGAGAATTGATGGGTATTTTAAATCACGAAAGAGGAGGTTGACTAGTAGGACCTCGAGCGAGAGAAGCACTGCCTACTAGGTATAATTGTGGTGTAAAGACGGTGAACCGACGATTAAAGGATCAGGAAGCACGAGGAAGGTTGAGTAAATATTAGAGATGTAGAGTTTTTGTATGGGATCAAAAGCTTTATTTTCACATATGGAGACATGTAAACCCTCAGAAATATCCACTCATAACAATTCCATAGTTTTACCAAAATACTTTCACTCACTAGCGTAGGGTTGGTGTGTTGGCGTAAGGTCTAGGATGATACTTATTCTACAGATCTCAGGAATTGAAGACAAAGGCAGTGAGTATATTTTCATCTATTCATAAACATTGAAGGGAACAAGAACGATCTACATCATAACCGTTTGCCATTAGAACAAGATAAAAAAGTGGCCAACGATTAAAGCCGATGGAAATCTTTAGGTCCATGAAACATCTCTTAAAAAGGTCCTTTTCGTCATAACGCAGCGACTTACCCCAATCCATGTTGGATCAGAGTAAACCACAATTTAGAAATTGAGGCTTGGGTGCCCAACTTTAAAAAAAATAAGGAAACACATCAGTAAATTTTCCCAATATAATAGGAATGCATTTACTGCTGCTCCTCGGCCTGAGCCTCGCCTTCGGCAGGGGCATCCTTCATCTCGGCATCACCCTCGGTGGCCTTCTTGGCGTTCTCTTCGGCCTTCTTGGCCTCGAGCTCGGCGCGACGCTTAGCGGCGGCCTCCTCGTCAGCCTTGCGGACAGCCTCACGCTCGGCCTCGACCTTCTCCTTGTAGCGCTGGATGATGGGGCCGGCGATGAAGCGGATTTCATCCATCTTGGCGACGTAGACAGACTTGGTGGTGTCCTCGCCATCCTCGTAGAGCCAGTCCTAAGATGATGGGTTAGTATGGTTGATCTATAATAATTATTGACAAACCCTGGTTCGAAACTCACCTCGGTGTCCATGAGCTTGGACTTCAACTTCTCCTTCTCCTCCTCGCTGGAGAACTCAGCGTAAACGCCGTCGATCTTGTCACGGAGCTCGTAGATGGAGGCCTCGAGCTCGTTCTTCTTCTCGTCGGTCTCGGCGACGAGCTTGTCCTCCATGTACATAGCGTTCTCGCGCTCAGTCCAGGCCTCCTTGGTGGCCTGGTCGAAGCCGCCGGTGGCGGAGGCAATAGGGAGATCACCCTTGCGAACCTGCTTCTTAACCTTGCGGGTCTTCTTGGGCTGCTCCTCCTTGGAGTCGGTGTCCATGTCACCCTCCTTCTTCTCCTCCTCGACAGGCTCCTCGACCTCCATATCCTCGACGTAGTATCCAGACTCGACGTTGAGAATACCGTGCAGGTTGAGACGGGCCTTGAGCTTGCAAATCATGAAGTCATTGTTGGCATCAGCCTGGACGCCCTTGACAGAGAAGCGGCCAATCCAGGGGTTGACCTTGCCGGGCATAGCCTCGACGTCGGAGTAGCGGGCCTCGAGATCGAAGGGCTGCTTGCGGTAGAATGTGAGAATCTTGGTGGAAGGCATGACGTTGCCACGGCTGAAGACAGTGAGGCTGGTGTCCTCATCGGGGATCTCGGGGGACTGCTCCCAGGTGAAGTCGATGGGGTAGTTGACAATGTCGTGAACGGCGAAGTCACGGACACGGAAAACGGGGGAGAGAGTAGCACAGCTGAAAGCACAACCGCGAGCAATGGCCTCATCCTGGTTCAGGGTGAAGGACAGACCCTTGCCGAAGAATTTGGAGATGGTCTCCTTGATAGAGGGAACACGGGTGCAGCCACCAACCATCTCGATCTGGTCAATGTCCTCGACCTGAAGCTTGGCCTCAGCGAGTGCCTGCTCCAGAGGAACAGTCAGACGGTCAAGGAGGGGCTTGACCATAAGCTCGAGCTCCTCGCGCTTAAGCATAGCGCGGACATCAGTGTCATCCATAAGGGACTCGACGCTCAGAGGTGCCTGGGCGTTAGCGGACAGGACCTTCTTGAGCTTCTCGGCGGCAACCAAGGTACGGGTCCAGGCCTTGCCGTTGGTGTGGATATCAACCTTGAACTTCTCCTTAAACTCGACGGCGAGGTGCTCAGTCAGAGCCTTGTCGAAGTTACGGCCACCGAAGTGACGATCGTAGGCGGTAGCCTTAACGTTGAGCTCACCCTTGCGGAACTCAACAATGGAGGCAGTGTAGTCGGAGTAACCGATGTCGATGAACATCACACGGCGGGGCTTCTCCTCGGGGCCGGGGAGATCCAGCTTGGTAATACCCCAGCCGAGAGCGGTAGCGGTGGTGTCGTTGATGAGACGCAGGATGTTGAGGCCAGCAATATCACCAGCGTCAATCATAGCACGGCGCTGAACATCAGTGAACCAAGCAGGAACGCTGACGGTAACGTCGGAGACGGGAGCGCGCAATTCCTTGGAGGTGATGTCCTTGATCTTGGAAAGGTAGGAAGCGACCAACTGAGTCGCTGTGAACTTCTCCTTCTTGCCGAGGTAGTTGACCTCGACACCGGCCTGGCCATTGACGTCGACCAGGGTGCATGTGTTGTATTCCTGCTCGATGGCGACATCGGGGTCGTTGAAAGAACGGCCGATCAGGCGCTTGAGGGAGCCGACGGTGTTCTTCAAGTTTGAGATTTCTGCACCTTTAGCGGCCTCACCGAGGCTGCGGTTGCGAGGTGTGAATCCAACGACGGAGCTAAAAAAAAAAAGTTCAAATCAGTATTGTTATCGTCAAACAGCGGGGGTTCTTGGGACGTACGGGGTCTGACGGTTAGAAACCTCATTGGCAATCTATATTGTCAACAAGAAGTAGTTAGCGCAGTTGTTCTGATTGGTGAGGTCATGATTCATCCCGATAGAACAGTGCAAATCTGAATCAAGACCGTGGGGTAACACGCACAATGTCAATGCCCTTGTTGCGGGCAACACCAATTTTGGTGCTTTGCGCACCCAAATCTATGCCGACGACACTCATTATGGAAGAAAGTAGGGGGAATATGGGAGGTAGGGAGGTAGGGGGAGATGGAAGATTCAAAGGAAGAAAAGTGAGAGAAGTCGGAGGGGAGAATTTGCACGCCACTCCACTATTATTGGAGGGGCGATGACCAAGTGTCAAGCGGTCTGGCTGATCTTTAGGCGCCGAACTAAGGGAATTTCAAATTTGGGGTATAATGGATAACGTAAAATGTGTCAGAGAGTGCTTTCTTTCTTTCTTTTCCTACACTCCGACTGGTCTATATACCTTTCTTAGCATCCGGACTGTGCTGGTATCTCATCGAACCTTCTGGCGGCTGCTGGACTACCCACATTCACCGCCTAGTCCTGCCCTGCAGAATAAAAATCTATCACCGCCCTATGAGGAATCTACGGTGGATCATTGGCTACATCATTTTACTCCGTATATGTTGTTGGACTTGAAAGTATTTTGAATTTGAAAAACTATAGAAGCAAGACAAAGCAGAACCGCCATGTTCAAAAACATAAGAATAGGATGGCCAAGAAAGCTATGCTGAGGCAATTCAGTCGGACTGAAAAAAAAAAAAAAAAAAAAAAGAGGAAAAAAGAGGGAAAAAGAGGAAAAAGAAGCAAACTGACGTCATACTCCTGGTACGTATGTTCCTGTTAGACAATAATATCATGAGGTGGATCACGGGGTTTGAAAGCTGCTCGGCGCCAAGTGGCTCGGCACGACATGTTCTGGCTCCGTGTAGACCGGAGGAGTGCTTTCAGAACGCCCAGGGTGGTATGCTCCTGGTGGCGGGGTGAGTCCCAGGTCATCATCGTGCTCGGATGCAGAAACCATAGGCCGAAGAGCGACTCCATCATCAAAGCTATTCTCCGAATTGTGGCCATCGAAGGTCACCGAGCCCGCTGCAGCCCGGCCTTGGCGGGCATAATAGAGCTTCTTTTGGTCTTCTTCACTCATCAGAAGTGTTTCCACGTTCTGTGGCGTGGCGACCGAGCTAGAACCGCAATCCGATGATATAGTAGGCACAGAGTCATTCGGTTGGCGAAAGAGAGGAGGTGACTGGTACTGGGAATTTTGGGGTTTTCCCATCGCGTTGACCATGCGTGCAAGTGCGGGCCCAGGACCGGCTGCGTTGACATAAAACCCATCAAGTAACTGCTTGGCAGGTGCAAATCGACCTTCCACATTCTCCGATGGGCGGACGGGGACGGATCTCCGGCGCACAAGGCTGTTGCGGAACGTATCGACGTTCACGTTGAGCTCATCGCCCTGCTCTTTTGCCCGTTCAACTGCTTCTCCCGGTGTGGTATGGTCATCGGCAGTAGCAGCATCGGCCCGTGGTCCACCCCAAGTTCGCTGACCAGCTGTGAAAATACCATAGACCATGTAAATCCAGTTGAAAAACGGGTTCACAATGAACATGATTGGGTAAAGCCAGGCTTTATAGCGTCGGAGACGTAGGCCAAAGTATAGCATAAGTAAATAATTTAACCCCAGGGAGACCCCCATGAATCCCACAGGAAGATCATCCACCTTCTTTGAGGTTGTAATCAGTGCAATAATCATTATGAAGAAGAGCAGTGCGGTCGTTCGGATCGTGTTTTGCATGAATCGAACCAGACACAGAAGGGGATAGCGCACCCAGAGCCGGACATCAGTGATCATGCAAACCTCGTTGGTGATGAAACCTAAAAACCATCGTCTGCGTTGCTTCAAGAGGGTACTAAAGGTCTGGACGGCCTCGGTCTTGCAGAAGGCGCTCATACATAGCTGGATTTGATAGCGTTCCGTGGCGCCAATCATGAACAGGTGAGTGAGCCATCGGTCTTCCCCAAGATGACATTTTCCGTAGTCGAAGAGATCCTCGCATTGCTCAGCCTTGTCAGAAAAGTAATACTTGGCCATCTTGCGGAAGGCTGAGAAGCGTAAAATAGTCAAAGCACCAGGGAGACAAGTCACCGCACCACAGCCAGACTCAACGGATCGTTCAAACAGCTGGCCATGAACGTATTCCATGTCCTGAAGTATCGTCAGTAGGCTGTTTTTCTCCGTCGTCGACGTAATGATGCCTGTCATTGCAAGCATATTGCGCTTGCTGCCTGGCTTGAGTTCCATGTCATACATGAAGTTCTGCAAGCAAACTCGATCAAGAATGCAGTCGGAATCGATAAAAAGGACAAACAGATTGTCATGTCTCTTCAGATACTCGGCATAAACCTTGTCGATAAGCTTGAAAGTATGCTTTTGACAGTTCCTTTTGCCGCCATGTTTGAAGCGAGATACCGTGATCCGTGCACCCTTGTAAATACAGTCAATGCTCTGAGGATAGCTCTCCAGTGTGATCGGAATGCCGAGATGGTCGAGAACACGGAGATACGGCTCGTCCACCTTGCCACCATCGTATGAAAGAAAAACATGGATGCAATTTGCAGGATAGTCGCAGTCAACCACGGAGTTGATGGCTTTAATCAAGACACCTGGGTCCTCCTTGTATACTGGCATCACCACCACAGTCTTCGGGGCTGTCCGATCATCAAGGACTCTTTTTATCCTCTTTTTCCTTCCCAGTGAGTTCGTAGTGAGTCCGTAAATACAGAATAGCCATGGGCCGATCAGAAGAATAGAAAAGGCCCAGAATGCGAACACTTGAAACCCATGCACCATTTCGTGGGGTAAGTCAACCGTGATCTGTGGCGGCAACGGCAGTGTCACGAGCATGACTGGAAGGAATGCCAGCCTATCATGTGTTCGTCAGCTATGTCCCTGAATAAAGCTGCAAGGCAATGAGCTCTCTATGTTCCGGAAACCTACCGCAGCACTGTGAACAAGAAGATCATCACCACAGCTAGAACTCTTATACTCCAATGGTCTGCTTTCATCCACACTTTGATCAGGCAGTATATGAAGGCACCCAGCCAGAGAATCCATTCGAAGAGGGCCGCAAGCATCAATGGGCCGACGATTGAAAGGTAGATTATCTGTCGAGGGTGGTCAGGATTATCCCAAGCCCAGTAGGAGAGAGCCTACGTCTTTGGTCGGCCAGGCCAACGGATCTCTTTGTGATATTATCATTTTGATTCACCAAGCCTGCTTTCTAGGTTGGTTGGATGTTGAAAACAACACTTCAAGTAAAGGCTGAAGGGTCCGAAGGTATTGTATGCGGAGAATGAAGGCCTTGACATCACACTTGGTTAGTGCAATTGGAGATCTCAGTGTTTAAAAACAGCTACTTACAACTCACAGCCTGATAATGTTACAAACCTGAGTGAACGGGATGCCCAGATTATGACTGTCCTGGGAAAAATATTCAACTGAGGATATGGAATGATATTTGATAAGAGTGAATCCTCTGTGACAAGATGAGTATGAGAGTCCTCAGTCAAGGAAGTCCTGGAGGGAATCAAGTCAGCATATTGATAACCTTAGAAATCATCTGGTCACGACCTGAGGGAAGGCGCGATGTGCGCCAGGTCCTTGCACTTGACGATATTGACGAAAATATAGAGTACTACGGGTCAAACCGAATACATCCATCTGAAGCATTTCTATACATATTTATATTCATCTATTGTTATTATAATTGTTTGAATACAATGCAGACTATAGAAGAAAATGTATAGCAAACGTCGAATTACCCAAAAGGGAATGGTTTGAATCCGCGCTAACCAATCGCGGACTAGTATCTGCCTCAGGCGCCAATGGAGCTCAAAAAAATTCCCAGATTCTCCCCGCTGCGAGATTATCACAAGCGCAATAGTATTCTGAATAGCGCATTGATCAATCTACAAAGGTATTGTCACCATATCTCCCCATATTGTCTATAAATCCCCTCCGATCCATTGTTCACTTTCTGCTTTCTCTGACTCACCTCCGTCGCGTCGAATCTTCCCTGCTTATCATCTTTTTTTTTAACATCTGAAGTAGTCTCCACACACAATTCGCAACAATGGCCGAAGAACAAAAGACCCCTGTTGTCAACACTGAGGCTGAGAAGGATGTTCAGAATGTCCTCGCTGAGCTGAAGGAGGAAGGCGCCACCGAGCAGCCCGCCCAGGACGCCGAAGAGGCCCGTATTGTCGCCGAAGCTGCTAAGCTCGGAGAGAAGTCTGAGAAGGCCGAGGAGAAGACCACAGAGTCCCAGACTGAGAAGCGCGAGACCCGCAGCTTCCAGCGCGATGGCCGCGGCGGCCGTGGCCCTCGCCAGAACAACGCCAAGTTCGATCCTTCCACCCAGGAGGAGACCGACGACCCTGTGCAGATCCGCAAGCAGGTATGACCACTGGAATAGTCCGCTCACTAGATCTCACCTAACGCGCACACCATAGGTCGAATTCTATTTCTCCGATTCTAACCTCCCCATGGACAAGTTCCTGCTCTCCAAGGTTGGCGGCAGCGCCAACAACGCCGTTCCCCTTGAGCTCCTCCACTCTTTCAAGCGCATGCGCCGCTTCCAACCCTTCGAAGCAATCGTCGAGGCCCTCAAGACCGCCGAGAACGTCGAACTGACTGACAACGACACCGCCGTCAAGCGCAAGGTCCCTCTCCCGGAGTCCGTGAACGAGCACGATGCCAAGGCCATCAAGGTCTTCGAGGATGCCTCCATGGCGCGCTCCATCTACGTCAAGGGCTTCGGCTTCGGTGAGGAAGAGCCCACTACACAGCTCGATATCGAGGCTCTTTTCGCCCCCTACGGTCCCACCAACGCCATCCGCCTGCGCCGCACTCACAACGACAAGACTTTCAAGGGCAGCGTCTTTGTTGAGTTTGAGTCTGAGGAGAAGCAGAAGGCTTTCCTTGCTCTGGAGAAGAAGCCCCAGTGGAAGGGCACTGATCTGATTTTCAAGAGCAAGAAGGACTACTGCGACGAGAAGGTCGAGGAAATCAAGAACGGCAACGTCTACCCCTCCAACGCTCGCAACAGCGGTGGCCGCGGTGGCCGTGGTGGACGTGGCGGTCGTGGTGGTCGCGGTGGTCGTGGCCGTGGTGGTGGCCGTGGCCGTGGTGGTCGCGATGGTCGTGACCGCAACGACCGTGATGGCCGTGACTGGCGCGAACGCCGCACTGAGGACCAGCAGAATGGCTTCCAGGCCCCCCGTGAGGCCCAGAAGGACGCTCGGTGAGTTAAACTAATATGATTTCGCAGTGAGGGTACAAGTGCTGACTTTCATTTTAGTGGCGTCCCTGTCGTGCAGAGCACCCAGAAGCGCTCCCGCGAGGACGAGGGCACCAACGGTGGTGACCACCCCGCCAAGAAGGTGGACGCCAAGGAATAAGGTATCCAGTTTCGGCGGATTGAAATGTCTTATCTTTAATTCTTGTTCTTCGATTCGGTCAATCGGCGGGATTCAAAAAGTATTGCGGATTGGAGATCCGACCTGCCTCTGTTTTCCGATTATTTCATAGAGGTGAACCTTCTCTCGGCGTTATGTCATTTCATTACGAGCATCTACGGGTTGGCTAGGCAGGCCTCGGTGGCTACGATTAACCAGGGCCTGGGGTTTGATATGTACAAATGAGACTTTTGAACGAACTGTTCTCACAATTCTTCTTATCATCGTAGTACCTTAAGATTATACTTGTTTATATCACTAGATATATCAGACACCTAGAACTCTAGATCATAGGCCAAAGTATCATCACACAGCTCCTCGCGCATCTTATGCACCCTTCAAGTTGTCAGCAATCAGCCCAGTCCTCACTACTGCCCTGACGAAGAAAACTTACTCCAAATGCGCAGGGTGCACTGCATAGGTAGCGATGTGCTCAGCCGTCTCCAAAACAGCAACAAGTCCCATGTCAAAGCCCTGGGCACGGGGAATCGAAATCGGCAGTGGGGGGCCACTCTTTAGCGACAGCAGTCCTATTGCAAGGTTTCCATGAGAAACTGTCTCAATCTGAACTTCACCATTTCACTTACCAGGAATCTTTCCCACCATTCCATGGCATGTCTCCTTCCAGGTGGCGATCTGGGCCGGGGTAACGCCAGGCTTAAGGCGGAAGAGGACTAGGAGGTTGATTAGTGGTCGAGGTTCCATCTGTGTCTTTATGAAACTCGGCTGCATTCAACTCACCGATGTGATAAACTGGCATTTTGGCTGACTATTTAGAAACAAGGATAGATGTACTCTGTACGTTGTTCAAGTTGATGTATGTAGCCGGTGATTGTGTCACTATGCGGGGTGCACGGTGGGGTTCTCGGCGGATGTCCGATGGCTATATCTTCTACCTAGGCCGGTGATATAGCCCCCCATGGCAGCAGTATACTTTGGATTCCAGTCAATGACTGTCTCGTTAATTAGTGTTGTATCTTCTAGTATCTACATTCGTCTTAGTTATAAATATATATGTTCGGACCTCAATCAATTTTGATATATACTTCTACACGATACTTTCATTGGACGTTCTTTGTATATAAAACGACAGTCAATCTGGACAAATGTTAATACAATCATCCCTGGCTCTTCCAATTCCTGTCTCTGTAAATAGTCTACACCCCACACCAGCCCCTACGCTTTTACTATGTTCGATTTTACCCATTGTGGCCAGAACCCTTGATATCCCAACGTCAAACTATATATTCCTAGGGCCTTGTATAATGATTTTACCTGCTCTCACTTCATTGTACTTCTTGTGTTTTGCTATGGTTTCCTCTTATGAAGCCCATCCAAGTGAGGGGTATCTAGGTCAAACTCCTACTGAGCTAGTGGATTCATAGAGACATTGAAGAATTTGGATAATCGGCTTTCACGCGGTGAATTCGCGGAAACTTTTGATTGCGGATTTTGAATCCGACATTTTGGATTTTTCGAACTTTGGATTGACCCCTTCCATTTTGGTAAGGACACACCTGTGTAGTTAATCTTTCATTGTAGAACCAGACCTGGGAGAAGAATGATGTGGTTTCAAGATATACATATGTAGCACATTGGATGTAGTTGTAAGGTTTGGGAAGTCAAAGGTCGACGTTATGGAGTCTTTACCGATGACGAATTGTGTACTACTAAATTCAATGTTACAATAATAGGGGACAATCTTGGAAACTCTAGCATCAAAGTTGCATAGATAACATAACTAAATTGTGCCTGCTTACATGAGATTACGAAACTGCGGTCCAATGGGGAACTTATGTAAATGTGGAGCTCAGGGGGTACGTGTCGTGTCGTTTTGCGGCTTTGCCAAGGCCGCCTCCACAAACGCCTCGAGGGGTTGAAAGGTGTTACTTCGGCAGTTTCAAGGGTTGGTATGCATATTATTGTACTATAGACACGATTGGGAGGCTTCCATATTTCAATCTTCACTGCTGATATCCAGAAAAATTACAATGCCCTGGGGCCAGACATTTCCCTCGTGTGCTCACCTGCTATTTTAGGAGTCTTGGCGGGGGCGGGAATATCTCAGATTAGGGAGATTCTGCCCTATGACGATAGCCCTGGAGGGATTGCGGATCTTTGCCTCCCCAAGACCTCTGGGATATTACTTGCACACATAACGGATCTTTGGGCACGTGTGGACCGTGGACCCTGCGTGGACCTTCGCATGTTCCATGATTATTCTTTCAAAGCTCTCCTTATTTCTGTCCTCCCCAAATCCTTATCGGATCCTTCAGCTCTCTTCCACTTCTTTCATTACATCCATGGCTGGGAGAAGTCTGTCCCTCAGTCAGTTTAGGTGCAACATTCTTGCATGATTTGACACATTCCACCTCTTTTTTTTTGGTATATATCATGAAACCTGCCTGGCAGCTGCAAGGCGGTCTTTCCCAGCGGCTGCGCGGGAAGCTTGAATCTGCAGCCATCTTCGCCGTCAAAGTCGCCAGATCCCCCCAGGCGCATTTGGACCGTGGTTGGGCAGCCTCCCGCGCCTATTTATTTTCGGTCATTTTCATATCCCTCTTGCTCTCCAAAGCCTTCCATATCTACGTCCATATCAATGCGCTGACGGTGTTATCCCTGGTCGTCTGGGGCCCCACCTTTTTTTCCTGGATATCCTGCTCATTCTGGGCGCGCGCAGCCTGGCCCGATCATATGAATGGCGAACAACTCGGGATCTAGCGGCCGTGTTTATCACGTTATTCAGGTAGGCAGCCGTTTATCTCATTCACGGACGAATGACGAATTGCTAATTATCTCTCAGTCTAGGTGTCTCGTCGATGATTTCCGCCAACATCTCCTTTTACATCCACATGGGCTCGGAGATCCATTGGCACATGTCGAGTGGCTTCCGCAAGGAGAAGCCCTCCGCCGCGACTGTCCTCTCGGCCCTCTCCATCGCTATCCTTCTCGAAACGTCGATTTTGGTCGGCGGATTCTACGCAACACCGTATCTATCCTGGGTCACCGCAGCTTTCCTGAGGGTCTGGGGTGCAGTCTTGTCCGCCACATACCGCTACTTCCGCCCCAATAAGCAAGCTCTGCCACACCCAGATATCTATGAGCAAATCGCAATCGACGACTACGAAGTGGGCGATGATAACAGCGACTCTGTATCGCTGCTGGATGCTCCTCAAGACCCGCCTGTACAGAAGAGTCGGGCATTGCTGAAGCCCGTTATCGTCGTATCGTGCAGCGCAATTCTACTTTTGCTCCGTGTCGTTCGTCCGCACGACATGGCTTACAGTTTCCTCTCCGCATCCTTGCCTCTCGCGCCATTTGGTGGCCTCAGGTTTGGATCTTCTCAGCGAACTGTTGCATCGTTGCCAGGCGATTACAGCTGGCTAGAGGGCAAAACTGCTCTAGACTCCTTCCCGACATTCGATTGGTTACATACGGGTGATGCGGCAACTGCCTGGCCGGATTGGTCTCCCTTCCACATAAATCACTTCAACACTACCGACCCTAAAGACTATGTGTATGAACACTACAACCCGATGAAAGATCCTTTGCACATTCCCAACCTGCAGAACGACATTTTGGAGCCAATCCGCGACGTGCTCCACAGCGGAGATGTCAAGATCAAGCATGTTATTCTTATCAAATTAGAGAGCAATCGGCAGGACGTGTTTCCCTTCCGTTCCGACTCTTACATCATGGAGCACATAAGAAAGTCCTGGGACGGGAAGATCCCCGACGAGGTTATGGATAAACTCGCCAATCTCACCCCTATCGCCGAAAGATTCACTGGGTTTGAGACTGGGTTCAAGGAGAACAAGGATCGTCCAAAGCCATATGGCGGTCTTAGCGCGAAAAATGCGTACACATCTGGTACATACACCATGAAGAGTATTACAGGCACTATGTGCGGTGTGAGCCCTATGGCCGTTCAAGACAATCTTGAATACTTCCACGATATTTACCAGCCTTGCCTGCCGCACATATTTGATGCCTTGACTCAGCAATCCAACATCACTAGTGACACTAAGGATTGGACCTCCTGGCCGTGGTATTCCAAGTGGATGCAATCCCACTATGGCACCTGGGACCACCAGGAGGACCTTACTCCTACCCTAGGATTCAAAGATATAACGACAAAAGAATCAATCAACGAAGCCGGTGCCATATATATCCCGGAGGAGCCAGAGGATGAGCAGAAATATGGTCACCCGGACCACACACTGAAGAACTATATGCGGGATGCGTTTGCCGAGGCCAAGAAGAATAACACTCGCCTCTTTATTGGTCATCTAACCCACAATACCCATACTCCTTGGTTCAAGCCTGGCGACTACGAGGATTACTTCGGGAATCGCGCTGGATGGAACGAGAATTTGAACCGGTACCTAAATACCCTGAAGTATCAGGATGACTGGTTGGCTACCATCCTTGAGATCCTCGCCGAGGCTGGAGTCGCCGATGAGACCCTACTTGTCATGGCAGGTGACCAGTAAGTTCTCCCTATTTATTGTAGCGTATCAACCCCTTTATTAACCTATTATAGTGGTTTATCTCTTCCAAATGACGGTGGTATCACAGCCAACCATGACCCCCACGTAGCCAGTTTCCATGTTCCCCTCCTCTTCGCCCACCCCAAGCTACCCCCGGTTGAAATCAGGGGCGCCGTCCTCTCGACTCAGATTCTTCCCAGCATCCTCGATATGCTAATCGAAACCTCCAATATCAACGAACAGTCAGCACACATATTGAAGGACCTGCTTCCCTTATACGAGGGTCAGTCGTTGCTACGTCAACTCATTCCTGAGCAGGATAAGAAGCAGGAGTGGCATTTCTCTACGATGAACCCTGGAGGAACCTGGGTCTCCATGCGAGCAGCCTCGAAACCGTACCGTCTAGTCGTCCCGCTTATCCCGAATGCCCCGTGGCGATTCAGTAATGTTGTCGCCGATCCCCTCGAGTTCGCTGCCGAAGAAGACCTCGATGTCGTGACCCTATTTGATGTTGTACAGACACGATACGGGCCCGAAGCCGCCAGGTGGCTTAGCGAGGCTGCCCATGTGTCACAGTGGTGGATCGCGGAGAATCACAAACGCTGGAAGTATAGTCCTGACGACCCGAGGCCTTGAACTTCACTCCGTCGACATGACAGATTCAGCCAGAAGCAGAGAACCCGAAGAGCTCGGTGCTATGCTCCGATGAGGCACCTGCCAAAGGGTGCCGCGAATCCAGCTGGACACGTCCCGGCATTTGCACATACATACATAATACCCGTGCCATGTTCCGCATGCAGCACAATTTGTTCAATAATGCACATAACGGCGGCCTTGGGTTGTCGATTCCTCAAGGAATCGGCCCCATCTAGAAGACCGTTAAACCGATTACACCGAGTCAATCGGACGACCTCTTTCATTTCCCCGCCTCAAATTTTCACGATGCCTTGTTCGGTTTACTAACGCCATTGTTCATTTGCCAGCAGCGATTTTTGAGTATCGCAGTGCATAGCGACCGGTTGGGACTTGGTCCTTTTGGTTTTGAGGATTCACCGCTTGTACATATCTCTGCCTTCTTCGATGTAGTTTTTAGCATTTTGAAATAATACATAGTTCAAATCCGTGTTAAGGCTAAACTGACCCAGCCACAGCCATAATAACAACATTGTAGCCCGTAATGTCATTTCCTAGTCGAGACATGGCTCCTCTTCAGTCACTGTTTCCATACACGAACATCCTATCCGTGATATTAGAGGGCTGATGGGATCAAGTGAAGCGAGGTTAAGGGAATCTCACTGTGGGTCTGCCTTTTTATGCTTAATCCTACTCTACCTTAACTCCGGGATAAATCCGAGTCAAGCCCGTGACGCTTTTAGCTCCGATCGTAATCCGTCCTCTTCCGTTCCGTGCCGCCTTCCAACCCAGCGATGCGATCGGGATAACTTTAGATCGAGATTGTTTTGCATTGCGATTGGCTAAGCTCCACATAATAGATTCACTTAGAATGAGTTCTCACCAACCTAGCTCCAAACCCGAAGGTACGCGACTGCGTCCACGACGTGCGTGCGACGAATGCCGAAAGCGGAAGCGAAAATGCGATGGCGGATTACCTTGCTCGACCTGCATCCGTTATGAATATACCTGTCGATATGAATATGGAAAGTCGCAAAGAAGTGCTCGAGCTGCGCGTAGTGTCCCGCAGATGACGCCTGTGGAGCACCCACCACCAACACCTGAACACGCTCGCTCCGGTGGCCCAGTCTCAACGGGAGCCATTGAACAACAGGCGAGCTTCCTAGAGCGGGAGAAAGGAAGATTTCTGAGCCACGTCTCATCCGTTTCCCAGGCAAGATCTTTGGGGTTAGGACTTGACCTGTCTGAACCTCCACGCCTTCATTCATTCGGATATCATATTGGGATTCGAAAAGAACCCGAGAGCTCACTTTCAATTCGACTTCCACAGCTTCTTTCCTGGGACCAAGCAAGTAGCTGCATTGATGTATTCACATCCGTCATTCACCCAGTCTTTGGCTTTATGAAAATGGAATCCATCTTTCAAAGGGCCCAGGGACACTGGCAGGGCCGACTCGAGGGATATCCTTTCGAGGCAGTGATTACTGGTGTCATTGCATTAGGGTCTCTATTCTCTAATCGACTCGGGCAAGAAAAGGAGTTGGAGATTGTACTTCATGCCAAGAATCTGCTTGATGATCCTGTTATCAGCCGTCGCCCCTTGCAGGACCTAGTCGTGGCCTGGATTTTAAGGACTATTTACTCCCGCGCAACTGGTCGACCCAATGTAGCGTGGCTGCAAAGTGCCACCACTTTACATTTGATCGAGCTCACTGGAATACATTATGATGCAGCACGACTAGCCTCTTCCACAGAGGGTACGAATACATCAATGCATGACGACTCTGATTTATGCGCACGTATCACGTCCGTTGCGCAGAGCCTCCACATTATGATTGCATATGATTATGGGAAGAGTATAATACATCTTGATTCTGCTGTACATCGCCATGTCCGACCGCAACAGGGTGATTTCACTTTACAATTATCGGAACTTACCAACAAAATCTCGACTGCAACGACTCACTCGGACCCAATTACGAACCAGGCCCAGCTATTGCACGCAATGGAAGAGTTGATGGCCACACCAGTAGATCATGACTTTCTGCTGCTTGCAAGAGCGGAGCTATGTTTCGCCATTCATCGTCGTCTCCATATTTTTGGTCTTGGTCCCACTAGACAACAAACCAAGCTCATAGTTCAGGCAGGTACCGCGGCCCTCCCCGCAGCCCGACGGTTGTCGGCTCAACTCCACCCATGGTGGAATGTTACAAACGCACTCTTTCAGTTTGTATGCGTTTGTCTCTCTATTGGGACAACAGAGACACTTTCACATATCCAACCAACAATTGAAACATTTGAGACGGTTATTCAGCATTTCAATACCCATCTTACCCAGGAAGCATTCAGCACATTGTTATTATTAACTAGTGCATGTCAAGGGGAGAAGGATAAACAAGCCAACCTTCTTCGGTTTGCCAAGGGAATGCGACCAGAAAATGATGCCTCATTTCGAGGACAACGAGGACAAGGTGATTTGGCGATGTTTGATCCGCAAGTTGCTTCTCTCTTTGATCTTTACCCCGAGTCACCATTCATTGACCTGCAAACATTATTCAATATCTAAAACTACAATTATATACAAATTTCATGGTAATATCTCATAAACCATCTTCTGTGGTAGTAGAGTCCATCTTGTCACGCCGAGTTAAGCTTCGAATGACGAACATGGTCGCAACACCAACCCCTAGACCAGCGAGGCCAATACCCATGTAGCTTGCACCCCGATAACCTCTCAATGTATCGGTGCCGCCACGGTTAACCTGACTTTCAACAGTTCCAGCAAGCCCAAGTCCAATCGAGATGGAATAGTTCACAATGGTATTGACGAGTGAGGCAGCAAGACCTTGATGCTCCCGTGGCATGTTATTGCTGAGGATAATCGTCCCAGATGGAAAAGACATGTCCCTGATAGAAGATTAGTTCATCGAGACATATCAAATAGGGCAATGGAGAGTATACTTACATGCCCCACGGGGTCAATATAGAAATGACAAATGCCTGGGCCCAGTATGTTTGATGAACAGGCAGTGTGGCTAAGAGGATTTGACCACCCGTAAATGCAAGCATAGCGATCAACATGATCACACTGGGGCGCACCCGAGCTAAAATAAACCCGGTTGCAATTGCAGCGATTGCACCAGACACGGCCGAGGGTGCAAATTTCGCAAGCACCAACAGGGGTGCCTCTCCTTTGATGACTTCCATGAATTGGAAGAAATAAAAGACCACAACTCCAAAGCTGGACCAGCCGGCAGCTATACAGCCTAGTACCCATGCAACATCCTCAGAGAAAATCTCCCGGGGTAGTAAGGGACAGGCTGCATGCAACTCGATCCATAAGAATAGTGCTAGACACAAGAATCCAACGATCAAAAGAACGTAGACATAGACGGTCGCCCAGCCGACACTTGGTCCTTGATTCCATGCGAAATTAATGAGAATAAGCGCCGCGATACCGAGTGAACCCCCAAGTAGATCACATTTGACCCACCATGGCGTTTGATCTGATGATTTGGGAGATGGTGATTTGGGTATAACCAGCATGCCAAATACTGCAAAGGCAATGCAAACGATTCCCATGATCCAATATCCCCATGGCCACCAAGCACGCTCGGCTAAGAGAGCCGAGAACGCACCCCCAACATTAAATCCCCCGGGTGCAGTCGCGCCAAAGATACTAAAGACCATATCCTTTCGAGGTCCAGGGGGGTATGTGCGTCCCAGTATAGCCAGCGCATTCGGTAGCAAGAAGGCTGGCCCAATGCCTTGCAATGCACGGCAAATGTCGAAGAATATTTGGTTTGACCATACGGAAAACCCTCCAAGAATGGACCAGAGGCCAAACCAAGCAAAGCCACCAATGAACATGAGTCTATGTCCATAGAGATCCCCTAGCCTTCCTGCAATGAGAATGAAGGTACCGACCGTTAGGCTGTATGCGGCAGCATACCAGCTTAATTGCCCGGGATTGGTGACGTGGAAGCCATCGCCAATGATGTGAAGAGGTACTATAGCAAGGGCAAGGCCTGCTTGGGTCATGAATTGAGCAGCACACACCACGCCAATGAATATATACTCATGCAGCGAGTTCATTGGTATTTCGACTGACTGGTTGGTGATCGCACGAGCAATATCTTCCGGGTAGGAGTTTGAATCCACGGCATTAGGGTCATTGCCATTAGGCTCATGTAAAAATTTCTCGTGAAATTCCACTGGTTCATCGGACATGTTCGCAGCCAAGATCCGACAAAGAGAGGCGATAATGGGATGGTTGGGTTGTTGAGGGTGTAACCCGTTTAGAGACTGGATGAATATAGAATAATTTTTTTTTTGAAAGATGAACTTTAGATGGCAGAGAGGCGAACACTTCTGTAATTCAACGCAGTTCAATTCCAGAATTTCAGGGTAAGTCAGCACAAATGCGGTTTAGGGGCGTGAACGGGGTGGGATCGGATCGGATCGGAGAACGGAGAACGGAGAACGGAGTTTCGAGTGGCTCACTAGAAATATCACTCGAGCTGATTCGAAATATAAAGAGCCCTAATCTGTTCAATGTGGTTTAGTTACAAATACATCTTACCTGTCTCACCTTTACCAATATTGAGGATAGTCTTACTAAATTCCTCACATACGCAATGATGAAGGCTTTGCAGCTGTCGAAAGATCTCGAGGCCTCTCTGCCAACACTTTCACTTGTCAATCGTCCAATTCCAACTCCCACCACTGGCCTCGCTCTTGTTAAAGTCCAATACTCTTGCATTAATCCGTCGGATAAATTCAACAGTATCGGTGGATTCCCGAAGACAACCTTCCCCCGAATTCCTGGTCGTGACTACTCCGGCACAGTGATCGACTTGAAGCATGAGTCAGGTGCTATGCGCTCCAAATGGATCGGGAAAACCGTCTATGGAACTGGTGGTGCCGAACTTGGGTTCAAGATGGACGGCCCACATGCGCAATACTGCCTCATCCCCGAGAACATGCTTATCGAGAAGCCCGACACAATTTCCCTCCTTCAGGCTGCTACAGTTGGGGTTCCTTTCACGACAGCTCTGCGATGCCTCACACGGGCAAGAACAAAGCCAGAGGATGTTGTTCTTGTTCTGGGTGCCAGCGGGGCCGTGGGGTCTTCTGCTGTTCAGATTGCTCGGGCAATAGGGTGCAAGCGCATCTTGACTGCAACTCGAAACAAAGACGACAATCCAGATATCATATTGAAAGGCGATATTCCCGCAGAGTTTGAGAGCAAAATTTCCTCTCTTACCAATAATATCGGTGTCAATGTGGTGATTGATACTATCGGAAACCTCGATATCATGAATGCTGCCATCCAGGCTTTGGCCGTCAAAGGTCGGTATGCATGGATTGCGGCGCCACGAGGAGGGGGATCTACGAAGCTCAGTTTAGACATTTTCCAGGCTTATCGAAAGGAGATTGGGCTTGTAGGCTGTAACTCTGGTCTTGCTACAACTGAAGATACTGCGGAAGAGATGCAAATCTTGACCCGTTTCTTTGAACAGAATTTGATTCATCCGCGACCTGAATTATCAATGAATGTGGTCGATTTGGATGATGCTATTGAGAAGGGGTATAAGGCCTCTCCGAGCAAGAAGCAGACCGTATTGAAAATGGATTAGACGGATTTGAGCAGTTTGATTTCAGTGTTCATTTTTGACCTACATTGATGGCTCAGCATAGAAATGAATAGAATATACATGCGATTTGAACATTCTTTAACCTTTTCTTCACATCTCATCGCGCATATAACCCAAGTTCATGCTATGTTGGGTTATAAATTTATATATCCTTAGATTTCCCACGTCCTGGGACAACTATCAGGCTTAAGCCAACACAGAATATATCAGCCCTATAGCGGGGCCCTAAAACTAGGGCCACCTTGCAGATCGTATTGTAGATCAGTAAGATTTCAATCCTCCACAAACCGCAAGGATTTTCAATTTCCAAATTTGAGTGCCCATGTCTATATCCATCTGAGGTTTGTAGTCTTGTAGTCTACTTCGTGGGTATCGTGGCCAATCAAACTTGCTTCCGGAAGAGCGTATCGGCCATGAACGGACATGAATTTACATGTAGCCTGGAGCCATAGAGGTATGCATTGATTATTAAGGTGCATGCATGGATACCTTGAATTAAATGGAATTCACGGGTCGGTAGATGAGTGGATCACTAGGATGTAATAATGCCTCTACCTTTTGTATATGTGAAGGTGGATTCTTTCAGCGTCAGTGAACCGGAAAGGGTAAGAGAGTCACATTATGATTAGAAGACCAGAGGATCATGTTAAAGACAAATTCAGTCGGGCACTGATAAAGAGATAAAGCTTGCTCTCTGGGTCTCATTGCGATCGGAATACATGCCATTGGGGCTATAATAGACCTAGCATCACCCAAGTATGCTCAACCTCTTGAGACACGTAGTAGTGAAATTTGGGATTTACACAAAGGGCTTCCACTGCTCCTCACACCACTCCCAAAATCGTATTTGATATCCAAGTCCCCCATCCTCGGTGGAAGTCATTGCCTTGATGATATCTCGTCGTGGACAATCCTCATCCGGTCGAATTCTTCCCCAGGGAATGATGTATGCGCCATTCTTCTCAAGAGTTATCTCGGATGAGAGACCGGTGTAGAGCTCAGTATAGGCCCCAAACTTGGCCTCATGGAGCAAGGGGCCATGTTGCCGGAGTCCCTGCATAGGAACCCGCATTGAGATTGCCTGGATTCTGCACCATGCTCACAATATTGTCCTGGTCGACTTGGGATCGTCGTGCCAACTCTCGGCCCAACATCCAGGTTCCCACCTTTGAAACAGCATAGTTGCGAGTGCGATCTTTGGTTCCCTTATCCAGCACGGCGAAATAAATCCCATTTGGTGGCGAGGCTCCCTCTGCCAAAAAGCTGGATGTCCACACTACCCGCACCGATCCACGAGGTGTCTCGGGCGCTGCTGCAGCAGCCCGTAGCTGCGGTCGCAGGAGCTCAGTGAACAATAAAGTCGCGATACAGTGCATCCCCACCATAGCCTCAAATCCCTGGGTTGTTTTAGCGCCGGGTTCAACAATATTTGCTCCAGTTCCCGCATTATTCCAGAGGACATCGAGTTTTGATTATTGTTGGGCGAAGGTAGTCGCTGCCCCCTTGACTGATTCCAAGTCGTTGAGGTCAAGATGGAGGAACTTGATCTTGCCGGGTGACTTCGGTGCAGGTTCAACCTTCACGATGAATTGAATCGCGCTTTCCGCACGTTCCTGGAGAACAATGTTAGCCAATCGATGTTAGTCATGACTCTGGATTTGTTTGGGGGAGAACTTACCTTTGATCTTGATACCATGTAGACGGTGGCACCGGAGCCATACAGGATCTTGCATAATTCAAGGCCGACGCCGGCATTTCCACCTGTCACGATGAAAACCCGACCGTTCTGCGAGGGTAGCTCTTTCTCAGTGAAGGTCGGTTTGGGTGGGAACCATTGGGTTCGCAGATTTCGGAGGGAGGTAAGCGACATGGTCGGATGGGATGAATGTTAATTGAAATTCCTCCATGAGAGAAGTCCCCCATGCGCTTATATGTGACGATTTATGTAAATCTCCGGGGTTTGTCATTTCTTTGTTCTCCCTGCACGCTCAGCCTGCTGACACTGCATGTTTCCGCTGGAAATCGGTGGCTTCCACCTTTTGCAGGGATCCTCCGGGTCTGACACTTCCGACCTACGGACCACCTCACCAGGTACACGGCTATCCCCCGCTGTTTTTCTTTTTCTTTTCTCTTTCTTCTCCTTGGGAAAATTTGGAGTCGCTTTTTTTGCTTAACAACGAAGGTTCCTTGAATGTTTGGAAGAACATATCGCTTTATACCACCCTACGTATTAAACCTGGCAAGATTTTACTTTCGTGTTTGTCCTACGCTGTTACTAAGGGAGAAAGGTCTAATATGCTAATACCCTCCTTGAAGAGCGAATTTATGAGACAATTCAGTTGTAGAATGATCAGGAAGCAGAGAAGAAACAAGACTATATTTAAAGGACTACGTATTGACGAACCCCCTGTCTCCCCTCCTCTTTGGCTCTATGAAGCGACCACTTTCGATACAACCTTCTCGCACAGAGCAATCAACGATGAAGCGTTCAGAATATCCAATGTAGTTACCAAAGCCCCAAGTTCAACTCGAAGCCAGTTTCGGACTTCCACGGCAGCCAAAGAATCAATGCCGTAAACCGAGAGAGGCCGTCCGGTATCTATAGGCTCCGAAAGTCGAAGGACTCTCACAAAGCACTTATTGACTACCTCTACAGTCGCTGCAAGCTGCGCTGCATGATCCGGGGATTTCGATCGAAGCAGCAGCAACAATGCCTGAATATCCTTAGACCCAGCCGAGCTATTCCCCTCGCCACTGCCGGTCGCTGTGCGCCCAGTGGTGGTAAAGAGACCAGAAAATCGAGCGTCTTGCAACAACTGCGAATTCTCAGGCTGAGGTACGGGGATGCCCGTGATTATCTGCGTGGCGGAGAGTGTCGATGGCGCATCGGCTCGTTGCTGCAAGATTGAAAAGCACAGGGTGCGACGCAAGAGGCCCTCGTTGATGCCCACCCAGATGCTGGTGTCCAGCTTCTGTTGCATGCCATCTCGTTCGTGGATATAACCAACATCTTCAATAACACCGAGGTCAACTGCACAGACCGGTCGACCTAGGCGACGACGGTAGGTGGCGAAGGAGTCCAGGAACGCATTACCGGCGGCGATTGGGGGGGGCAACTCCGCGCACGAAGGAGCATAGCGCTCATCTCGATGGCTTGGTGCTTTATTTTGGCTTGGAGTCTAGCTTAGTTTAGCCCACTTCTAGGCCTCTCTATAACTGTGCCAAACGTCCTTTCAAAATTATTATCTGTTTTCCATGTTATCGAGAATTAATGCGGAAGATTATCATCAAATTAAATAAGCTAGACTTATATTACATCTTTGTACACTTTCTCTTCTTTATTTAGTTGAATGATGCCTACGAGGTACCTAACTAGCTTTTATATAGGCAGGTCATATAAAATATATCTAATTTTTAGATCTAGTATCTGGTCAAAATCTGTCATCTTCCAAGGCGCACCAAGGGGGTGTGTTAGGCGCTTAGCACGGTTATAGCCTAACGTAAATCACCCATGGAAAGCTTTTGAGACCATATAAATCTATGCATCTCTAGTTTTTAGGCGGTCTCCCTGGCTATGAAAATGAAGCTTTTCATACTACGTACAAAGTCTAGTTCAAACCACCCCATGAAGTGGAGATGTCTGATTTTATATGGCATGAAAAGCTTCATTTTTCCTCTACCTATGGCTATCAGAACCAGGATACATTATTAAGGGCTGTAAACAAACCTTGGAAGGTTATACATTACCGTCTTTATATAAACTTAAAAAGACATCTAAAAAGAACAACCAAGATCTGCATAAGCGGTTGACTATTCTTGTAGTGCCTCCAGGAGTAGGTTTTCTGTCAGGCCAAAATAAAGCACTCAGGCATCACTTGCGACTTTGGGCCCCCGTCGATCTGCGACCCGCCCGTCCACCCATCCACGGCGGTCGAAGTTTACCTTAAAATTTATTCACATCTCCAGGGCTTCACACCTAATTTAAAGACTTTTTTTTTGGCAATCTTTTTGTTCTTCATTCATGTGGCCATGTTTGAGTAGTGAAAAATAGACACAGCTACTTCAGCCCCTCTAGGGCTGAAGTGCAAGGCGCAGCAAGGCGAATCATATGCAACGAAAAAGCGCCCTTCAGGCATGGCCAAGTGACTACGGGGTACTCTAACTAAAGGTATCGCAATGGGGGGTTTCTCCATGGCGATATCTTCCATTCCAGTGTCTTTTTATTCCAATCTAAATATCTTCGCTTTGATCTAATACGCAAGACGTTGAATTAGATCCCGTCAACAAAAGTACCTGGCCTCCTTTGGCGCATAGCCAGAATGGGGTTTCTTTGGCGACGACGGGTTCCAGCCGCAAACCAGGATAATTCAAAAACCTTCCCGACCGGTATCAAACTATTATACGCCCCAGATAATGGAGAAATCGAGTACGTACCTTCTTGGGTCCGAAACGGAATCCCCTAACATTCCCCTTTAGCATCATCTTCATCCACGGTCTTACCGGCGATCGCGATGCGACGTGGACTGCTAGTGACGCGACCGACCCCTGGCCCAAAACCCTCCTACCACCTGCAATTCCGACAGCCCGCGTCCTTACATTTGGATACGATGCAAATGTTGCCGACTGGAAAGGAGTTGTGTCGCAGAGTCGCATCGCCAACCACGCGGGGAACCTGCTAACAGCTCTGTCAACGTACCGAGAGAACGACGACACGGTAGGACATCCAGTTCTGCAGATACGAGAGCATACTAATATCTACAGAATGAACGACCGATCATATTTGTCTGTCATAGCTTAGGAGGATTGGTCTGCGAGGATGTAAGATCGGCACCCCGCTTTGGTTGTGTGAGCTGCTCTAACATCCTAGATAGGCCTTGCTCGCATCCAACCAACGCCCAGAGCGACACCTCAGTAATATCCTCCATTCCACCTGCGGTATTATCTTTCTCGGCACACCTCATCATGGATCTGGCCTTGCTAGATGGGCTGAGGCCTTGTCCCGCTCCATCGGCCTCGTCAAAAAGACGAATTCCAAAATAGTCGGTGTCCTCAAACGTGATTCAGAGGTGCTTGCGCGAATTCAAGACGGCTTTCACACAATGGTCAAGGCACGAAGTGCACACAGTTTGCCGCCGATTGAAATCACTTGCTTCTACGAAGAAATGCCTTTGCCGGGTATTGGTTTAGTGGGTAAAGCAAATCCAGGATCATCCCTGAATACTAACGTCGAGGCAATAGGTTGTGCCACAGGATTCGGCAATCCTGCCAGGCTACATCCCGATCGGAATCCACGGCAATCATATGGATATGACCAAATTCGCCAGTTCGGCCGACCCTGGGCTTTTGGCGGTTTGTGGAGAGATGAGACGGTGGATTAAAGACCTAAAGACAAGCAGCAAATACCATTCGAATCAACCACAGGCGGGCTCTACTCTGGATGAGCAGCCGGGTTCCGCCAAGCAGTACGGTGAAAACAATCGTCAGTACAATACCTCCGGGGGCATGCGGCAAATTGAGGCCAGTTCTTACTATGAGGTCCATGGTGATCAGCATCAGCAATTCGGTACAGTCCCCCTACGGATGATAGCCCAGGAAACCCGGGATAGATAGATACGAGCTGAGATTAACGTGGAGAATAGTACACAATCATTTTGAAGCCAAGGAAATCGCGAAGTGTCCGTCTTGTCTACCCCAGGAAATTCCTAGTATCTAACATTCTTTTCTTAAGCCTATTATGTGATCCCCTTCCCCCGAAACGAGGATATGGTCGACCGCACCGCTATCATCGCCAAGCTCAACCCCTTCTTTCAGTCCACTGAATCCCATAGCGCTGCCCTTTGGGGTCTCGGCGGATCCGGGTAAGGTTTATTACGCTCGCATAGATAGGCTAGCTAACGATAGAAGGAAAACCCAGGTAGCGCTTGAACTCGCCTGGCGCCAAAGTCAAAGCAAGGACCCTGTGTGTTCCGTCTTTTGGGTCCATGCCGATAACCAGGCGACGTTCACTCAGGATTACAAGGCTATCGCGGGCAAGCTAGGCCTCCCAGACGATCTCGACGGTGAAAAGCTTCTCACAGCAGTGCGCGACCGTATTGAGAGCCAGCCACGATGGCTGCTTGTTCTCGACAATGCCGACGATCTAGCAGTCTTCGGTGTTAGCCGGAGAGAGGAATCCGCGGAGAAACTCTCAAGCCTAGCCAGCTACGTACCAAAAGGTGCTAGCGGAAAGGTGCTGTGGACAAGCCGCGATGAACAGATCGTTGGTACCCTTGTCGGTGCGCAGTGTGGTATCCAAGTCGGCCGTATGAGTACTGACGAGGCGATCCGTCTCCTTGGAAATTTGAAGAACGGTCAAGGCGAGGCAAGCAGTGAAGAAGACAGCGACGCAAGAAAATTGCTTGAAGAGCTCCAGTGGCTACCACTAGCCATTTCACAGGCCGGTGCATTTATGAGGCGAAGATCAATGCCAGTACGGCAGTATCTATCTCGACTATTAGAAGGACAGGAGCGATGGCGGATCCTCAAAGCGGAGCAGTTCGATCGGCACCGACGGCCTGATGTTCCGAACAGTGTTTTAGAGACGTGGAGCATATCCGTCGAGCGCATCCGGGAGGAAGACGAACTGGCGTATAGGATCCTCCAGGTCATTGCGTACGTCAACAACCAAAACATCCCGATCGAGCTTATGGCGGCAGTGGATACTCTGGGCAACGAGGGACAGGAGCCTTGGTCATATGAGAGCCAAGACCTATTCATGGAATCTATCACGCGGCTAAGAGAGTTTTCATTTCTCAGTGTACGTGAGGGAAAAGATGGGACTGTGCAGCAGTACGACATACATAAACTTGTACAAGAGGCTACACGATACGGGCTCAGTGTGAGGAGCACTGAAAACGCGGCATACTTCCCAAATGTGGCGCTCCAGATTGTGGCAAGCCTCTTTCCTGATTCGAACCCTAAGACGTGGCGAAAATGTGAGAAGTACGTTACCCATGCGGTGGAATTGGGCAAGTGGGCAGAGGTCTGTAAGAGGGGGAGAGAGGTATCGGATCTTTTGACCCAGGTTTCGGGGTATTTCTACGACTGTGGTAGGTGGATAGATAAGCAGCCGGTCGATGAGAGGGCGTACGAACTACGGCAGCAGGTACTCGGTGAGGAACATCCCGACACGATCCAGAGTTTAGCAAACCTTGCGTCTACCTACCACGCACAGGGCCGGTATAGCGAGGCCGAGCCGATGGACGTCAAGGCCCTAGCCCTACGGCAGCAGGTGCTCGGCGAGGAACATCCCGATACGATCCAGAGTTTAGCAAACCTTGCGGCTACCTACCACGCACAGGGCTGGTATAGCAAGGCCGAGCCGATAGACGTCAAGGCCCTAGCCCTACGGCAGCAGGTGCTCGGCGAGGAACATCCCGACACAATCCAGAGTTTAGCAGACCTTGCGTCTACCTACCACGCACAGGGCTGGTATAGCGAGGCCGAGCCGATAGAGGTTAAGGCCCTAGCCCTACGGCAGCAGGTACTCGGCGAGGAACATCCCCACACGATCCAGAGTTTAGCAGACCTTGCGTCTACCTACTCCGCACAGGGCCGGTATAGCGAGGCCGAGATGATAGAGGTTAAGGCCCTAGCCCTACGGCAGCAGGTGCTCGGCGAGGAACATCCCGATACGATCGAGAGTTTAGCAAACCTTGCGGCTACCTACTACGCACAGGGCTGGTATAGCAAGGCCGAGCCGATAGAGGTTAAGGCCCTAGCCCTACGGCAGCAGGTACTCGGCGAGGAACATCCCGATACGATCCGGAGTTTAGCAAACCTTGCGTCTACCTACCACGCACAGGGCCGGTATAGCGAGGCCGAGCCGATGGGGGTCAAGGCCCTAGCCCTACGGCAGCAGGTGCTCGGCGAGGAACATCCCGATACGATCCGGAGTTTAGCAAACCTTGCGTCTACCTACCACAAACAGGGCCGGTATAGCGAGGCCGAGCCGATGGAGGTCAAGGCCCTAGCCCTACGGCAGCAGGTGCTCGGCGAGGAACATCCCGATACGATCCGGAGTTTAGCAAACCTTGCGTCTACCTACCACGAACAGGGCCGGTATAGCGAGGCCGAGCCGATGGAGGTCAAAGCCCTAGCCCTACGGCAGCAGGTGCTCGGCGAGGAACATCCCGATACGATCCAGAGTTTAGCAAACCTTGCGGTTACCTACTACGAACAGGGCCGGTATAGCGAGGCCGAGACGATGGAGGTCAAGGCCCTAGCCCTACGGCAGCAGGTGCTCGGCGAGGAATATCCCGACACCATCTGGAGTTTAGGAAACCTTGCGACCACCTACTCCACGCAGGGCCGGTATAAGGAGGTTAAGACGATGCGGGCCCAGGCCTTGGAGCTACAAGAGCAGGCCAAGGCCTCGGAGGTACAGAAGCAAGTTCTCCGTAGTAAGGATGCCGATGCAACTTAGGGTGCATTTGCAACCTACGGTACCAGACCGTGCGGGATGTGCTGCTTGAACACCCGACGTTTGATAACTGAAAAGGCAGATGGTCAATGAACTGGGGGGGATGTGGTGGGCCAATGGCCTCAGGGGACGATGAGATACGTGTCGCATTACATGGCCAAAATGTGATTTCTGGGGCAGCATCAGTCAGTGAGCTTGAGTGCCATGGCAACGGAAGGGAATACCAATGCGACTGTTAGTGAGAGTTATGCGCAAAGAAAACAATCACCAAGCAGGCACCGAGAAGTGAGAGGCCGACGGAACACCGCACAGAGAATAGCCACTGGTCCATTCCATCCTCCTCAACATCAGTATTAAGCAACCAATAAACAATGACGGCCGTCGATATCAAAAGCGAGGGGGATGGCGATGTACCATGGTGGATGCAAAACCCGGATGTGTTCAGTTCCCAGACTTGGAAGCAATGTTGGCGCAGGTGCGTGCAGAAAGCGATTCTGGTGGTGTGGGACTTCGGTGATGCGAGAAAGCCGGAGGGGATGAGCAGGGGCTTGAGGATGCAGAGTCGATGGTGAAGGGGAGGGGGCCATTGCATGAGGCAGTGATGACAATACATATAAGCTGTGTCACTCCTGGAAATGTATGCGAATTTCCCGCATAGACATAACATGTACTTCCAGAAGGGATAGTTCTCCGTGTCAACCAATTTATGTTTCATCAAGGAAATCTCGGCCAGGGTTAGTATCCGACTCCGTAGCCAAGCACGGTACGGAGCACGTTGGCAATCCTGAAAAGCACATGAGGAGACTAGCAAAGTTTGGACGAGAGAGAAAGCTTGAAGGCTCACCGAGCAACTGGACTTACCTCCCTGCGTTCCTCGCCATATGAAGAGGGGAACGCTCGAGGCTGTATGCTCTCAGGCATACGGGTCCATTCACCTTCAACAGTTACCAGATAGTTCTTTCAGTGGGGACTAACTGGTAGCAAGTTCCGTCTACGAGGTTTTGTCCCAGGAATATCTCATTCATATTTCCCACGTGGCTATAGGATAGAAAAAGTATCTCTCCAACTAACATCCTCTACTCGAGGGTGTTGTTAAGAATGACCTGGACTTTGTGGAAATCAGGCCACTCCGATAGCTTTTCAATCCTCTTCCCATCCTCCGTCATGGTGAGCACGAAGACATAATCAGTGCCATATGGGCCAGTTTCCAATTCTCCCTTGCTACTGCAAAGCATCGTCACTGTCCTTTTATCTGCATCCGTGTACATCTCGTGGATGGTAATTTTGAACGATTTCAAAAGCTTAAAGAAAGCTGCCGCCCTTTCGTATGTTCGAAATCTGAAGCTGCATCAGCACAAGATCTCTTTGGAGAGTTTTACGACTTACTGTTCCTTGGTCATTGGGAAGACCCCCTCGGTGTCTGGGTGGAGAGTATAGTATATGTCATCAGTCCACCGTGAAACAACATTGTCCAGCGAGCGACTTTCTAGATCTGAGATCCAGCCAGCGGCGGTTTCTTCGAGAGTTGCTTTGAGTGACATCGTTGAGAAGGAGGATAGCAGGTTGTGATGAAATAAGTTGACTGATAATTTCAAACATCTACGCCCGCCTCACTCTTCTGCTTCTTATACTTTGCTTTTTGTAACGACACGTGCATACTTGCATCTTGGCACGGTGTGATATTTGACCGAGTGCAAAGTACCCCTAGCCATGATAAGGGTCAATCAAAGACTATTGTTCGGTACTAGACTTCAATATATTGCCGTAGAGGTGATATAGAAACATATGTCCTCTTGATTGGCCTATTTCAATTTGTCACCAGTCTCCTGGAACCGCTTTTGGAAGTCTACCCGGGCCGGAATCCGGAATCTTTCACTCCCGAAGCTCCCCGATCCGAGGCCCCCTATGCCTGCCCCATCATCTGATTGTGACAACCCTAAGACATCATGTAAATTCCGCTGAAATACCTAGGTAGGAATACTTGATTACCAAGCGTACTCCGTATATCTGATGGCTATGCTAAGATAGTGTGGCCCACTTCCATTATACATGCACACACTGTTGAGCGAAAATCTTTAAGAGAGGCGAATCGAACAAGGTATTTTGTGGCCCGAAAGGCCACACCCGTTGCTTACAAGTATTACATCGGCTAAGCCATCACATTCCTTACGTTTGTTGGATTGGTTTACCTCCTTAACAGACAATGGGGCAAAACTTGGAAAGCAGAAGACTTGTTTCAGCAAGAGTTGTCCATTCGAGAGACTTGTCAAGATGGCGAATCAATTGACTTCGATCGCAACAGGCACGTTCGAGCTGTGAGGATGGATTCCAGAGGGCTTTGCACCTCTAGCTTGCGGTGTTTCATTTGTATACGTCGCCCGAGGTGGAACACTGCTCACTAGCTGTGCCAATTCCAATTATCTAAAATGTCTCAGGATGTATAGATCACGGATTCTGAGCCTAAGGCACTCCAAGCTCCGCTTAATGTTAGCTCGGGTGAACTTGTATTGCCTGAAATCACAGGCAAAGGTGAAATGAAGAATAACCCAGAAGAAGTGACTGGGCAGTGAAAGAAAAGAGACTGTCATCTCTATATACCTCCTTTTCAACTTCGCCATCCCCTCCTCATCCTCTCCCATCTCGTTTTGTATCGATTCAGGGGTGCTAGTCACAAAAAGGGCCCTTGCGTTCATGATCTTTCGAAACAAAAAAGAGGTCACAGACGGTGAGCTGTATCCCAATTACATACATTACGTATGTTTTTCACTAATCTGTCCCAGCTCACCACGCCCTCTAAAGACACACCAGTAGTTTCACCGAGCCTTTTGGCACTCGTCCATATCTTCGTTGACGAGGCTCACTTCCCCTTGCATTCCTCTTTTACTGCCTTGTGAATACATTCCACTCTAACAGATGATACAACCCGCGAGGGGGGAAAAACTCCACTCAGAATTATATGGCATAGATGCGGCGATGTTGAGACCATGATATTAAAATATGGGGGTACTTGACGTTCTATTGTGCCATTTTCACCTGCTCGCCCACGATGGCTCACACTCAGCTCGAGTTTTGGAAGAGCGAACCCGAAGTCTGATGACTTGCGGGAGCTCGTAAAGAGCTTGCAGCAAAGCTTCATAGATGCTAGTTCCTGGAAATGCGGGCAGGTATTTATCGAGCCAGTCCCGTGCGGTCGAGTGTAGGGGTTTAATGTATCGAATAGCACTTGCAGAAGCCAACCCCAAGTCCCAGTTTAGGGAATCCACAACACGTACTCCTACTCCTCCTCCCTCTCCCGATATATCATCCATATCACCATTTACCATTGCGACATGGGAAGTTGGCCTTTTTTGACCCTGGGTCAGCCATTTATTGACCATTGCACCAATAAAGTTGTTAAATGGCTCAGGACAAAAGAGGGTGTCCCGGCTTTGGTGAAACCCTTCATTAAAAAGGAATAAGCGCCAGTGGAAATACTTCTCCAAGTAAAGGAGGCTCCGGAAGAGCTTACCAGGTCCCTCAATAAAGAGGGGGGCGGGATTAAAGAACAGTTGGTGCGCCAGGCAGCCAGGCAAGTCGCCCTAGAGAACGTGGTTAAGGAGATGGGACCGCTAGTAATTACTTGCAAGGCTTGTTCTGGAAGAGTATAGTACCTGTTTTTTACATGCCCCAGTAATATGTTTTTAATTCGGTGAAGGGGGAGTGGTCGTCGGTGATAAAAAAGGAGTATCATAGATCACCTAATCCAAGATATTTTATCACAACAACCAAAGAATCGCTCGTACGAAAGGCAGTTTGGAAACCATATATTTTGATTTTGGGAGCAAACCATTGAATGCGAGGACTCGCTCCGTCCTCCAATTCCTTGGTCTCAGCATTTATACTCTCATACATAAGCTAACTAATGATCGAAGGAAATGAATGCTCGTAGAATTGGGAAAACGTTTACATTCAGACTATACTGATAGCTAGGCTGAGAATGGGACACTAAAGATGTCTAGGTGTAGCCATAATCTAGGCAAGACCGTCCTGATAGGTGCCAGGTCCCAACGAGAGTCATCGTTCTCTGTGGTGAGCTCTCTCTTCATGACCATACTGACACAATGCTTTATTCTCCAGAGGTTGCTAGTTATTTAAAACCCTTGATGTAGGTGCTGTCCAGTCCTGCGCCGTGCTGGCTCACTAGTTCCGTGAAAATGAAAACGGCATTTGCAACATTTTTATCCTTATGGCCAGCTCAGTGATAGCTCGATGGGAGTTTCCGTTCTCTTGGTGTAATCGCTGTGTTTCTTGGCCATTCATCTGATCGCGAGTGTTCTCTAGAGTGGCTCGAGAGCGCATATCGTTGTATCGTGGGGGAACTGACTCCATTATCTTTCGGCGTTTGAACTTTCTCATCGGATGCCAGATTCTCCATTCCTCTTGCTCGTGTCATCAGTTCAGCTAGGGTGTGATGCGGCCGGGGGCTGGCCATTTCATGGGGCCCCGCAACTCGTCCGACCTAGCGTTTAGATCTTCTAGCATCTAAGTCTGGTGCGGATCGTCGTATGATCCATTTCGTAAGAATGAGAGCTATTTTATGACCGACCTCTTTTAGTTGAAAGTCAAAATCTGTGTTGCATTTGTCGCAGTTGCCTCTAGACGGAGGCATCTATTTCTTTGAAATGTATGTTGAAAGCATTGACTTCACAATATCCAAATACTCCCGGTGAGATAAATGTTCACAGATCCAAAAGAAATGTGGCGGCGATCGAGGCAAGGGCGATTGTAAATGTTTGGGCACAAACAGGTCCATCCTTCGGTTATCCACAATCAGAATGTCTTCGATTCGTAGGTAAAGACCTTTTTTCTCTACGTGACTCCGTGCTTCGATCAAAAATAAAGTGATTGACTCGGGATGTTCTCTGACCTAGGTGTGGTATAGTGATTCAGTGCCAAGACCATACTGAGCGCCATAATAAAGCCATCTTATCACCGACCGAAGTTTATCGGGGTAAATCCTGCGCCTACTCCAAAGCAGGATCTTATGGATGTGCGATATAATCCCATCCCTGTACGATTCATATTGATACACACATGGAGGGCGAGAAGGCCACTCCAACCAAAAAGACTTCACAAACCATTCTGGCCCGTCGAACTTATGAAGAACATCGCAAGGGTAACAAAGGAAATGGTTTGGGAGATCGCGTACAATTCGATCCAACACTACTAGCCTGGACCCCTCTGTTGGCGGAATAAGTTTTCTTTTGCGACTGAAGGCACCGAAGAGTCGAGGATTGCACACGGAGAGACAAAGGATATCTTCAAGTTTGTGCAGGTTCGATATTGATAGTATGAGTTCCACAGGAAGGCCGTTCAAGGTGTGGGGTTTCGGAATCGCGAACTAGGTGGTTGATTCCAATTCAATTTACTGGAGCTCTCGTATGGGTTTGAGGCTATTCATGGCCATTTTTGATGCGCTCGAACCGTTGGAATGTGTAAATCCTTGTTGTATGGTCAGGCAGAACTGGCCGTGGAATATCATGGTCAGGTTACCAGCCAGTAACCTTCAATGTTCGATGATCCTCCCGTGTTCCAGATAAAATACAACCGTCAACGTTGTAGGTGACTGAACTCGCAAGCTCCAGGAAATTTTCTTGAGAACAGCAAATCGGAATGGGCGAAACAAGATATTGTAGTGAAAGGCTCAGACTGACGTTGGAAGACGAAGTCTCACGGTGAGATAAATTAAAGATGAAAGATGTGTTGGAGATGACGTAGTTATAAAAAGAGATCATTCAATTAGAGATGATACAAACAACATACTACTACCTAGCTAATTGTAGAGAATCCTAGGTATACGTAGTACGTAGGTATATTCATGCGCCAAATGCTCCGAAACCTTGGAAGTCAGTTCTTTTCCTCTTCGGGCGATGTGGAGACCTCAGGGAGATTCTTTGTTCGCACGTCACCTCTTGACTCTTAACACCTTCTCACTCTCCAGCGCTTCAGTTCGCCTTGTTTGAAGTCAACTATACTCTGTGTTTGTAGCTTACAGCTACAATCTTGCAATTATGTTCAAAAAGAAGCCTACGGTAAATGATCTCTGCCCCGCACTACCCCTCCAAGCTTTGCTGGGTTTACAACACTCCCACTTCAAAGGACTCTATACTAATACAGAATAGATCAAAAACCTCTCTCCACTGCGATCTTCTGATCGTAGGAAGATTGCCGACCAAATTATTGAAGATTACCAGATCCCTGTCACCTCAAACCCCACCAAAGCAGACTCGTCCGAGCCCAGCACAGCATCTGCCCCCGCCTTAAGCCTCACATCGATCCGAAATGCCCTCCTGCCCGATAACACTCAGACTGCCCGTTTTACAACTACCGCTGGTCCAGACCTTCGCGAACTTCAAGGGATCGTATATGTTGGCACACATCCCGACGGCGATGAGCGGGTGCTATGGTTCAAGCTAGAACACGGCCCGGGGGCCGACAAACGACTATACCCCACTGTCTACACATTATGGCACAACCCGAACTTAGTTCCATTACTCTATACTCCAGAGTTTGTGATGGGAAAGCTCCATAGTGGAGCTGACTTAATGACACCGGGCCTCGCAAATGAACCTCCATTCCCCGAAAGGGCGGTCAAGGGCGCCGTTATCGCGGTCGCGAGTGTGGACAGACATACAGTGCCACTTTTTGTAGGCATCTGTGAGATCGATGTTTCAGCATTGGGAGAGGTGCAAGGCACAAAGGGCCATGCGGTTCGTGGATTGCATTGGGAGGGTGATGAACTTTGGGCGTGGAGCTCTGCATCACTGCCCGGTCGTCCAGCTCCGGAGTACTTGGAGGGCTGGGACGAGGATGAAACTGAAAGTGTTGAAGAACAAATGGGGGAGTTGAGAATTGAGGACGATGGGGTTACAACCGCCACGGGGGACATTGACGCACCAAGCAATGACCCAACCACGTCAGAAGAGCCCGTAACAGAGGAGGAGGCACCCACAACAGAGCGTGAGTTATCCACACCTCCCTTCTTTATCCGCCAGTAGTTGGAACCAGCAGTTGGATTTTGAAAAGAAACCAACCAAGTACTGACAAATAATAGAAATTGACGAGGCGTTCGTTAATGCTTTTGTCTACGCCCTCTACAAGCTCAAGCAGGATAATCCATCAGCAACGGACCATGGCCTTCCACTGCCAATCACAGCTTCGGCATTAATCGCCAACTTCACCACTCCTTATCTTCCTGTGTACACCCCCCAACAGGCTCAGCATTACAACATCAAAAAGACCAGTTGGAAGAACGTCAAAAAGTTCATGAAACATCTGGACAAATCGAAACTTGTCAAGACCAAGGAGCGTAACGGCCAAGAGACCGTCATTTTGGATGTCGACTTTGCGGACCATCGTGTCGAGCGATTTGTACCATATAGACTGCCTTCACCGCGTGCCTTGGAGAACAGTAAAGCGGCTGCACCTGAAGGCAAGAAGTCGGCTGCGCCGGATGGCTCCGACCCTTCGGTGGGTCAGACGATTACTGTGCAAAGTCTATATCGGCCATCAGGAAAACTGGTGCCAACCATTTTCCCTGCCCTCGCTGCCAGCGACACAAACAACTTTTACAAATACTCCGAAGTATCCAGTCACTTGGATCAATATCTTGAATCCCAAAATCCACCGATCATCTCAAAAGAAAACCGGCGCATCATAACCCTCAACCCATTCCTTGCGAATACCATCTTCAATTCATCATCAACCGAGGATAAAGGGACACTTGCACGCGGGAAGGTCACTCGCGATGGTCTCTTTAAGCGACTCATGGATGATAAAACACTACTATCGCCGTACCATGTGATTTTGAAGACCGGTCAAACTATTGCAGACGTCAAGCCAAAAGCGGGCACCGCACCGAAGGTCCATGTCACTCTCGAGAAGCGGACAGGTTCTAAGACCGTTACCAAAGTCATGACTCTGGAGGTCTTTGGCATTATTCCCAGTCTGTTGGCACAAGAGCTACAGAAGAAGTGTGCCGGTAGCACTAGTGTCACACAGGCTACTGGTGCTCCAAAGGGAGTCATGGAAGTTTTGGTTCAGGGCGACCAGCGAAAGGCCATTGAGACGGCCCTTGTTCGCCGTGGACTCAAGCCGCAAATGATCGAGGTTGTGGATAAAACCAAAAAGAAGAAATGATCGCCACGCAAAAGACCATTTGTTCATATTACTGCTACATAGAGAGGACCTTTCTTGTACAAAAGAAAAATCAAGCATGCAGCATACTGCTAGAAATGAACAAAAACACTCATGATGAGATGGATTAGACTACCTTCCTAGATTACATAGACCAGCTCATCGCCACAAAACCACCCAAATCGCAAGAAACCGAGTTATTTCCACCCAGCATTAAAATAACCATCACTGTCGCTTCAATTCCTCGTCATGGCTCTCTCTGTTTCATTCGTCAATTTCAATTCGCTCTCGTCGCCTTGCCTTCCATTACCATCGCCATCCCTACGGACCCCCTTGTCTCCGTAATATTCACATCACTAGAATCAACAGCCTCCCAGATATCATCTTGAAACAAGTACTGCATCAAAGCTTCTTCCGTGCGACAGGTTCCATCCGCCATGAGCGTATCGATTCTGTGGACCAGATCATATGTAACGAAGATCGCCCCGCCTCTCGAGTCTACCACCAGTGCTTCTAGTCTCTGGCGTTCCGCGTCTGTAAGACGACTCGCATGGCCCGGGTTATCGGTGTAGATTTCTGTGTGCCGTGTAGTATCTGCACGAGGTGTATTATCTGGTCGATGCTGTGTGGACCCGCGTATGGTGATGATAGTAGGTTGAGTGCTTGATCCTGGGATGGATGCACTGCTGCTTTCAGCTCTGCTAGTATCCTCCGGGGTTGACATTGTAGATTTTTCTTGGTGCCGGTGGCTTTCTTGATGAGGGTATCAAATTAATTGGAAATGGTGGGTTTCCTTTTTCGCTAGTGCAGATGGAATTGATCGCATGGCAGAGGAGACTGAGGTCGAAAAATGACCCGAGAGTTTGTACAGCGCATGATTTCGTTGCTTTCCACGTGCCCCCACGCTGCCTTGTACTCCAGGACTTTGTTGGTATATAACATGTTTCATTTGCAGGGTCTATACTACTTGAGATTACGATAGTCTAAGTGAGTTTGGGGGTTACGATTCTCTGCCAGACTAGAAGCCTTACAATAAAGATATCTAAACCTGGTGCGGGCAGTATGAGGGCTCTCTTTCTTATCAAAAAGATCCGTTCATTGTACTGAAATTTGCAACAGGCTGCTGGGGGTATCGAATTTGATGTTTGCGGTCTTTTGGGTATTTAATCCACGAAATACACATTCCTTATAGTACAGCAGTCTCACGCGACCCAAATTCGCGATCTAAATATCTATATCGAAAGCTTTAGGGAGTGGGTAATCTGTGTGGCTTTATGTTCAGAGGTCGGTTCGGTGTCAGAGCCTTATATTACGCTTTCATCTACAAGGTCATAAAATTGAGCAGTCCAAAGATTCCATTCGTCAAGGTAAAGTAGAGGAAAAGACCAAAGCAGGCCTATCGTCTCCTATATGCAAAATGCAGGAGGAAAGAGAATATAAAAGAAATCCGTGACGCGGTGTTGTTACAATCAGTTCCAGTCGAACAATCGACAAGAAGACAGGATACCCGATCCAAGTTTCACAGACGTTCAGTAACAAGCTTCACACCGAGAAGAGAGAAATGGATGTAAGACATCCACAACTATAAGTCCACCATGTGGGGCGAACATTTCAGTGAGACAGGGCACGGGCGTGCACCTTGCTGTCAGAGACAAGCCACTTCAGGGTGGAGCGGATAACCTCGAGGAGCTTCTCGGCGCTCAGGGAGCTGAGGTAAGAGGAGTAATCGCTGGAGCTGGAGCTGGAGCCGGAGCTGGAGCTGGAGCTGGAGCTGGCGGCAGCGGTGGGGGCAGCAGTAGCAGTGGCGCTGGCACTGGCGCTAGACTCGGAGCCATCACCACCGGAGGCGGGGGTGGTGCTCTGGGCAGACTGACCGCTAGCGGTGGAAGTGATGGAGACGCTGTCGGCGGGGGAGCTGGCAGTCTGTGTATCAGGCTCGTCAGTATACTGAGGAGCAGAAGAAGCAGTGGAAGTGGCAGTCTCAGTGACGGTGGAAGGAGCCTCGGTGGGCTCGGAACCAGGCTCACTAGCAGTGTAGGTTGAGGCAGCAGACGTGGGAGCAGACGAAGGGGTGGGGGTGCCACTGGGGGTGAAGGTGCGGGTGCGGGTGAGGTGGCGCGAAGAGCTCTGGATAGGAGAAGCACTCACGGTTGAGGCAGCAGTAGGCGCGGCAGTGGTAGCAGGAGCAGTGGTGGCGGCAGCGGTGGTGGTGGCGGAGCCGGATGAAGAGCCGGAGGCGGCGCCGGTGTACAGAGCGGGACCGGGGATGTCGTAGGAGTCCAGCGAGGTGTAGATGCTGATCTTGATGCCGGGGTCGGTGGCCTTGTAGAGGGCTGTGCCGAGGACGCCGTCAGGAGCGTCGCTGCCGCCGCCGGTGACCTTCAGGTTGATACACTGGGGGTAGTTCTGGGCACCGTTCTCCTCGCCGGCAGAGTGCAGGGCGATGATCTCGTGACGGAGAACGTAGTTTCCAGCGGCGATGGCGCTGGGGATGGTGACAGTAGCGCTGTTGTTGTTGGCAATGAGCTCGTCGGATGCCCACTTGCCGGGGACGTTGCTGTCGTCGATCAGACCAGCCTCGGCGATCTTGAAGAACTTGAGGGTGGTCTTGTCGACCTTGGAGCAGTCGCCATTGCAGTTGGCCATGTAAGTGATGACCGGGCCGTGGTGGCTCTCGGGCCACTCGGTCCACTGCAGCTCAACCTTACCACCGGCCTTAACCTCGGCGGAGATCGCACCAGGGGTGGCCTCCTTGTGGCAAATAATGTCAGAGCTAGCGTAGCTGCTGCCGTCGACGAAGCCGAGGTCGGTAGCCTTCTCAGCCCATCCGATGTTGGCGGGCACCTCCGACATGTAGTTGTAGCTGTTCACGAGGAAGCCGCCGTGGTAAGTACCATCAACAACAGCACCCGACACGTAACCGTGGCCAGCGACCATGGCGGCCGAGCTAAGCAGGAGACCAGTAATCTTGGAGATAGACATCTTGAAGAAGTTGGATAAAAACGCACAGCGTTTTAGTTGGAAAAGATCGAAGTATCAAAGGTGATCGAGGAAAAAAGAATGAAAAGGGGACTTCAGTCAATGAAGTCAACCCAAAAAAGAGAATGAATGGTACTAGACCTTGAAATGAATGGAATACAGAGGATAGATGAGAAATATCCAGTGGCCCGGATGCCAGGGCCTTATATATGTACGTTCCTCGCTGGCATAATTCCCATTTCGACAAAAGCGGCAGCACTCCGTTGCCAAGAAACACGTATCGCAGCGGAGATCACCCAAGCTCGACGGAGGTTTCTAGCATAGGACGTATAGGACAAGGATTCCACTCTGTGAGTGCAGCCATAGGTGGAGAATTGTGTGCGACCGAGACATCTGCATCTAGGAGGTGACAGATAGATGAGGAACATGGTTTTCAAAGCGCCAGATGTTCCCGGAGCTGCACTAGCGCACAACCGTAATTAACCTATGCTCCATCAGGATGAACAAGGGCGGAGGGAGTTTGACGGTGTCTCATATTTTCTAGTTAGGGCTGTCGATCGGGGGCGGTTGTCTGTGACAGTCCGAGTTTCAACCCCTTAAAGTGACGATATCTCCGCCTTTCCAACTTTTTTAGGCAAGTTTTTGTTCTGTTTCGGAGAAACCTCGTTAAATTCTGACGCTTCAGAGAAACTTTGGAGAATGTGATATCCCACAATGCCTTCTGGCAGGTCGTCAAGTATATCTACTAGGGAGTACTATGTTGTATGCTGAAATTGGTATGTTGAAAAAATAATAAACCTGACCAACTTCAACAGCTAATGGTTTTTTTAAATAAAAAAACCAACATGCTTTGAACAATGTTCCAGGCTTTGAGATAGCCATTGTTTGCCCCTTCGAACCCCAGGGGTCGTTACTCCGTAACGCCTCTGCGCTTAGAGAAATTCTGAAACACTCCACCTGCATGTCCGTCTCCTGCATGATAGGGTCCAGCTGTCCACGAAAATATCCAACGGTCCATGTTCAGCGCTTCTGTCAGATCTAAATTGCAATATAAATTGTAAAGGCGCTAAAACTACTCAGTACAAGGAAGTAATGAAGTTGTTCAAGTCACATGGAAATCACGTTATTCCAGAGTCGACGCTTCTCACCGGAGTCCGGACCATCCTTTTCTCAATTACAATGTTGTAAATTGATTGGGGCTTTTGACCAACCACATTGGCCTCGGGAAACATTTCTCAAATTGATTATTGAACCGTGAGCCTGGTAATTAGCCGGAAGTTTCGATGTGAGTCTAGATCAACACTAGCCAGTTTCAGCTGTGGGATTGCCCGAGGAACTACATAGGTCCCCATATATGCAGGCCCGTTCATTTCCAGGGCAGATATCTTTGGCTGATAAAATCCTGATAGACAGTCAATCGGTTCCACGGTGTATATTTGAAGAAGATAGACTATCCGATGTGCATGGAGGCTCTAGCTCGTGGCAAGCTCACCAACACTTGGAAGTGTTGGTGGAGTGCTCAGTGCACTAGCAAACTGTAAATACCAGGTATCTTTTGTACGTAGTTGACATATAAAAGATACATATTGGCAGCGTACGCATAAACTAGCCCTGGAAGTAAAAGAAAAATAGACAAACGAAATTATAATGTATCTCTAGTATAATAGATCCAGTGCTAAGAGTATTTTAGATATATATACAAGTAAGTGTAAGAGTACCTTGAACAGCACCACATATATATTTTAAACCGTGACCTGAACCAATCTCTCACTTCAAGTAAACTCGATACTCGATAATTCTTATCAAGGTTGATAGTAAATAATTGGGATTTTATTTGAAGTATATATATATATTCCTATATTTTCCCCAGCTAGTTTGAGGATCAAGAAAATTGAGGTTATGCTGTATGTTTATGTACCTTGTAGGTATATGCAGTTGCTTAGAAAAAAAAAAATCCAATTTCACAATTTGCTAGCAGTGCCCCCCACCAACATAAAATTATATATATATGCCATGTTGAGAGGTGTTCGCAGTACAACCTTGCCCAGAGTCTTTTGCCATGGTGAGTCCGACAATCACCACCTTCAGGTGCATCATAGTGGCACCTGCATTAGTGTTTTGATACGATATCGCAGTAAGCAACACACCTACCTAGGTAGCTACAACTGATAGCTAGGCCTGCACGTTATCAAGAAGTGTTACACTAACAAAGCGAGAGTAGAACATAGCTGATAAGCGGGGTGTCACAATCTCCTTTGCGAGGCATGATAACCCGAAGTGTCTGTGTGCGTTTGGCACAGGCCTCCATACGTTATCCTCTTATGCATGTATGGAGTGCGAAGTACTTTTCATCACTTCAAGTATACGGCCTCGGTGGTCAGTCCGGAGGGTGCTCCCTAGTAACTATTTTAGTACTATTTTAGTACTATGTAGGAGGAATTCGGTGTCACAAAGCAAGAAGAGCTTGGTCATACAAAGTCTTTCAAAGCTTCTAAGGACTACTCCGCAGAACAGAGCTCAAAGCCGATACTCAGACCCTCTCCCGCTTGTCAGACGGGAGAAGTAGGATCAACAGCAAATCAAAGCGATGGAAGATATGGGGAAGGTGGGCGTATGCTGTATACTGTATTGGTCACCGCTTTGTGAGGCCTGAGGTGTCTATTTTGAATACAAATATCTCTAGGGCTATGATTTGGAATATAAAACATTTCTAAAGAAACATGCATGTTATTATTCATTATTCAAATCAAATCAAATCAAATTACTTGAATTAAATTCAATATTTCAGTCATTCAACTTCAGTATAAACTCAAGTAAAACCGTTGATTACGTTTGTTGAGGTTCTGCCGGCCTGGATCGGCACTCACAGTTTTCCCGCTCCCCTTTCCTCCAGGATAATCCGCAAGGCAGCGACTCAACACCTTCAAATCTCACCTTTCTAAGGGCCATGGTATCGGAGACTGGTCCTGGTTTAAACTGTGACAAGACTTGATTGTCATACTTTTGAATCCCTATCTCTGAGATTCTCTTCTCGACACGCGACCGAAGCGTCATATTGAATTGTTGTGAAGGTGGCTGTTGACGGTTGAGATCGACTGCGACTTACAAGAATCAGGAACGGGGAAAAAAAGAACGAAGCATGGTATCAGCGCAGGCACCCTTTTCGCCCTCTTTTTCCGCCCTGGATCCTATCATCATGGACGACGACATGGACTTTTTGGACCCCACAAAACTCGAGATGTCAACTGAAAATGCTGGGGGAGACTTTGACGACCTATTCGCTCGAGCCACAACGTCCCGTCCGAACGGTGCCTCGGGGCCTTCGAAGCCATACCAAGACCGAAACCTCCTGAGGCAGCCGACTCTTGCCGCGGACTCGCCAGCCGAATCGCCAGATGATTCGGGTCGCAGTTCTTCCTCCGAATCGCCGCGGAACCACCTGCGACAAACATCGGTCGCTTCGACAAACTCCGCAGCGCATAGTGAGAATCCTTTAGCTTCTACTAGTTACCCGTCGGAGGACTGGATGCGCCCGGAATTATCGTCAGTTAAGGAGGAGTCGCCGTTCAATATTGATCCCTCGTTTCCGATGGATGGCGGGTTCTCTATGGATCCTGACCTGGAGGTCAGCAACAAGGCAATGGATGCAGCCTTTGATTTTGAAAGTGCAGCGAGTAGCCCTAGTCCATTGAAGACGGACACGGGGTCACTCCCAAGACCGCCAAAGCGCTCAAAATCCCAGCTCTGGAGTCCTTCGAGCAATCACGCTGGGTTGACGTCCATCGATGCTGTGCCTTCGGTGAGTCATTCGAACAGCTCCATTGTTTTCCGCACAATGCTAACAGATCATAGGTTCATGCCCCGGGGTCTCCGTTCTTCGCTTTTGGACTCAACGGCCAATCGCCCTACTCAACCACAATGCCTCAAGATATGGACAGAGCGGCTCCGCAATGGGGCGGGCAGTCTCCTTCATCACTTCTAGAAGAAAGCTTCGGAGGCATCAACATGAATCGCCAGTCCCCTCTTCACGCCTCGCTATCACCCGCCATGAACTTCGGCTCACCCGCACCATACCAATTCCCTGTCAACTTCGCTTCCTCCCCAGCCCAACCTCAAGTGAATACCCAATCTCTACAACCTGTTCTCACTGTGCATCCAACTTCCCTTAAATCCCGCGTTGAGACTCAAATTCCGATCCGATTAACCCTCTCCCCGCTACCTACCGGCGTCAAGAAACTCCGCCTTCCCTCGCACACTATCTCGAAACTCAAATTCCTTGCTCCTCCTGCTACCGAACCTAGCAGCGATACCCTTCAATTGTATACAAGTCTGGTATGCACAAGCGCCATGCAAGACAGAGAAAAGATCAAGCGGGCATTTGCACGAACAAGGGGTGATCACTACCAAGCAACATCGGATGACGAACGTCCATTAGACGGAGGTGATGTGAAAATCTGCAGCGGATGTATACAGCGAGAACGGAAACGTGCGTCACGGAAGAAACAAAGGAAGCCCGAGGAGGATGAATTGTTTCAGAAGGATGAAGAGAAGCGTGTCATTGTCTTCAATACCAGCGAGATCAAGGAATGGACCGAACCAGCAAAGAACTCCAGCAGTGGTTACGGCGATAGATCATCAGTTCCACCAGGATCAATGCAAGTGGAATTGCCGATGCGGATTGCATGCTATTGCCGACACCAAAATGAGAAGCTCGGGTTCCAGGTTATATTCACTGTGAAGGATCATCTGGACAACGTGGTCGCGCAGGCTATCACAAATTCGATTATGATAACGGACGACCACAAGACGCAGGCTCCATCAGCGCCTGCACCGACTGGCCCTTCGCCATCCCTCGCAGATGGGACACAAGTACCGGGAGTTGGAGTGTTTCCCTCAGGCCAAAACCCCGAGAACGGACAAAGTTCTCTCGGTACACCTCATTCGCCAACTGATCTGCAGGGTCTTCAACAAAGGTTCAATTCACAATATCAGCTTACGCCCAGTTCATTTGCAGCACCGGGCTCAACAAATGGAGCGCATGTGGCTCAATCGTCCAGGAGCCTGTCTCGAGGAGCATCCCCATCGGATTTCCAAGGGCCACAAAGCAAACGACGCAAACACAGTAGCTCTGGAAGGCTTCCGTCGGAACTGACGATGACACGACTCGAGACACCTCAGTCATCGGCAGCGGCCATGAACAATGCTGCACAACTTGCGGCTGCTCGTGGATTCGCTTCACCAAGTGAACGACCATTCGTAAACCCGTCCGCCATGTCAGGTCAATATGGAAATGGTCCGCCCACTCCAAACCAGAACAATGATAACAACCCATTCTTCAACCCGACTCCCGCCCAGCGACAAAGTTTAGATAGCCTGGCTGGGGGAGCAGTGGCGTCGACGCCCAACTCCGCCCATCCTAGTCGTCCGGGGACACCAGGTGGCTCGAATCGCAACGGCTTCCACGATCCAAATATTCCCATGGGACTTGGCGCGAATTCCTCAAGCCAGGTTTGGCCTCCCCTCAACAATACTCCTAATCGATTGCCGTCAGTTATTCACAAGTTGGTGCCTGCCGAGGGTTCCATCACAGGAGGTACTGAGGTTACGTTGTTGGGCAGCGGATTTTATCCTGGCATGGAGGTTGTTTTCGGTGATACCTTGGCTACTACAACCACCTTCTGGGGTGACAAGTGCCTCAACTGCTTGACCCCTCCCGCTCTTCAACCAGGATTGGTATCTGTGGTATTTAAACATGAGCACCCGACATTTGGCCAAGTCCAGCAGTCTCAACCCCTCATGCCCAAACAGCAACTGTTCTTCCGCTATGTGGATGATCGTGAGCTTCAGATGTATCGTTTGGCACTGAACATTCTTGGTCAGAAATTGGGCAGCCAAGCGGACGCGTTCCACACAGCCCAACAGATCATGGGAAGCGATCCAAACGCATTCTTCAACATGCAGGCAGACATGCAAGGTAACTCCTCTGGGGGTCAGCAACGCCAAGTACCAGGTCTTGAAAACCAAGGCAAACTCGGCGATCTCGACTCCAAGATGCTGACCTACTTGGAATTCATCGACTTGGATAACAGTCCCCGGCCACCGCGGTATAACTCTCGCAACACGACCGGCCAGAGCCTTCTTCACTTTGCGGCATCGTTGGGACTGACGAGATTTGTTGCGGGTCTTTTGGCTCGAGGTGCAAACCCCGATGTGCAAGACAACACGGGCAATGCGCCAATGCATCTGGCCGCACTCAATGGTCATGCTCATATTGTCCACCGCTTACGTCTGACGGGCGCCAATCCCAACACTCGGAGTGTACGAGGTTTCACTGCTGCAGACCTAGCGACAACTCTTCCCGCGCACCAAGCTGCATTGCTTCCGTCTCGGCACTACCGGTCCCGCAGTGTTGGGTCCCTCACATCGCGCCGCCGGCAAAGCAGCTCAGCCTCGCTCAGCTCGATGTGGGAAGTGTCTTCCGCTTCTGGATCTCTTGGTCACGCTGTTGATGACTCAGAGGATATGGACTCAGAGGAGGAAACTACCGACGATTCCGACTCGGAGCCTCTCCAGTTCAGCTCTTCTCGTCGGTCTAGTATACACCAAGATGTCAACCCGCCAATTATGGACAATAGCGAACCATCAGTCGCACCCGGAGATGCTCAAGGCTTTGCCCCGCCAGCACCTCTTGTCGCGTGGCGTGACCACCTGGCTCTTCAAATTAATCAATTCCAGCAGAGCGTGGCTAATGCCTTCCCCAATCTCCCGGCTCTCCCTCCGATGCCTCCAATGCCCGCGATACCCGCGATACCCGCGATGCCCGCCCTCCAAGACTACCAAGGGCAAGGAATGATGCGCCGCATAACCAACCTCGTCCCCCACCGACCTGCTGCTCGAGATGGCTGGTGGGATTACCTGAAGGGCACCTCGGCACCCAATCCCAACCAACCACCTTCATACGATGAGCTATTCCCACACCCGGACGCCACCGATGAGTCCGACATGAAGAAGTCCAGTTTGCTCCGTGCCGCAACAGAGGCAGCTATCGACCAACACTTTGAGGCCCAGAGCAGTGCTGCTGCTGCGGCGGCCGCTTCGGTTTCGGCTTCGGCTTCCCTCGTTCAAGTCGAGAAGGATGATATCAAGGACATCACAATCGGGCGCAATGTCATCTCGCGCGAGCAACAAAAGCATCTCCGAGAGCAACAGGCTCGACGAATGAAAGGTCTAGGCAGCGACCGAAACCTCTACTTCATCTGGGTAAGTAAATGACCATGCTCACCGGCTTCGTTTCTCCTTCAATCTAGAACACAGCTAACATCATTCCTAGATTCCTCTTCTTATTCTCGTTGTTTGCGCCTGGGGTCGAAACTACGCTCCCGGGATTTGGCAAGGCGTCACGGACAGCTTTGAATTTGTGAAAGCTCGCTATACACAGCCGGCTGTGGAACTGGGCATTTAGAGCATTTTCTTCTCTTTCTTTCTTTCTTTCTTTTTTCTCTGGTCACATATTTCTACGGTGTTCTTCCTAAGCGAGTGAAGCTTCCCTATTATACGACGCACTAACTGTCGGGTTTCTGTCTTTTTTCCTTATTTTTGTGCATAATGACGCGGCATGACTATCTATCTAGAATCCGCATGATTGAGTCTTACTGTCCTTCCATGTAATTTTCTAACTTCAATATTATGACGATTGTCTCTAAGCCGTTGCTGTTGCAGTTACATTGAGAATCGGTCCGCCACTCAGGTATGCAGTGCTATACCTACATGCCTAATGTGCATATGCATTGTGTTCCACATCTCCATGGACCACATCCGAATAGAATTCTTGGAATATCTGCTTTCTTCATTTGTACCTTTTTAGGCCCAGTATCAAGATACCATGCATATAATGTACTAAACTACAACCAAGGGCCTATACCTCTTGCAAAACTCCTCGACAGCTTCAACAAACGCATCGAGATCCGTGGTAGACATAGCGATGTTCAAGGTGATTGTTCCTCGACTCTGCACCCAGAACCCTGCATTCACCATTTCCACCCAGAAAAGCTGCTTGAGATCTGTAGCCTCAACCGCAGCAACATCGTCTCGACAAGTGATCTGCTCCGCGCGAAGTCCTGTCTCAGTGGCGTGAACGCACATAAGAGAACCATGGCCAGTAACACAGAACTTGGATCCCGCAAAGACCTGTTTCAAGCGCTGACGCAAGTCATCGCCTTGGGCATTGAATGATTGAGCAACCTCAGCTGTATAAACTTCAGAGAGTCCCGCATATCCAGAGTGCAGCATCAATGTGTTATTCTGGAATGTGCCAGAGTGTACTAAAGCCCCGGGCGTGAGAGGGTTGAAAACATCCATGATATCTTGTCGGCCACCGAAAGCCCCGAATGGCAAGCCTCCACCTAGATACTTGCCCAAAGTGATGAGATCTGGTTTGATCCCGAACAACTCTTTCAATCCTCCCGGTGCCAACCGGGATGTCATCACCTCATCCAGAATCGTCAACGCGCCCGCTTTCTCGCTCTCTTCGCGGATTGTTCGTAGGAACTCGGGCGATCCAGAAATGAACCCGCCAGCCCCCTGGATCCCCTCTAGAATGACAGCAGCAATGTCATTGTTTTGGGAAAACGCTTCCTGGACACCTTTGGAATCGTTGTATTGTAGTAGTACCCAATCCGCCTGGTCAATGTTGTTTTCCGCGATGTTACCCCCAAAGGACAGCACGCTACCATGATAAGCTCCGCGGAAGACGATGATCTTACGACGGCCGGTGAATTTCCTGGCTGCAGCAAGACAGTGGATGTTTGCTTCTGTTCCGGAGTTTGTAAACCGGACCCGTTCGAGACTAAACCGCTCACACAGCAACGATGCATATCGCTGCTCGTAGACATTTGTCGCTCCCAGATTTAATCCGACATTCTGGATGGTTTCTGTCAATACCTTTTGCAGCGTCGGGTTAGAATGACCATATAAACCTGCGGATAGTTCGCCGACTAGATCAAAATACCTGGAAAGAATTGTTAGTTGAGACGCTCTCGAGGGCCGTATTGATGTATTGATGTATTTACTTGTTTCCATCCTCATCCCATAATTCGGAACCTTCGCCCTTGCGCATGAAAACTGGGAATGGTGCTGTGTGCAGCAACGTGCGGGTATTTCCTCCCGGTAGGCTTTCGAGAGATAGCTTATGCAGGCGTTGGGATTCAGGATGGCGCTCGATAAATCGAGTCACGGCATCGCGAAGAGCTGAGTCCATTTTTGATATGGCGTGATGGTTCAAAAGTCCTTGGATATTACGCACGTCGGTTATATACTATGGTTGTATATGAGCGGGGAAATCCCGAGTGCGTTCTGGATTGTCCGTTTAATAGTAACTTTTTGATAGATATGTTATCAAATCAGCTGCTATATCATGCCATAGAATACTATCTCAATGGGGCAAGTCTAAGCATTTGATTTCCTTTCAAGAATGAACCAAGAGCGGGGTATATATTATTAGTGAATCCCTTATCATTTCCACTAGTCATCACGGAGACAGCCCTGGAGATCACTACATATATAGTTATAGATCGGAACATGTATGCGCTGGAGAATAATTAACAAGGAACCCTTGTGTATTAATAAAGCATCAATTTTATATCGAGGAGCCGTGAATATGAATAATATAGAAGCGTAGATCTATTTTGCCGTCTCGTATTTATCGCTCGCCGTAAGGGGCCCACGCAGCCCAATACTGGGATTTCTATGCAAATCATGAAAAAATAAGAAACGATCGCCCCTTTTTTTAAACAAAATCATATCTTCAACAATATCAACCCAAATTAAGGAGGCGTTTCCCCTTTTGCTCGGGGATAGGCGAACTATGTTAACCTCTTCCAACATTCTGAAAATTCTATTTCTCTATGCCGCCCAATGCCTTATACCCGCAACTCTCCTAATCGCAACTCCAAAACAATCTATTCTTCGGTATCTGTCAATTCCATGCTCTATCTTCATTGTATATCGAGCTATACCGGTGGCCACAGCGCTAGGCCCAGGATTCGTATGGTGTGAATGCGGTCGCTTATTCATAACCATCGCCTTCCAATGCCTAAACTTGCTCCTCATCAACCCCAAGGATAGCAATGATTTGCCTTTTGGGGATAGCCAGGGCTTTGTAGCTCGAATTTATGCCGCAACTCGGTTCTTTACTGACCCTCGTGGGATCAACACTCCCTGGAAGATTAAAAACGCCCCTCCACAGCCAGCATATTATAAACGACGTAATATGAACACGCCTCCTCGTGGTCGGTTTTTGGTTCGCCAAACAGCCATTGTTGTTTGGCAATATCTAGCTTTGGATGTCTTTGCCACTCTTGGGTTGCAACAGGCATTGGAGCAAGAGAAAATTGGGATGTTGCCGCCAGTGCCTCAATGGGATATCTCAACCGAACAATGGATTGAACGTATCATCTCAAACATCATGGCTGGATTTGTGGTGAGCCGAATTCTCATCGATTTCCACCATCGTGTCTTTTCGATCATCCTTGTGGGACTTGGACTCGACACGCCTGAAAATTGTCCTCCATTGTACGGAAGGGCGCTGGATGCCGATACAGTACGGGGCTTCTGGGGGTAAGCTTATTCACGGCAAATTATTTGGAGACGGGGTATTATACTGACATCGATCTCGTAGGAAATTCTGGCACCAATTGCTGCAAAACCCCCTGACCTCTGTCAGCGCTTTCATCACACAAGATATATTGGGTCTAACGCCAAGGTCCTTCGTGCAGCGGTACATGAATGTTTTTGTTGTTTTCTTCTGCTCAGGCGGGTTGCATCTTATCCTCGATATTGTGCAGGGGATCCCACCACAGGAATCTGGCGCCATGTTATTCTTCGTCACGGCACCTCTAGGCCTCATGATTGAAGACGTCATAAAAGCACTTTGGAAATATTTTTCGAAGTCTAATGGACAAAGCCAAAAACTCCCTAAACCGCTGTGGCAAAGGGCTCTTGGCCTAACCTGGTCTATGGCATGGCTAGGTTTCACCTCAACTGGGTTCTTCTACCCACAGGTGGTGAGGCCAGAAAACCAGGTCCTGGTTCCTTTTTCTGTGGCAGGCCAGATTGGACTGCCTATACTGGTAGGGGGTTGTTTTGGTTGGTGGTGCTGTGCTAGCAAAGGTGTTTGAGGTTGAGGTGTGAGGTCATCGGGTATAGATCTGAGAACATGCTGGGATGAAGTTTTCTGTTGAGTTGAGATAGATGTTTAGATAAGAACAAAAGTATATATATTTAATTACACATAAACTCGAAATAAATATGTATATTTATCTGAACACATAAGACTATAACAGATTACTCGTAAAACAAAGAAATGGTCAATTGTAGACCCAAATCCTAAAAGCAGCGAGGGGTATGCACTAAAATGGAAAAGAACGAGGCCGTGCGTGGCCGCTGTTGACAGCATGTCTCCCTTCACCCCGCGACTTTTCCCCTTAACTTCCAGGCGCATGAAAGCTCCTATGCACCTTGAATTCTGAGATGTCCTGAAGTCAATTGGCCACTTCCCGTATTGCGACCGGGAAATCATGGATCCTTCGCAGGCTTCAAGCAATGTAACGGGTACGACCAACGTGATCAAGATGAATGAAGCTTGCGCTGACCATAAAATACAGTGGAATACACAGATCCTTCGGGCTTGTTTCCGCTCATACAGCCCGTGATTGAATCAAAGCTCCCCCTAAAAAATCTCCACTGGAAATCCCCAACCCGCCCCGTGCGGTCAATTGAGTCGCTCCGCATCGGCTTCACACCTGCGCAAGAATCAAACGAACGCAAGTCATCGAGCGATACTGTTCATGGTACAGTTGCCCATCGCAGACATCAAATACCCGGTCTACGTCAAACCCCATACCTGAAAGTCTACCTCCTCCGATGCGACGACAACGAAACATACAAGGCGACGGCCCGACGGAACCTTCGCGAATGGATCAAGGCCAACGCGTCTCCCCAAAGCTCGCAGTCCGCGACTACTAGTCAGGAAAAGCACGATGCGTTCGAGTGGCTTATCCTGCATGTGGTACCGGATGGTGACGCTGCGGACAAGGCGGCCACACCCACCTCCAAATGGGGCCGTAGTTCAACTACAGTACTGGAAAAGGCAAAGGCTGACTTCAACGGGTCATCCAAATCTGCCGTGGATCGTGTGGCGCAATTGCGTCTTCCGAAGCAGGGGACCAAGTCCCCTGAATTGGCAGAGCAATTGGAGGATTTGATTGATAAAATGAAGAACGGGATTCTAGCCTCGTTTGATTTGCGTGTGGCTCAATATGAGGATGACATAAAGGAGAAAGATTCTCAGCGCAGTTTGCCTGGCTGGAACTTCTGCACGTTCTTCATCCTCAAGGAAGGTCTTGCTAGGGGGTTCGAGAATGTGGGCCTTTTCGAAGATGCGCTGGCTGGATACGATGAGTTAGCCGTTGGGTTGGATGCGGCCATTCGAGAGCAGCTCGATGGGAGCGGTGATCAACACAGTGGTGCGCTCTCTATCACCAGTAAAAACTGGGCTGAGATGGCCAAAAAGGCATTGGAGATTGGAGCTTCCGATGACAGCGACAGTGATGACGAGGTTCTCTTTTCGGAGCTTCAGCCGGAGGATTTCCCATTTAATGCCAACAAGATGCCCTACCGGGAAATGATCCTGGGAAGCGATATCTCCATCTTCGATTTCCGCACATACATCTTCTCTCGTCAACTGACTCTACTACTCCGAGCCGCGAGAGCTCCATCACTGGCTGGTAGCGAACCTGTAGCAGACAGCAAGGCGGCGAAATCAGGCAAGAAGCCCGAAAACCTCATTCTACTAGCTGAGATTTGCGCCAGAGCAACAGAATTTATCGGTTTAGCTGCACGTACCCTTCGCTATGATCTCGAATGCGGTCTCGCGGAGGTAGTTCATGATGACAATACAGATATTATCAACAACCTGGTCTCCTCGTGGACATTTTCAGCAGCTTTCCAGATCCTGGGTCAAACCTCTACTCCGACCCTCATGCTCCCAGAATCCTCTCTTCATGCAGTTGCACAATCGAGTGAAGCTGCTGCTGCCGCGATGGCAGATTCCCGTGCCGATGTGCCCCGCCGCTCTAGTTCCCTCATGGGCTCATCTGGAGCCCGACCTCCCCGGCCAGTGACCCAGGATATCTCTGATAGTGTGGCGTTGATGCAGCGGCGATCCACTATGGAACACCCTAAGCCCATGCCTATTCCCACTCAGAAAACTGGTTCTGAACAGCTATCATCCGGGAGGGCGGAGTTGCTTCTTCTAGCTCGGCGTTCCCTCGAGGAGATTGCTAGCAGACGGGGCTGGGCTGAGAGTTGGAACAATCTCGGTCTTCTCTTTGATGATCGCCATCGTTCTGGGGAAAGTGACCTGTCGGAGATCTCACTGGACGGCGATGAGACTGAAGAGTCGCAGGCATCTAATAAGAAAAAGGAATCGTCGCTCGTAGGTATCGAGCTTTCTGGCCTTAGGGCTGCATTAAAGTCAAAAGACGCCTTCCTGTTTCTCTATGAAGACCTCACAGACCGTATGATTCGCCATCATATGGCAGCCAACCGTGTCAACTCTGTTGAACAGGCCCTGGCTGAAATCGCTATTTTACGATACCGCCGGAAAGACTACGAGTCTGCTGCTTCCTATTTCCATCGGATGGCTCCCTTCTACGGTTCTAAGTACTGGATTGTTCTGGAAGGAAGCATGTTGGAACTCCACGCACGATGCTTGAAGGAGCTCAAACGGAACGAGGATTACGTTCGGATGATGATACGATTGCTTTCCAAATTTGCTACATATGCGCAGGCGCAATTATCAGTCAGGCAAAGGTCCGTGGCTGGCTCAATCCCTTCTACTGAGCAGGAAATGTTAGAAGGGCATGTCCGCGATTTGTTTGAAACATCTAGTGCCCTCCAAAAGGATATTCCTGCTTCCTTGACAGATTTCTTTGCCGAATTCCGCGTCGATCCAGCCATTCGTCTGTACGACAACAAGGATGGATTCCAGATACAATTGTCTTTGCGTTTCCTTCTGGGCCAGCAGATTGAGATTAGCAGTCTCAAGATTCGGCTGGTCAGCGCTAACAGCGCTCAGAATTCTGAGCACTGGATCGAGAGCCCAGCCAAGTTTGTGGTGAAATCATCGTCAACACAGATTCTGATTGACTGCTCAGTAAGTACTCGAAGGATAACTTTCGCTACCAGTAACTAACCCTTCTGCAGACCACACTTCAAGGCAAGTATTTCATTGACCGACTCGAGATGAGAGCTGGCAACCTTGTCTTTAACTTCCATGGCGGGCACGACCCCACCCTTCCAGTTGGCTTCCGGGAAACAGGAGACTCGGAGGAAACCGACCACCAGCCTTACATCTATTGCTATCCTCCGGCCGAAGCCCTGCAGGCGAAGATTGTGTCACCGCACCTTATTAACCTCCAGGCCATGCGGACGCTGGAACTGGAGCTTGATAGCGGACGAAATGATATCAAGAGTGGTACGATTCGCGTCCGGCCAGCTACTGCGGGCCTGCGGCTTCGCCTTGCAGAAACAGAGGTCGTGGATGGCAAGATTGAGGTGGATGCCAGCCACGATTCGGGCATCATCGAATTCACGCACTTGCCGGCGCGGTCGTTCGTTCGACTACGTATACCCTACACTGTGGAGGAGGCGTTTTCGACCCTCTCAGCGCGAGCAGAAATCGGATATGAGACTGAGCAAGGTCGATTCGCTTCCTCGGCATCATTCAATGTCGTTTCAACTCTACCGATATCGGTCAACGTGCAGGATATTTTCAAGGATGAACTACTATTCTCGCGTTTCACCATCAGTCCGGCCATGTTGATTCCGCTTCGTATCATGAACTGCAGTCTGCCCAGCTCAGACATCTACAACGTGCAATCTAACATCACCGGCCCCGTCGCCCTTGATGTCTTCCCCAAGCAGCCCGCGTCCCTGCTTTACAAAATTCGCCATAATGAAGGCAACGTCGCTGCATCAACGCCGCGGAGTCTACAACTCAGTGTTGACTTCACATGTGTCGATGATGAGTGTCTTGATGCAGTTGAAAAGCAATTCGCTGCTTCCATTGGCTCCAGTCCATTCCGTCAGTACGCATGGCTGCTCACATCTCACATTGTGAGCAGTTTCCGCGCGCAGCTGTCCACGAATGACATGGAAGCCATTGGGCTCATTCGAGAGGTAAACATGCTGCCCTATCAGACTGTGCGATGGGACGATCTGCTCGGAGCTTTGAAACTACCAGGCGAGGATGTGCGACAGTGGCTCCAAGAGTGGCACAAGGTAAACACCCACTCGAGCGTTTCCAACAAACTATTTTACTCACATATGAAACAGAACAACCCCACCATCCCCCTCCCCGCACAGCCTGCCATCCCAACCCGTCGCATCATCATTCCCGTTGACGTCCCCGAGATCCAAGTCGTGCATACAGCCGACCTCCAGCTCCAGCCCAAGCCCACCACCGACCCGGGGCCATCCACCCACGCCGCCGTAGGCCAGATGATCACCGCTGAGCTATGTCTCCGCCACACGCGACGCTGGTGTTCCCCAGCGACCCGCGAAAATGCCGACCAACCCCTCGAATGCTCTTACGAGATTCACGCCAATCCAGACCAGTGGCAAATAGGTGGCCGCCGTCGGGGCAACTTCCTCGCCCGCGACGGCGAATCCACCCGCTTCACTGTCCTACTACTTCCCCAGAAACCGGGCCACCTCCTTCTTCCTGGTATTGAGATCCGTACCTTCCTCCCATCGGCACCTCAGCCCCCGACGTCGGCGCCTGCGGCTGATCCCACTGGTTCCATGGCACCAGCTCGTCGCTCGATCCCTTGTGAGGTTGACTACCGTAACCATGGCGAGACTGTTCTTGTCCTCCCCGATTTGAAGAAGACTACTGTTAGTCTTAGTGCCGCTGGCGGTAATCATGCTGCTGGTGGGGGATCTTGGCTCGTTGATTCGGAGCGACGGACGCAGGAGGTTCGTTAATTTGATGAACCTGTGTGGGGTGGATGATTGTATGTATAATGAGTCATATATAGGCTCGCTGGGGGTGCTTGTTTGTATGTAGTTCTACGAATCATGAACCTTTCAATTGTACTACGTTGTGTGTAGATTGCTGTATAGACCTCGGGAATGCAGCCAAACCCCGTTAAATCGACCCCACCTTTCTGCAAAACCTCGATCACTTTGGAGAACAGTATTGCACTGTACATAGCCCGGAATGCCGATACTCTCACCACTTTAAAAAAACGCTTCGCAACCCAAGGGATTTGCTCTCCTTCGATTTCAACGGGGTTTGACTATATGTAGGGATTTGAGTGGCTTCGGCTGGGGCTCCCGCTGGCACTTGGCCCGATATAGGCTAGTAGGCACTAGTATGGATTAGCTCCATCTCTTAGCTGAACTCGATGTTTCTTCGAGGTCGCTTATCGCACCCCCACATATGTTCTTTTTTCACCTTCTATTGTAAGGTTTCATGATTAAGATATTTTCAAATAACCTATAGAGAAGTTCCATTTTTAATAACTCCGGTACAACCCTAGAATATAGAAAATTCCGAAATCGGCACCGAGGTCCCGCATCAGATCTTATCTAAGGTGGCAAGGTGTCCACGGGTGATAGGGCCCCCAGGGGGAACTAAAGAATTAAACATCTGAAAGTAAAAATTAACGTTTGTGTATTTTTCAAAAAGGGGGAGTGGGGCCCCAACAAAACCCCAAAGGGTCCCAACAAGCGGGTAGAGGCATTTTTATACTACGGTCGGTATTTTTATCTTTTCTCTTTTATTTTCAATGTGTTTGCTATGTATCACTTTGTAAAATATTCCATTGTATTTATAGATCACTCTGTACTCTCTTGAGCTTCATTTCAAGTCGAGTCGAGACAACATAGGTGAATACAGTATACAAATAAATGTTGAGGCCCGTACCAACACCGAACTACATCCGGAAGGCCAAGAAGAAATCCTGAAAGACAAAAAGTGGATCACATGTCCCTTGCGCATGCCACTGCCGAGCCATCTCCAGCTCTCGGGGTTTCCATGTTGATGTTGACTTACAGAAAGAAATAATCGCATAATGCCGGGGGTTTTCGGGGTCTGCGTATACTTCGTACGGAGTATCCAATTGCGCAAACCAACACCAAAAAGCAAAATCAATTTGCCACATGATGTTGCATATTAGATTCGGTGGGAGATTTCCAGACCAATCCATGGCCGTCTACGCTGTACTCGTACTCCATTTACGAACGAAAACGATCCGCCGAGGTAAGTTGATCGCTTCGATCTATCCACATGCAGCTAAGAACGCCTTCACCGTATTCTCAGCATGTGAAAATGATGGCTATCAGAGGAGGGGAATACATATGTTGTACCCAGATAGCGTCTAGATAGAGTCTAGATCACATCATCAGACCACTGTCACTCTAACAACATGTAATTTGCAAAAAAGTGTTGGGGCGAACGGGATTAGCCGGTGGAAAGGCGGTGGCTATGAAGAACTTGGGAAAAGAGTATGGAAAGTATGGAGTACTTCGTGCAACCGACATATATTGTACCAATGAGATAGGCAAATAATATATCCATGGATAGCATGTGAGAAAAGATCAGCCCTATTGTGACTTATTCTAGACAGTTCATGCGAAAATTCAGCTGTCGAAGGCGAAAGGAGGTGGATCTCTAAATTGGTAATTTTCAAAACACCATACGGTTGGATTAGACTATGGGGGTGATAGTGGCGGTATGCAAATTACTCACGGTCCCATGGGATTGTTTTTTTTCTTTTTTCTTCTTTTTTTTCAATTTCAATTGCAATTTTAATTGCAATTTTCCTTTTCTGTTTCCTTTTTGAAAGAGGGCTGTTCCCTTCTCTGTCTTTTCTTTCTTTTTGTGCTTTGTGCTAGTCAATTGCCTGCTTTCTCGTTGGCTCTTCTTCAGAACGGGGCATTTGCTTCGATCTGCTTCAACCCTTGTGCAACAAACTCAAATTATTGTTAGTAGTCCTTTCCTTGTGACTGCACACCTCGGAGAATCCCAACTAACTCGATGCCAGGTTGTTGTTGTTCTGAACCCCGTGTCTTTCGTTTCATTTCAATAGAACAGGGATTACTTTGAGAGTATATCCGCCGTGACTTCACAGAGTTATACACCGTCAGCCTCAACACCCAACATGTCGTCTACCGCAATCCCCAAGCGCGTTGCGCTCAATCGCAACCCCGCTACAGAGTCCTCGGCGACTAGCTCTATCTCGGCCTCGCCCTTTGACAGCCCTCGCCAGTCCCCCTCCTCTACCTCCCTTTCCTCCATGGCTTCGGACCAGGAGGCCAGCAAGATGCTTGATACCTATGGCAACGAGTTCAAGATCCCAGATTATACGATCAAGCAGATCCGCGATGCTATTCCCGCTCACTGCTTCCACCGCTCCGCCGCCACCAGTTTGTACTATGTCTTCCGTGACATGGCCCTTCTGGGATCCGTCTTCTACCTTTTCCACAACTATGTCACCCCCGAGACTGTCCCCTTCCTGCCGGCTCGCGTGGCCCTCTGGACCCTGTACACCATCGTGCAGGGTCTCGTCGGCACCGGCGTGTGGGTTCTGGCCCACGAGTGTGGTCACCAAGCCTTCTCCCCCTCCAAGGTCCTGAACGACACCGTTGGCTGGATCTGCCACTCTCTCCTGCTCGTCCCCTACTTCTCCTGGAAGATCTCCCACGGCAAGCACCACAAGGCCACCGGTAACCTGGCCCGCGATATGGTCTTCGTCCCCAAGACCCGTGAACAGTACGCCACCCGCGTCGGCAAGACCCTCCACGAGCTCGGCGAGCTGTGCGAGGAGACTCCCATCCTGACTGCCGGCAACCTCCTGGCCCAGCAGCTCTTCGGCTGGCCTATGTACCTCCTCAACAACGTCACTGGTCACAACAACCACTCCAAGCAGCCCGAGGGCCGCGGTGTGGGCAAGCAGAACGGCTGGTTCGGCGGTGTCAACCACTTCAACCCCTCCAGCCCTCTGTACGAGGCCAAGGACGCCAAGCTGATTGTCCTGAGTGACCTTGGTCTCCTCATCGTTGGCACTGGCCTGTACTACATCGGCACCAACTACGGCTGGTTGAACCTGCTCGTCTGGTACGGTCTCCCGTACCTGTGGGTGAACCACTGGCTCGGTAAGTTTTCAGACGGAAGAAATATCACTTTTTTTGGTCCATTTTGCTAACAATCCTCGCAGTTGCCATTACCTTCCTCCAGCACACCGACCCTACCCTCCCTCACTACCAGCCTGAAGTGTGGAACTTCGCCCGCGGTGCTGCCGCCACCATTGACCGTGACTTCGGCTTTGTCGGCCGCCATATCTTCCACGGTATCATCGAGACCCACGTGCTGCACCACTACGTCAGCAACATCCCTTTCTACAACGCCGACGAGGCCAGCGATGCCATCAAGGGTGTTATGGGCAACCACTACCGCTCCGAGGCTCACACCGGCTGGACTGGTTTCTTCAAGGCCATGTGGACCTCTGCCCGCGTCTGCCACTGGGTTGAGCCCACTGAAGGTGCCACTGGTGAGAGCCAGGGCGTTATGTTCTACCGCAACACCAACGGCATCGGTGTTCCTCCTGCCAAGATGGCCGCCAAGGCTCAATAGATGTCGAACCCTTGAGTGCTGATTTCGGTTTGGTTCTGATCATGTTTGTTTTTTTTCCCTCTTGCATTGTTCTGATTTGATTCGAGCTTTGTTGTCTTATCTTGTATACTTTGCGTGGATATACACAAGGTCAACCCGATTTTTTCTTTGAGAGATTGAGTGGGAGTCATAGATCAAATTTGATGCTTTTCTTTTTCTTGTCTTGACGCTCAAGCTTTCTCATGGCTGTCGTTGTCTTGCATCTTCACATTGCATCTCTTTACCTTAGATCCTTGGATACATCATCTTGTTTCTTTGAGTGTTTGAGTGTTTGAGCATCTTGGAAGGATGTTAGGGGAAAGAAAGAAAGGAACCTGATGAAAAGGGGAGAAAGAGATGGTCGCTGTTAATTTAGAGAGATGTCCATATATATGATTGTGGTTAATTTGAAGCGTGTTCTTCCTGTTCCTATCTCTTCCTTGCCTACTTACGCATATAGAAAGAAATTCCGAGCAAATGATTGATAATTTGAAATGTGATATATGTAGTCATATTGGAGTGATATTCCACTTCAGGTTCCCACTCTGTTCCTCGAGATATTATAGTTAAGTACCCCCTAGTCGAGTCAAGAGAAATGTAATAGACAAGATAGAAGATATAACTGGTTGAATATATACAGCAGTGCCAGCCAAAACTCCCACCAAATCCAAGTTTATAGCCCTAGATGGATCAACGCAATGTGGAACAACAGCTTTGGGTCACACGAATTCTTTCTTTGTGTTTTGTTCAACCCCTTCCACCCTCCTAGCACAGGATAATCACATGTAAGACATTGTAGAACACATACCTCCGCTAGTCTTCCAACGATGCCCTCAAGCCCAGCACTTACCACGAGACATTTAGTATTTAGAATATTTGGCTGTTGCTTGGATGTTTATATCATAGAGTAATGGTTCATAGAGAAAAATCTCAAAATCGCTGTTGGGTATATCATAATCCTGTCGCTGTTCTAGTCTGAAATGAACACGTGCCAACATAGCACATTAAACTATCCGGGGTATATATCACAATCAAGACTTTCCAAGATGGACTGTAGCTTTGACAGATAAGAATGAAGTCGGTTATGTATGACATCAGACAAATCATTCACCATGACTCGTACTTCTCAGGCCACCCTTCCAAATTTCAAACTCTACCTCGCCACTTCGTCTACCTGATTGGCCCTTTCGTGGTGTATCTTTTGGGCCAGCCGTCCACGGCGCAAACACAAGTTTCATGGTCCTCCGAGTAATGGATTCCGAACCCAAAGCAGGCTGTTGGTTCTGCGAGTCAGAGACTCGGTTCTTGAGATAAGGTGCAGGCATAGCTATCGAGTCCGGGTCTCGATGGGCGTCCGCATTTCCCCCATTCTGGAACTGAGCTGCTTCCTGTGTGGACGCTAGATATGGATTATCCCCCATTGAAACACCCACAGAATGTGATTCTTCCTTTTTCAGCGCGATTCGACAGGCGATTTGCGTTGTCCAGACGAATCCCAGTGCCGGGTTCTTCGGAGATCCATTCTCGGGGTACGCGCCATCCCCCCAGCCGGAGTAAAAGCGCTCCTGGTGAGCCACGTTCAACATGCTGCGTACTCGAGGGGCGATCAGGTACGAGCCGTCGAAGTTTTTATCGTTTGGTGCGTGATATGGTGATGAGGAGATAGCAGGAGAAGAGGATGGTGGCTGCTGGCTATTTCTAATGGCTAACTGTTCAGTTCGGGATTTTGGGAAGGGAGAGGCAGGGCCGGATCCATGATCTGCTGTTTGACTGGACATGAGCGGAAACCCTGTCCGTGGGGTTGGCTCGTTGCTTTTTATAGATTCGAAACGGTCGGAGACTTGGTTTGCGAGTACGATGGCGATGTCTTCCTTTACGGCGAGGTTGCGCAGTAGATGGCCCAGTTTTGCCAGCTGGGATGATCGTTTGGCGAGGGCTTGGATGCTGTTTGATGTGTATTCAGCGCGGTAATTGGATGTTATTGAATCGATGATGACCAGGCCGATATCATAACGTTCGATTGCAACGGGAAGATGGAAATTTAAGATGTGGTCCTGTGTCTCCAGGTCCATGGCGTTGATGGACAGTATATCCTCCAGCGAGGGCGCCTGCTCGGGGGAAGTGTTGAGAGAACAGGATGACATTCTAGGAGCTGTGAAAGTCGTGGAGTAGATAGCGGGTGCTCTGTCGATATGTATATGGCACGCCGTCGTAGCCCCTGTGGTTTTGGTAGCTGGACAGCTAGACAGAGGCTTAGAAGGAACTGGGTCTTCCCGCTTCCACTGGACATTGATCCACATGTCAGATTGACCTGCCTGTCCGGTTGATAAGACTTGGATGAAGATGAACACCTCTAACATACCTCTCGCCCGTAACTTCTGTGACATACCCGGTTGGAATTCCGCCTCCTAGGAGTGCATCCATCGCGGGGTCAAGAGTGCTTATAGTGTTCCATTGTGACGCGCGCTTCGTCGAGCTGATTGTTCTGCTCGCCACATCGGGGTTTATACTAGAGCTGGGTCCATCGCTGGCCCCTATGTTTGTCTGTGGCTTATCGAAGCCAACATCGGTGTGCAATGCCTCAACAATGGAAGAGGAGAGCCGGCGAACATCTGCGGGAGGTACACGAGCACGTTTCGCGATCTCGAGGGAGTCGAGTGTGATCACATCAACAGTGGTGACTTTCGCTCGTTCAAGGGGAGGAAGAATGTGTGTGAAGGGTTTTGTTACAAAGCCAGGTAAAACTAATAGAAGATCCATAGGAAGGGCAGTCGTTATGGGAGTTGATGTTGCGACTCTAGATTGTTCAAGGTGTCTGAACCAATCACAGTAGAGATAATAATACTCCATGATTGGCCGATTCGAACCATCGACTGGATACTCACACGTGACTTCCTTATTGCGTAGGACCAATCACAACAGTATAGAAAGACCCATACCATATACAGTGGTGTTCCATGAGTATTTGACCTTGGGTACTTCGGCCGTGGGCCCACTTTGTAGGCCCACTTTTAATATTGCCAGACAGAAACCTCGAAAATTCAATCCAATTTAATAGCTAGTATGCCAACCTTCATATTTAATAACATCAGCAACTCTATGAGGCATAGTATCAGATAGATGCTTAAACATCTCAATATCTAGCCCCTCCCAAGCTTCCTGGGCAGCGTCGACTAGTAGATCAAGCGTAGTTTCGTTATTTGGGAGCTGTATTAGCTCAGGGTGTCGCTTCAGTATTTCGGCCTTTAGGAGCGCCCATAGGTTCTCAATTGGATTCAAATCGGGCGAATAGGGAGGCCACTCCATAATATCACATCCAAGCTCATTAAGAGTCCCCTGAATGATATAGGCAGTGTGTACCGGTGCGTTATCTTGTTGAAAAATAGCATCTTGATCAATACTATTAAGAAGTGTTGGAAGAACACGCCGGTAAAGCTCTTCAATAGTCCGAGATGAAACACCACCGCGGCGAGACTGAGGATCACCAAATAATGGAATTAAACCAGAGCGTCGCGGAAGACCAGAAAAGGCAGCCCAAAACATCTGTTTAATCTGTTTTCCACGGGTTGGTATCATTTGGACTTGATGGCCCTCTTCTTCGTGCTCCCAAAGCTGGTCCTTTGGACGGGTAAATGTCCATTCTCGACGCTGACCGATACCACGTTCAATAGTACACTCATCAGACCAATACACACGGGCCCAATCCTCAGAAGTGAAGTGCTCATATCTTCGCGCCTAAGTAAGGCGTTTTTCAGCAGATAGAGGTGTTAAAGTAGGCCGTTGCATTTTCCGCCACTTTCGAAGGCCCATTTCATGGGTCAGCCGCCAAATTGAGGTACGTTTAACCTTATAATCGACCTCTGCGAGTAGGTCTGCGACTAAGATTGACGGGTTTTGTTGTATAGTCTCATATATATGGTCACGGTCGTCTTCAGTAAGCTTCCTTGGCCCCCCTGAGCGTGCTAAAGACTGTTGCTTTTGACGCTTTGACTCTTGAGTAAGAGTATACTGAATAGTTGAGCGTGGAATATCTGGAAATCGCTTCTTTTTTATAGTTGTTGCACCCCAACCATTGGTACTATGCAGTTCACAGATCTTAGCTCTAGTAAGACAGTCAAGCTCTGGGCCTCTTTTCCCACGTATAGGAGGCATGTTTTAGTATATAGAATAAGAAAACAGTGCGAAAATCTCTTCAAAACGCGTTAATATACAGCGCATATGCTAGCGTGTTTAGGACGCGCGAGATTTAATATACTAATACAGTAGGCGGTCTAGAATGGCGGTCAGATCCTAAGGTGGGACCCGAAGTACCCAAGGTCAAATACTCATGGAACACCACTGTAACATCCCGAGATCCATAAAGGATCTCGAAAGGAAAAAAAAATAGGTAGCTTCTCTTTGATTGAGCGTGTCATCCTTAGTGCAGGGGCCATGCTAATCTTCTCTGTATATTTTCTTTTGACCATATGCCCCGAAGGGCGATATATCAATTCATTCAGTTCATTATAACCTCCCTTTTCGGCAGAAAATTACCGCCTATTTTATATACAACAACAATGGCATGGAGCTATAGCGCTGCCCTATCAAAATGGGATTCTGTTTATATTCCCGTCAAGAAGCTTTTAGGGGTTACTTCTGGCTTATAGTTTACTGTGGGTTGAATGTCGTGAGCATTTATGGAAGGTGGGATATATGATTTTGGGCCTGAGGTCTCTTTGACAACTGAACTAGGGAATGTGCTGATTGATGCGGCGCGTAGCAGTAGAATCATATCATTCTAACGCATCAATATCCCTATTATTTACCTGGGGTATGGTTAGTGTGAATCACCTAGTAAAAGTGACTACCTGGTTAATGTTCACCTTATTATCTTGACGCCAGCCTCAGACTACTCCGTACATATATCGGGGTTCCTAGTTCGGAAAGTAACAAAAGCTCAATAGCCCCCAAGTACAAAGAGCTATCCCGTAATCCATATGAGT